TTATTTAAAACATTTTGTAGTATTTTTGAGCTGACCTTTTCTTGTCATGGATATTTTACTAGCGCAGATGCAACCTTTAACAAAAACATACGACTAAACCAGTTTTATATGTTTCGAAGGTCATTAAAAAGCGGCTCACTTATGCATATTGGAATCGCATCTCTTAAACAAACCCGAAGATGTATCTGCAAACTTAAAACTCAATGGTTTTTTGATAGATAATAGCGGCTCAATGGTCTAGGGGTATGATTCTCGCTTTGGGTGCGAGAGGTCCCGGGTTCAAATCCCGGTTGAGCCCGGATTTATTTTATTTTAATTTTTAATAAGATTTATTATGAACATGCCTAATAAGATTTCTTTAATATGATTCAATCAAAGAGCTCCCTCAGGCAGACTTCGTCTCACTGCATCTTAATAGGCATTTATAAAATTAATATTTTACTAAGAAATTTTCGTCTAAGACACAAGCTTTCTTTAATAAGATTAACTCAAGAAAAAGCTTAGATATAAACTGTGATTTGTGCATCTTGGGATTCACTTAGTCAGTGCAGTTGATGCAGGACAAGTCCAAGGATCCCATTGTTTAGCCTGAGTAAGCCAATTTCTCAGCCACATACTCCAATCAACGATGAACCATTCAATACAATTCAATTTATTGAGAGTCAATTTCTAATGTTGCCATGTTCGTTAGTCACCTCCCCGCCCATTTAATCCGTCTGGGAAAACCGCTTGTTATATCCCATATATATTATGGCTCCTTTTCACTCCAACAGACTGCCTGTCATGTTTGTTTGCCCGTTGTCAAGTGTTTCATATGCTTGTCAAATTGATATATATATATTGGCAACACTTGCCTCAGCTACTTCTCAACCTCTTCTCCCTATTCGTCTGGATATATAGGGCCCCTTCAGAAAAACATGTCAAGACACTTGTCGTCAATGAAAGATGTTCGAGTATCGCTTTCATATTTTCCATTGCCTCTTCAAAACCTACTTCAAAATCAACTGAAAGATTATCGAGTTGAATTCGTCGCCACGGTAAATTAATGTTTATTGCATTTTATTAGCCATATCTAAATGGAAATCTGGCTGATTTTTTTATGGCCCTCTCTAATCACCATCAAAAAAGCCTCAATTAACATGCTCAGACGAGCATATATACTCAAGGACTCTCCATGGAAAATATGGATGCAAAAGCCCAAAAAAAATAATTGTTCAGGCAGTAAAAAAAAGAAGAAAATAACAATAAAGGACCACATGTTAGGCTGCCAGGACAACGAACCGCACGTATGTATTTGTGTGTGGGCCGGGAACACGTTTAAGTGGCCCGAAAACAACAATGGAGGCTATAACGAGTGAGAGCCTGCAAAACAAATTAACAAAGTTAAGAGGAGGAAAAATAAAATACACAAATTCCCCACGCTTCATGGAGATCACGAATAGAGGACATGGACTTCGTTTGGATACACTTTTATCAATATTCATCTCCTGCAGCGTCAGGCCCTAAACATGGCAATTCAATCAGCGGAAACCCCACAACAGACAGCCTCCATAGACGGGAAAAAAAGACCCCCAAAACATATTTGCCAAATCAAAAATTGCACTCAGGCGTACAACACATCCCCCATACAGCTCCACTCAACTACAATAAATTCGATTTTGTAACTCACTGCACGTCCCCTCGATGTAGTGACCCCCCAATGAAAATGCAAATGGTTACAAAACTTTTAGCAAAAATCTAAAAAAGAACTACAGACTCCAACGCATCAACAGCAAAATTGTCTGGTGACTTTTCCCAGAGATGTAAAATAATTGAAAAACGGGGAAAAAGTACAAAAAACGGAATCAAAATATCAAACCAAATCGAACCGAAACCATTGCCAAAAATGCCCAACATCGAGGAAGAATAAAAACTTGTTCAAGGCAAATGTTGTGCCAACAGCAATATGGAATAGTGCCATTCCAATGAGATTGATGGGCGGCAGCCGCAACTAAGGCAAACTAAATGGGTAGTGTTGAGGGGGAAAGACGAGTGGCGAATGCTTTCAAATAACCGAAATTGCCTCTACAATTCCTGCTCGGACTCTTGACCATGACCTTAGGCGCATTTTCACACGGCCAGCAAAACACACTCAAGGAAATCGAAAAAAAAGGCGAAAAATGTGTGCCTGCCAAAGACAAACTCCAGAGAAAGAGGCCTTCGCAGCACGTTTATAGAAATATAGAAATATATTTTACAGCGGAATAAAATTGGTATCTTCTACAAAAAAATCAATAAAGTTTTTTTTTGAATTTCCCACGAAAATTAGTTTTTCAAAAATTGTTTTTGTTTAATTTGTTGTTTCATTGTTTATTCTGAATTATTTAATTTTTATTTTTCATATTTAAGTGTTGATTTTAAAATAAATTAATTCTTGTCAAAACATTATCATGTGTAATGGTTATTTTAGCAACGTTAACATAATCTGCGTCTGGTTTAAAGTATTAAATTTCCTACCCAAAAGTATGCAACACTTGCTGGCAAAGCATTCGCTTTGATAAGCTGTCGTGTCATTCCCGAAAAGCAAGATGAAAAGGATACCATAAAGAAGTAGCACAGTCTCGTGTGAGCCGCACATAACTTCATCAAGTCTGGCCAAACTCAGTGGTTCAGATACAAAACTACCTCGGGCCTTGAAAGAAAATGTTGGAACAGAACAGAGGAAAAGCATACGCCACGCATGTTACTCATAAAGTACAGCAGAAATTTTGTTGGCATGCCCAAAACACATACACTCAAACTTGGGGCATTATTACATTTTTCACACCAATGAAAACAAATACAAAAAAACCAAAAAGGAAAAGGGAAAATTTGGCAATGCTGATCAACTGCCTAGGTTTTTGAATGGCAGAGGCTGGCCTGGTTTTCGCTTTCCTCTTATTTTTTGGCCATTTCCTTTTTTGGGCAACGCCATCCGGGTGAGACTTTGACTTGGTCACTCACGAAAATTACTAAAATTGTATATCCGTTTCCGGTTGAAGTTGGGTGCCGGGCATCCTGCTTTGTGCCCAATTTTTGACAGGCATATCGAGTTATTTATTGGCACATTTCGCCCTGGTCACCATCAAAAATAGTTGCGACATAATTTATGGCACATCGCGCATACGCCGCATTGCCCACATGCCCACATATGTCTGTGTAAAAAGGGAGGTCGAATGAGAAACAGCTTCGAATCCATTGGCGCGGGCATTTTTCACTCGATACATGCACGACCCACTTGTAATCCCCTAAGCCTACACAAGTCAATTTGCAGGCATCGAGCATCGAACTTGTAGAACAATTGCCAAGCAATCAGCAGGCAAATTGTCAAAGCAACAAATCTCTGCCGCAGGACTCTTGCACAGGAAAAAACATATCGATTTCAACCTCAAATAGTTTTTGAAATTTTTGGTAATTTTTCATAATACTTTCAAAGGATTTTTTTGTGTGTTAAATAATAACCAAATATTTAAATATTTGAGAGTATTTGAAACACTCAAAACTCTTATATTCCATTTTTAAGTTGTTAATTTTGGTATGTAAAAAGTGTGGTAATAATAATTTATCACACAAATTTTTTGATGTGCTTTATAAAATTTTAATCACATTTTTTTTAACTGTTACAGATTTTTTAATAACAAAACAAATCAGAAACCTATATAAATCGTATTTAACCATTAGATTATAAAGCAAGCCCATAAAACTAGAACTTGTCAAAGAACGAGTCATCGAAAATATAATATTTTTTCTCTGTGACTCGCAGTCATTTCCCAAATGGTTACTCATTCGAATCGAATGCATCACTTGGCCGTCCAAAAGCCAAAGGAGCAGTTAAGTGGTAACTTTTCTTCCGAGGCATCGAGATGGGTTGGAATTGGGGCTAGCCGTAATCATTACGACAAATTGCCGGGGCCACAGGCAATAATGATTAATAATGAGGCAGCTGCAGTTGCTCCACCGCCGGAAAATGGCCGAAGTTTGTACTGCCGCTTGTGGCTTTATTAAAATAAATAACTGAGGTTAAGGCAGTTAAGGCGCAGGTAATCGCGACGCGACCCTTGCCGTTGCTTCCGCTTCCGTTATGAATAATAAACTTGCCGCTGCTCAAAGTTTACCGATGCCCGGGGCAAAGTTATAATTTGTCTAATTAAAACTTTCCCTGATTAACCTGGCGGCTAACAAGGTCAGGTGGTAAGTGCAACAAAACGTTTTGCCGGGCAAGACAACGCAACAAATCAACGAGCAATGAAAACCTGTGGCTAGTTGAGGGGGTAAATTCAAACACCAACTAGGGGAAAATAGTCTCAGTTTAGCAACTTTCGACTGTGGTCCCTGAAATTGACCCAAAACCTGGGGCCACGTGACTCGTGTGGCACATATCAACCTAATGCACATTGTTTTGCAGCTTTCCCGTTTTGTTGTGGCATCACATTCTACGTGCATTTTATTGCTAAAGTTTTTCCGGCCATGTCCTGCGGAGTTGTCATGTGTGGTAGACCAAGGAAATTGTTGGCAACTATTGCAACTAAGAAAAGTGAAAATATACGGGAGCAAACCAAAGGTTCTTGGAAGTCTGTAAATATTTCAAAATTATTTTAACTCGAAGATAGCACAATTTAAACTTTTCTTAATACAAAGTTTACAAATGCTCATATCCATTCAAGTAAGAGGAAATCCATTTATAACCGAATCAGGAGAGAAAGATATATTTGGCGACTAAAAGACACTTACACCAATAAAATAATTGAACTATCCCTATGATAAAAAAATAACAAGACTATTGTTTAAGTTTAAAACTGAATTATTTAAGTTTATAAGCTTTAAAATTTATTTTGATACAAATAATATCAGCATATTTATTCTAAATTGCTGTCCCCAAACGTATTATTATGATATCATTTTATTGTTTTAAATTACTTAGGAAATTGATTTTTAATTGATGCTCAAAAAGTGTCTGTCGATACAGTTGAAAATATCAGAGCATGGCGAGAGGTCTCGTTATTGGAATTTGTTGGGCCTTACTAGCACCAATACTTGTGAATGGAGCCTTTCAGTTGCAGAAGGTGATTTGCGAGTCCTCGAACACCTCGATTTCGGAGTTCACCCGCTGCGAGATGAAGATTGTTCGACGGGGAGTGGCCGCATTTTTTATGGTCTGGAAGCTTTACAAAGTCCCCATCGACAACGTGGAAATCAATGTGGCGCTGTACAAGAAATCGAATGGATATCGTCCATTTCTCTTTAATCAGACCCTGGATTATTGTTACTATATGCGTAATCCCAAAGCGCATCCATTGATTTATACGATGCACAAGGTTTTTCTACCCTCATCCAACATGAATCATTCGTGTCCATACGATGTGAGTATTAAAATAAAAATAAAATAACATAGCCATTTAACATTTGAGGAGAGGTCTGATGTGTTTGATCATTAGCTTGTAAATCGATTAGTGTTATATAACGGCACAAAACTTGAATTTAAAAAAAATCTTTATAAATTATTTTAGGATTAAAGCTCTCAATATTTATGAGTATAAGTTAAACTAATTTATCATCATACTTTAACAGCACGATTTGATAATAAATAACTTCGTCTACAATAAAAATGACTTAAAAGATCTACCCGTACCCAATGGGGACTATATGATAAAGGTGCAAGTTGCAACTGACAAGGAATATCGTGTATTTGTAAGGATTTATGCAACCAAAAAGGATTGAATGGATTCGGAATTATATTCGTCACACACTATTTAACTATAAATATTTATTTGTACCAGACTCGAAATATACAATGAAAAACTATAAAATGTAAACAAATAAATAATATTTTAATGAACTCCAGCATATTTTATCACAAAACATATCAATCGATTCCTCAATTTTAATAATTGTTTTCCAACAGTTTTAGAAAATTGTTTTTTAATTGGGGCCTAAAATCTACAGTACCAAAAGAATTTTTAATTGGTACCTCAAACGAGAATATCAGACCATGGAGAGAGGTCTCATTATTGGAATTGTTTTTAATTTAGTCTGGCCAGTACCGGTAAATTGCGGGTTTCAGTTGAAGAATGTGAATTGTGAGTCCTTTGACACTTCGTATTGGGATTTCCACCGCTGTGAAATGAAGATTGTTCGACGAGGAGTGGCCGCTTTTTATATGTTCTGGAAGATTTATAAACTACCAATCAACAATGCAATTATCAACGTATCGCTATACAAGAAATCGAACGGATATCGGCCGTTTCTCTTCAATCAGTCCGTGGATTTTTGTTACTACATGCGAAATCCACAAGCCCATCCATTGATGTCAATGCTTCACAAAGCATTCATGCCTGCATCCAACATAAATCATTCGTGTCCTTATAATGTGAGTACTAACAAGAGTAATAACAAGATACAATACATTTTGTAACTAGTAGAATATTAAAATATGCCTTTTCTGGTGGAAATAAGGTAAAACTTAAATAAAATGAAACCCAAGTCAAAATATGCAGGATGAACTAATATTTTATTTTATTAACAGCATGATTTGATAATCAACGACTTTATTTACAACAAGAACGACTTTAAGGATCTTCCCATACCCAATGGTGAATATATGATTGAAGCTAAATTTGCAAGTTACAAAGTTCATCGTGCATTAATAAAGATTTACGTAAAAAGAAATGATTAAGTAGAAAAATGGGTTTAACAATCTCGTTCAATATAAATAAATATATAAAAAGAAACAATATACATTTTGTTTTGAAAACTTCAATTAAGGTTTTGTAGTATCCGCAAAATAAAGAAATTTCCGTAATCGCATATTGCTTTTCGTTTTTTAGGGTTGACTGGCTTTAAAAATCTGATCATTATTTTTAATGGGCATTATTTTTACCAATAACTGTAAATGGTAAATTTCAGTTTCAGAATTTGATGTTTATTTGAACATTATTTACAGCACGATGTGAAGTTCACTTTCACTTAATTTAAAACAAATATACCATGAAATCTGAAGTTTAAAAATTCGGTTGGCTTAAAACTCTTCAAAAAAGTTTGTTGGTGTTACATTCCTGTAAAGTTATTAATGTTTACAAACTTCTTTAGATTTCAAAATCTTTGGTTGGTCTGAATAAAGTGGTAACTTAGATTTGAGAAATTATTGAGGGCAGAAAATATAAAAGTTTGACGAGTAACTTTTGGAGCTCAATGTAGGAAAAAGATAAATTATCTTTATTGACAATAAATTACGCACTTTGGTTGATTTAGTTATAATAGCAGTGAGTTACCCACCCGAAATGAAATCAAATTGTCACCAAAAGCGCAACACTCAACATGAAGTTTTCGGCCATTGTTAACATGATGTTGATTATGGAATTATTTACCAGTATTCGAGGAGCATATTTTCGGTTTACCAACATGGATTGCAATAGTCTCGACTCGGAGTTTGTGGAGGTTAAGGAGTGTATTTTGAAGATGGTGAGCAGAAATGTGGTGGGCATGAATTTCCACATGGTGATTAAATATGGCAAGCCCATCGATAAGATTCAGTTTAACATAAGCATATTCCGAAAGTCGAATGTGTACAGGCAGTTTTTGGTTAATCACACCATCGACTTCTGTTACTATATGCGCAATCCAGAGAAATATCCGATATTCTATATGTTTCATGATTCCCTTATGGCGGCCACCAATGCCAATCATACTTGCCCATATGCTGTGAGTAAATTCCTATTACGAACGTATTTAGTAATAATAATAATAATAATTTGTCAACAGGAAAAGGATATTTATGTGAGGAAAATGATTTTCAACGATCAGACACTGAAGAACCTACGTACCATTTTGCCCGAGGGCGAATACAAACTGGCTGTTTCTGTGGGTGGTTTCGGAGTCTGGCGATTAAAGGTCAATGTCTACGGTCGACGAGGTTAAATTAAAGTTATTAAAGTAATTACCAAAACAGGTTGAAATTAAGTAAATAGAAGATAAAACAAAATAAATTTAAATCAATCAAAGCAAACCAGACGTTAAATTGACTTTAACCAGACAACGCAATAGTACAACAATACTTATCGACGCGACAACATGAACGATCTGCTATTGAATTTAGTACTACTTATATTGATCACATTGGATCCGAGCAATGGAAAAGTTTTCAGAGTCAGCAAAATGGAGTGCCGATCTTTGGATCCTTCGTTTACATATTTTAAAACTTGTAATGTGATTCGCAAGGAAAATGGACGATCCTCTCTATATGTCAATGAGGTCATTCTGTATAAAAATCCCATTGATGATATCACTGTAAGTTGAAAAGTAAAATTCTCGAGAAATTAAAAAACCCATATATTTTAGCTAAACCTGGGCGTTTTCAAAATAGCCAAAAATCGTCGCTTGCAGTTTCTAAATGAGACATTGGACTACTGTGTGTTTAGTAGACAGCTTTTGGCCAGTGGATTTTTTGGATTTCTGATGACGCCGTTGCTGAGAATTTCCAATGTAAACGGCACCTGTCCCCTGAAGGTAAGAAATTAATGTGTTTTGAGAGAAAACTCCTTACTTAAAGTAAACTCCACAGCAAAACATAATAGTCAACGGTTTTTCTGTCGATGAAGACACAATTAAAGAAATCCCAATCCCGAACGGTGTTTATATGTTTCAATTGCGAACATCCATGATGAAAAAATGGAGAACAGATGTGAGAGTCTATGCCACTCGAGTTGACAAGTATTCTGAGTAAATGTTGAAGGCATTTTTGAAAAAATATATTAAAATTCAGCAACACTAACAATAATGTACTCGGAAGGGGTAATTAAATACTATTATTTTTATAATTAATACGTTTAGTATTTACATACTAACTACATCCTACATGTATAATCCGCAAGTAGTGGGGACTTACTCCTCAGGTAGAAATGGAAAAACATCGATGACATCACCGATATTTTGAAATCATCGATAACGTCGATATTGGCATCGATGTTTTTCCACCTCTAGTGTCCACCTCTACTTCCTTTCTCTCTCTTTCCTATTCTACTCGTGAGCAAATCCGTAAGTAAAAAATTTGAGCTCCGCTAAAACTTGTGAAAAATTGTAAATATGCACCAGCAAGTTGAAAAATGCCTGCCCAAGGCTAAATAAACTGCCGGCAAGCAGAGTTCAATTGAAATTAAAACGAAACCATTGAAGATGCTGGAAATATAAAGAGATTGCCGAAACTAAGCCAACTTTTTCCTTGCAGTGCTCGGTTGAATTGTCGGAACCATGGTGAACGGCCGCATACCCTCGGTCTTCTCGAAGACCTACGTGACTCCCCGTCGCCCCTATGAAAAGGCGCGTCTGGACCAGGAGTTGAAGATCATCGGCGAGTATGGTCTGCGCAACAAGCGTGAGGTGTGGCGCGTCAAGTACGCCCTTGCCAAAATCCGTAAGGCTGCCCGTGAGCTGCTGACCCTCGACGAGAAGGACGAGAAGCGTCTGTTCCAGGGTAAGTACTGGGTACATCCAACAGCAGTCGAACTTCCCTTGGGAGAACTAGGGAACATTTAATTTTATAGTATTCAAATTCCTTAGCCCTTAAAGTTGAAGATACCATTTGAATTAAAAGTGTAAAGTCGAATATATATTTAATGTTTTCTGGTTTAAACACATGCAGTTTTTATATTCTCCATATGGTACGAAATATATTAGGTTATCTAATCTTAGAGCACGTGTAAGAATGATTATCCTATGATAGATAAAGAGATAATATAATAGGCTTTCAGAGTTTATTTTAAAAACCCTCTAAGGGAAGTTGGACTGCTTAACCATACAATATTGACATGATGAACTGTATTAAAAATAATAATTCTGACACTTCTTGTCTGAAAAAACCTTTGACGTTACCAAATACACACTGAAGTCAGTTTTGTGACCAAACTTTTGATTGCTATTTGGAATCTCTGTTAATTATTTACTCTCTTTACCTATAGGTAACGCCCTGCTGCGTCGTCTGGTCCGTATTGGTGTCCTGGATGAGTCTCGCATGAAGCTCGATTACGTGCTGGGTCTGAAGATCGAGGACTTCTTGGAGCGCCGTCTGCAGACGCAGGTGTTCAAGCTGGGATTGGCCAAGTCTATCCATCACGCTCGCGTCCTGATCCGTCAGCGTCACATTCGGTAAATATCGCTTGGACAAGCGACGACAACGTCGCCAGGCTCTCTCAGATATAACTCTGTTTTGTTCAGTAAGACCACTTGGGAGTCGAACAAGCTCCAATGCTTGCACCGGCTCTCAACGTCTTTAGATTGCGCATGTGACTCCGTTCACTTCAATCGATAATGCAAAATGCCCGCCTAGCGTAAGTTGCACTGAACGTTTTTGGACCTAATTTCACAGCCACCATATGCTGGGTTTCCTTCCTCTCGGGTTTAACTAATCGAAATATCTTTTTTTTCCCGTTTCCACAGTGTGCGCAAGCAGGTGGTCAACATCCCGTCGTTCGTGGTGCGCCTGGACTCCCAGAAGCACATCGACTTCTCCCTGAAGTCGCCCTTCGGCGGCGGCCGTCCCGGTCGCGTCAAGAGGAAGAACCTGAAGAAGAACCAGGGCGGTGGCGGTGGAGCTGCCGAAGAGGAGGAGGACTAAGCAGCGGTAGCCAGCTGCAGCCAGTAAAATACAAGGCGCAGACTTTTGATAAAAATCTGTTTGTTTTACACAAATAAATGTAAAATTACTTGAAAAATTGTGTTGCTTGCTGGGTGTACAAGTTTACTATAGGGTATAAAGACGACAGGAGATATTTTGGTGCACACAATTTATTTTTAAGGAGAGAAGGGGCATTGTTTTAATTAATCTTTATTGTGGAACGTTTAATATAACTACACATTGACCAAGAAACTTCTTATTGCAATTTCTAACTTAGCTTTATCCGATATTGCAAAATAACATTAAATAAGATGGTTCTCCTCGACTATGATTAAGCAGCAGTAAAATGGAACTTTTTCGAAAATTACAAGGCGCGTTAAATTAATTTATTTTTCCCAATGTCTGACCAGGGATGATACTATGAGGTATCGATAAGGGGGTCATCAGCTGTTTTGTGTTTACAACAATTTTGTTGCTGTGCTTTGTTAAAATGTCTTCAAAAAGAATTCGAGGGAAAAACTTTAGCGAGCGAGAAGAGCATGCTCTCATAGATCTCGTGATGTTGAACAAAGACATTCTGCAGGACAAGAAGAAAGATGCGGCTACATGGCGAAAAAAGGCAGAAACATGGGAGCGACTTGCCCAGGAGTTTAGGGCCGAAACGGGTACCAATCGATCATGGACTGCTCTTCGGGAGAAGTACGATAATATGAAGAAAAACTCTCGGAACAAACACAGAGGAGTCAAAAATTGGTATGCGGAAAAGAAACCCCCTGCCATAGGAAACACATGGCGTTCCGGGTCCTTTGCGTTGGAAAACAGTCCCGGTCTCACAGGAATCACCACACCACTAGAAAACCAGTTTGATAGTGACGGTAAGTGGTTTTTAATGCAGGTACATTTTAAGTACGCAACTCAAAGTTCTGGACCACTTCTTGGTTTGACTATTACCTAGAAAATGCAACTAAAATATGAACAAACTTTTGTAAATCTAAAAAGAATATAAATAATATATTAAAACTATAATCTGTTTGCAGAAAACTTCCAGTTAATAAATGTAGCAAAAGAAGAAAATCCTTCGATCAGCTCACAAAACTCTGATAGTTCACAGTTACTGCAAGTAAGTTTTAATAGTCAATACCTCTTCCTTTATTAATGTCTCTTTAAGTTTTTCAAGCAAAACATTGAGGATTTCGAAGATCCCGAGTTGGACAGCTTCGAGCCTTCTGAAATATCGAACACAAAAATAAGCAGGGGCTTCAATTCACCCACTATGTCGGAAGTCAAATGGAGAACCCGAGTTCAAGAGGAGAAGGTCGAATTGTTTAAGATACAACAGGAATATTATAGAGACCAGAACTCTAGAGCCGCTGAAAAACACAAATACGAAGTAGAAAAGCAATTTGTCGAACTACAAACGGCTCGATTAAAGAACCAGTTACTTGAGATGGATCTAGAAGTTAAACGTGAAGAAAAAGCAAAAAATAACCAAAGTATTGTAAGCTAGTCTTGCTTTGTTAGGGGAATAATTAAAAATTTATTATGAAAACGGTCCTTATTTAGGTTTTAAGTAAAGATGTTTCAGTTTTAAGTTATAGACCATTTTGTAAATATTTTTAAAATAATTTCGAAAGCTTATCTACTTTTTAAAATAAAGTAATCCTATTTTGAATGTCAGCAGTATGACCGGATTCGTAGATTATTAAAATGCTAGAGATATCGACTTGACACTCGTTATTTTCTGAGCTTTAGGGCACTTCCGCATAAAATTGCCATTCTCACAAAACTGACTTTTGAAAATCACTTGAGATTCGCGTAAACAGAAACTCCGAGAAAAACAACAGCTGGAAATTAATTCAAAAATCTGGACTATTAAATATCGAGAAAATGCCGAAGCCCGGTGACAAGGCGAAGGTGAAGGTGAACGTGAAGGAGCGGGTGGTGGACGAATCCTGCGACTTGAGCCTCTCTGAATTGAGCGAAATACCGGTGCGGGAAATTGTAAGTACAAATACTGCTCTTCTGCGGTAATTAGCACCGATTCCTGGTGTCCATATACATATGCATTATCCCCCATCTCGCTTCCTCTGGGGGGCCACGTCTGTTGTCTGGCAAATGTCTAGTCACTGTCTATCTCGCTTGTGCAAGTATCAGGGGGTGGGTGGGCCTTGGAGAAAGAGAGATCCAGTTCCTCTTTCCCCCTTGCTGTTGTTATTCTGCCGGCTGGCATGCAATTAACGCTGACGTCGACTTCCCCATCTCCCTTTCGCGCAGCCCTTAACCCTTGTGTGGTTAAAAGTGCATTTGCTCCAGGGGGTTGATTTTTGGTTTTTGCCACCCCTCAAAAACTCAAAAGGTTGCCAAAAAAAGAAAAACAAGTATGGATGCTTGTGTCAAGTTGCTCGACTACGTGATACCTCTTAGTTAATTTTAGTTTCACTTCCAAAATGTTTCTTATATTGTATCCATAAGATATTAATTTGCATAGCCACAAAATTATAAAAGCCATATACTGCATATTTGTAATTCCTCGCTATACCTAAAAGCATACAATTTTAATTGTTCCCAAAAATAATTCTGAGTTAATTAAAATCGTACAACTAAATATACTGCAGAAGTCCATCATACCCTTATCCTTAACCAATACGAAGTGTTACATATATAAAAGAAAGGGATTTTCAAGGCAGTTACATTTTTCGGGGGTTTCTTTTGTCGGTCATGTTTTGCCTGAACTTCTCAACTCAGTTTGCCCTTGTGCTTTGCAGGCTTCGTTCAAACGCGTCACTGTTTTGGATCTCTCCAGCAATCGCCTGGTCAACCTGGGAGTAAGTAGCCCAAGTCCAAGAGACCCCATTAAACACACTTTCTAAATGTCACTCTTGGGTTAGAAAAACTTTTCGATTCTCACACGTTTGGTGCGACTGGATCTGAGCAAGAATCAAATAACCTTCCTGCCCGAGGACTTTGGCCAGCTGGAGCAGCTGCGCCACTTGGACCTGTACAACAACTGCTTGGAGCACTTGCCCATTAGCTTCGGTCAGTTGCGTCGTTTGCGCTACTTGGATCTGAAGGGGAATCCTCTGACGCCCGCCTGGGAGAAGATTGTGGGTTGCTGCTCTACGCAAAGGGACTGCCAGCAGGCGGCTAAGAATACTGTAAGTGGCTCTCGAGTTGAATGACCCTCGAGTGCGCTCATTTTCCCATCTAACTTTTTTTTCCTTTTCCGCATTTTCCAGGTCAACATCTGCGCCAACTACAAGCCGGAATTCATTGAACGCGAACGTTTGGCCGCCCAGGAGACGCAGAAAATGGCCGGAGGTGGGGATTCCAATGCCAACTCCACCCAAACGAATGGCGGCGGTGGAAAGAAGTCCACTAAACCCAATAACAAGAAAGCGAAAGCCAAAAAGCTCGCCGGAGCGGGTGACAATGAACTGACAATCAAACCAGTGAATGCAGGAGGATCTTCAGAAACGGGAAGTGGATCGGGAGCAAAGTCGAATCAAAAGAATAATCAAAAGAAAAAGAACTCCAATGGCGGGTCCTGGCTGAATATGCTCTCAAGGGCCGCACTGTCCTCACTTGTGACTTTTCTCGTGCTCTTCATCATTAACGTTTTACTCATCTATATGATCATGTTTAAGAACCCGGACATTGCAGACAAGCTAGTGGAGTATATACCCCACCAGTATCGTGATTGGATACTGACCAAGACAGAGATCTTCAGACTGCGTGTCACCGACTGGATCTCGGAATTCCGAACACCGCCAGAGGAACACTGACGGTTTATTTATTTGAAGCCTTAGGGCGCTGGGCTTCAAATAGAAGGAATCGCTAAACAAAATTCGGATGCATAGCGCGTGTGTGGAAGCAAAAATTAAATTGGGATACGTGTAGACCACCTGAACGAGTTATACGACTGCTACTTTGATATACCATTATCTGTAATTTACTGCCATTTATTTTGATAGACACTAAGTCACTACGTCCATTGACAGGAGATTTGAACAGGAAAACCACACGCACTCCGCAACTGAAGAGGCCACTTAAAAGACACCAAACTACACTCAATCACTCAACTCAATTGAACTCAGATGAATCTACAGCTAACCTAACCATAGCTCAAGCTCAACTCAATAGTAACTGAATGGCGGTTCCAAACTGGCCAATGCATAGAAACTACAGACACAGTCAGACCAGACACCCTCGTACTATCCACATCTATCAGATCGGATCGAATCAGCAACACACAAATAATATACTTTAATCTATAGTAAGAATTTCCTGTGCAATTCAAATTTCATTTAAAACCCAAGCTCAAATTGTATTCATGTTTGCCCGACCATTTTACATTTGTAGATTTCAAATCTCATAGGTTTTATTGTAAACGCAAAGAAAATGATTACCATTATTGGTTGAATTTGCAAGAAATCAAAACGAAATTAAAGCGGTTTCATATGATTTATGCAAAATCAAGATAATTGTATTGTAACAAAGAATTTGCAACATTTTTGGAATAAAACTTTACATTTTAACAAATATCTCTTGGTTTTTTAGTCTATATTTTTCGTCGGAGTTTATAAAATGAATAATTTCTTATCAATGGTTTTATTTTTAGTTCCCCTTTAACAAAAATTCTTCACTTCAAGAATTATTGCCCCAAACCAAACAATTAAAATTAGTTTTATTTCCCAGGAAATCGTTAATAAAACTAATTTCAATTAAGATTATTTAAAATGTACGGTTATCTATAGATTGGGTGTGATTTGTTATCTTATATTTATAGCCCCATTGGGGGCTTTTTTTTTATAAAAAATAAATATTAAACGTCCCGCAATCTTTTTTATTTATATGTATATTTCACTAGAATAAATAAAAATAAGAAACTTTCCCAGAAATAGACCTTTAAAAAGCTTTATAACGACACTCATTTAAAGCAATAAGTAATTAAATACTGGGGAAATCAGAGCTAAATTCCATAAAAATCTTAACGCTGTCGTGACCAAAAAAAATGTTCTACCTAATACTGCAAATTTTGGGGCACGATTTTAAACGTGCTCCGTCAATCAAAGTTAATGGTTTTAATTAAATTTGATTATTATGTTAGTTTGTGTTGTATAAAATGTGAGTTTAGGAATTATATTATAAACAATCTTTATAACATAAAAATTATAATTTATTAGTTTTATTACAGCTTTAATAGGTGACTTCTCTTTATCCTTGATTTTATTTGCACACGTATTTAAACATTGATAAAAAAATTATTTTTATTACCTGTGTAAATAATGCAATTTTGATAAGAAACATAGTTCCTTGTTTAAAAAAAATTGTATTATTTTGCACACGTATTTAAACATTAAAAAAATTATTTTTATTACCTGTGTAGATAATGAAATTTTGATAAGAAAGATAGTTCCTTGTTTAAAAAAAATTTATTGTTTTAAACATTCTACGAAGCTTTGACGATCGTCCTGTGATTGTTCTACCCTTAGAAGGGTCTTTCATGATATATTTTTTTTAACTTCTCTCTTTTTATTTGGTATCTTTCCCTAATCGGTTCATTACCATATCGCAAATAATTGATAAATGACTTGCGAATAAAAACCGGTTCCGTGACAAAGTGAATTTCATCAATAGAAAGTTGTAGAACGATGACGTATTCGTGGGCGGGAGGCACTTATTGGTAAACATCATGAGTGAGCTATAACTTAGGTAAATATTTATATTCAGGCGTTCGGTTTTCAGAACAGAAATTGCACGATAATTTCTGATGCAATGCTGCCAATCTATTTCTTTCCAAAAGGATGTCGCCGGTTTACCCCGACTCCAATTTTAAAGTTTCGTGTTTCCGGCGAAGCTGAAACTATAGAATTTGCCACGCTTATGAAAAGCTTGACTTAGATTTCGTCATCCTAAAAGATGGGAAGGCCCTTGCCCTTTAGGAGTTGTTCTCTCCCTTTCTCTCTCTTTGTCTTATTCATCTCTCGCTTGCTCTTCTTATATTCAGCGCATCCTTGTCGTTGTCCTTTGCGCCTTCTGATTTGGGTTTCTCTTCCTCTCTTTTCGCTCTTTAAATTAGTTTTGATATCAACTATTGCCGGCTGTAGCGCTGTCTTCCTCTCATTTAAAACAGTAATGTTTTTTTAGCGTGAAAAACCTTCTTTATTAAATCATATATTATTATAAATTAATTAAGCTTAATTGTTAAAAACAATTGGTAATACCTTGAAATGGGGTATAGAGGAAGCGTTCTTAACTCGATATAATATTTGATCTTAATTATTGACAATTGTCAAACCTTTTTCAAGATATTTAAACATAAATATTTATTTTACCAAATATAAAACAGATATGAAACAACAAAAAATAATATTATACTTTTACATAAGAAATATCGATCTATATTTAAGGCTGGCAGTGCAGGTCTCCAAAAAGTAAGCTACACAAACAAATCGGCATAAAAACGAATAAATAATAAAATAAATGAGTAAAATATATAAATTTACTCAGTTTCAATATTAGCAAACATGGTATTACAAAAATTAGTTCTTAAAAATATTTCTCATACCATATACTCACAACAATTTCAGTAAAATAGCTATATTGGCACAGCTATTCGGAGTCGGCTGTGTTTTTGGCGCGCTCTCACAACGGAAACGCTACTCTCGCTTAGTATTTAAACAGCCGACTGGCAAACGCTCTTGACAGTTGCTCTTTGGTTTTCGCGTAGTCCACTCGGTTTTCGTGGGAGGTACCTCCGATTTTTGGTAGCCAGCAGCGCTACGGTTGAACTGTTGGCATTATTGAAACGATTATTCGGCCAAAAACACCTAATTGAGGCGACCGAGCGACCGGGAGAAGTGTTTGATTTACGCGGCATTTCGTGTACCGTCAGCACTCTAAAAAAGGAAGAATAAAAGTAAGCTATAGAATGCGTGTACGAAAACCAGAAATTCGAAATTGTACAGTCGGCGAGAAGGGAGAGACACGAAAAGAGACCGACGTGAAGCACATGGCAGAAACAGAAAAATTGGGTTTGTCTGAAAATAGCAGAGGCAGAGTGCAACTGTCACACTCATGTGTTATGTATTCGAAAAATATTCAAATAGAAGCCACGAAATAATATATAACTAATTGACATTGTCAAAAAGTGTAGTGTAGGTAAGAACGCCAAAACCACAAAAAAAGAAGCGGCTTTAACGAATCAAAAATATCCGCAGTGACAATTATAACCACAATTAACGCGGAAACCTTTTGCACAAAGCCAACAATTTCGACAGTCAAAAAGAAACGTCTTATTATTTTTTTTTGGTTGGACACGCGTGCAATGAGACGTCTACGTCGACATGCCCACGTTGCACCTGTCCCGTTGTTTTGCATTCCGGCTATGTACATTTTCCACCAATTACATTTTCGGGCCTTTTTTGAAGAATTTTTTTTTCTAAGCATGAATGGAATATTAGCATTTTCTGGAGTGCCCGCGCTTTCCACTGCAGTTTAAGTTGTTTGCGTATGCGATAGTTCAATGGCTGCGAATAGGTTTCCACATTTGACTTGCTGATGTTCCACGTTTCTCGCTAAATTGCAATACGTAATTTAGCTGTAATTGAGCACTTAGCCAAGGGAAAGTTCCCCCAATGCCAGCGGACCAAAAAGTGGTGGAAAGGCACAAAAAAAAGGCATTACTATCAAACCTATCTGCACACGTCAATGCAATTACCTCACCCACGCGGTCTAGTGCACTCGCCCACTTTTAGACCGATCCAAACCGACTCATCAAGGACATGGCCAAACGGAATTCAGGCCAAAATAGGATGGGTGCACAGGAAAAAATATAAACCTATCTGATATTATAGGATCTATGTTTGTTCCTTTATTGCCTTTAACTAAAATTTGTTTAACAATTCATATTCAAAAAATATAATTAAATCAAGTCATTGGAAAATGGATCCATAGTAACCATAATTTGTAGTTTGTATGTAATAACTCTTTAATATTGTTTTTTACCAATATGTACCAATCCCTTATCAATTATAATTTTTTTTCTGTGTCTCATGACTTTTTCCACTAGGTGTGTGTTCTGAGCCATATCTTTACGATATAACCATTTACCTATTTCCCCGCGCATTTTGTAGTTGTGTTATTGATTTTGGTGCTATTGTCGCTGTTGGTAATTAACATAACAGAAATTTACAAGCAAAAGTCAAAGACGCAGTAAAACTGTGACGTCAGAGACTGGAGTCCAACTAAAAACAGTGGGTGAAAACCAACAAGAGAAACGGAAAGGAGGTTAAGACAGGAAAAGTGGGAGAGAGTGTGGGCGCAACTGTTGATTGCGTAGGCGGCCTTCGAGACCTTTGGCATATGTATTAAAAGAACAAATCTTTTTGACTTATTCATTTTCGAATTTGAATTTTAAATTTGGCTGACAATTTTAACAAATGATTTTACATTAGAGCTGTAAATTATTAATGGGCTCTGACTTGCCAAATAAAAATAAAACTTAACGGAATATTTAAGAAATAAATATTAATACACCAAAATATTTTCGTTATTTTAACTTTCTTAAATAATATGAATCTCCATAAAACCAAATGTCTAGTAATAATTTAAATTGAATTAAGTTTTTTTAGCCTTAAAGTTTTTTAAATAATACTTTGGATACTTTGAAAACATTTGTTATGCTATTTCTCAACATGAGAGATTTTCTTAGTCTTTACTTTTAAAAAAATTAGTTCAAGGTTCTTTCCAACCAAAGTTCAAAGTTCTTTTCGACTTTTTATTGTTTGATGTAAGGGCATTTAGGTCTAGGTCTTTGCCCCATTCCTATCCTGCCATGTTGTTTACTGTTTTTCTGTTGTCCATCTTTTGCCGTCAATCGCCTCCGCTCGTTTGTCCACATTTGCCATTTGCGCAATTTGCCACCAGACATAACACTTGACCGCCTTCCCTGCCTCAACTGAACGGACAGAAATTGATTTATTTTTAGACGCAACTAATTTCCGTAACACCTGAGAAGGTCGTATCTTTATCAAGTTGCCATTTTTTCCCCAAATCGATTGGACCATCGAACGGCAGTCACATACGGCACTTCGATAAACACTTTCTAATAAAAAGTACCGCTCTAAAAACAGAAAACAATTACCAAAAAAAACCATAAAAACCATATTCATATAGCCACCACACCACATTATCTAAAACGATAATGTGACCTTTGTGGCGGCGTGCGTGGCTTGTTATCAGAATTGGCATTATGCAACGGCCACATGCAAACTCTCCAATTGCTGTTAATTATTTTAAACACCTCCAAATTGCACTTGCTTTCCCAAGCTCCTGTAGATAACACGAAATGGAAGAACAGAAGGTTACGACAGACGGGCTTTTTTGACTTGTGTCGTTGATAAGAAGACTTTGTAGAAACTCATTGGAAGCTCTATTTGATCAGCAGTTTCTCATTGAAATGACACGGGTTTATTGTTCATATGCATATGGAGATTGTAACCCCTTTCTAATGACGTAAATGTCAGACAGATAGTAATCTTTGAGCTCATTAAAACAAACGTCGGAAAACAGCTGCCTAAATATTTTTCAGATTTAAGAACATATATTATGAGGATCTATATAATGACCTAGACAACTGTATTAAAAATGTACAAACACAGATACTTAAATTATAAGGAACAATTAGGAACGTCTGACCTAGAGAAAAAATGTGGGTAATACCACTCCTCTTCAATTATATTTCTTGTCTTTTTATCAGTCTATTTCGTATACGTGTTGAATGTCATACCATTGCTAACTTCCAAGAATCATATTCTACTATCTCTGAAAAAAAAACAACCACAAAAAATAAATGAACTCGCAATTTATTTAAACATGAGTCCCCAAAACAAACATGCATACGTAACGCTCCAAAGGGGGGATATCATATACTTTTTTGTTGACCACCAGATAAGGAGAGTCAACTTTCTCATTCCAAAAACTCATGCGGCAAATGCATTACACGAGTACAAAAAACCTCTTATATTTTGGCTGATGAAATGTTAGAAAAGCTTTGCAGCACTAATATGATGAACTTGAGGCTAAATATAAACAGACGTTCCCAAGAATGAGAGTATCGTGTTGTTCTTACGCAGAACGCATTCGGATGTCGGGGGGAAAAGGAAAGGGAAGTGACGGCATTATCGGTATGATTACACATATCCACAACGTTTTTCTGATTTCCCAGTTTTATGAGTAAGGCCTACCGATATCTAGCTAATGGGGCGATAAATATACGAATTTGTCAAAAAGTCTAAACTACTTTTGAAGGTTCGTTTAAAATGCCATTATGTCAGGTCTGAGTGGCTCTAAAAATAAATCCACAGCAACAAAGTCGAAACACGTGGTTTCGTTTAAGGCTAAGGGGCTCGACCGGGTGGGTTTTGGCATACAATCGCTCTTAACGATATGGGGATGCTGCTGAATAACAGAGAATTTGAGAGCCTAAGAGAAAACCAGACAGTTAATGAAACTACAAAGAGTTTTAATAAATGCCAGATGTGGTTGCAGCAATACTATTTTCTCGCAATTCACACGCTCGCATGCCATTAATAAGATTCTTTGTTTTTATTTAGCATGACTTACAAATAATTCGGCATTACTTTCCTTAGTTGCGGATTCTCTAAATATTTCACATTGCTGAGACTTTCATATTCAAGGTTTTAATTTGATTTATAGTGATATGTCACGTTTGGCAGGCAGATGATAATTGGCTAAGATTAAATATAGAAAAGTGTTCAAAAACACTATTGTTTCTTAAAGACATGCATCTCAGCAGATTGAGAACATATGTTTTTCAATGCAGATACATTGTAACATTTGTGAAACAAATAAGCGTATTAATTAGACCTGCTAAGGTGAATCTGATAAGTGAGCAATAGCACAGTGAAATATTATTTCAATTTTATATCATGTGACAGTTACCTATTGATAGGGTAAATATTCGGGGCAACAAACTTTTAAGCGTGTAAAAGTAAAAGAAAAAGTAAAATAACACCCACATCTAAGATATTTCAATTGAAATGATGCAATCGAGTTCATTTTCGGCAATTCCCGGTGCCCCGTAATTGCTCCCAATGTCGGATCGGTTTGTATATGTTTAGGTTCGATTTTAGCCGTGTCATGCTTTTGCTCACGCAACCGAAATAAATGTTAATGTCGAGACGAGTTCGTATATATCTTTCGTTAAATCGGACTAACTAGTCCGCACTGGTTTTGGGGGAGCAAATAGTGAAAACTATGCATGCGATAAGAGCAAACATTTGGCATGACCAATGCTCACTAAAAATATAGAAGCAGTAAAAAGAACTAAAACAAAATACTACTAAATGTGTGCCAACTTTTTTTTTTGGTCTTCACTGGGTGAAGGTTTTTTGTATTTCTGTGTTGCCAAAATATTGTGTGTACCGCAGGTATTGCGTTCTCGCAAAATTAATTTCATTCATTGAGAGATAATGCTGGTCGATGTTGTGATCCTATATCTTATCGGGGTATTAAGTGCCATGTGTGTGATTTTGGGCTGTGACGCTTCGGTTAGATAACGTAATATATGAACCGATTTCATTACCTTTCGATGGTTGTAAATGGCTGTAAAAGTCAAAACAGCTTCGTTTGGCCCCCAAGTGGGTGCTCTTCAAAGGGCTTATCTCGCATTCCACAAACACTTGGGCAAAGGTCAGGCCAAGTCAAGTGGGAGGTCATTCAACCTGGTTGCGAAATCTGTCAAATAAGCGGCGAAACATGGCCAAAACAAACGACCAAAACCCAAAGACATCTGAAACTGTCTACGCAGCGTCTGAGAGCTGGAAATTGATATGCAAAAATGGAAAAGAGAGAAAACAAATGTATGCACATAAATATATCATATCTGTCATTTAGCTTAAGACGCAAAATAACCCCCAAGCCGGGCCTCGATTTGAGTTCTTAAAAATGCCCAACACCCTAGAAAAATCGGTACAAGTGAAACTCATTTGGGGGCCAGTGCAAAGTTCAAAAACTCAACCACTCAGCACATATTTGAAATATTTACTGTGTGAAATATGGCACATGTGACTGGGATTTACGGATTAATAATAGAATGGGGACACAAAAGCCGAAACGCAAAAGGAAAAACCAATTAAACGAAATATGTCATCGAGAACACAATACTTGCGACGTACAAGGGACTAAAAATAAAACTCATTAGAGCAGGTTTAAATGAACGAAATTATGTTCAATTGCTTCCCTGAAAAATTTTACATACAAATGGTCGAAAATACTTTCACATTTTTATAAGAATTTATTTCCATAAATTAAAGGCAACCGTCTCAAATTGAAAGTGAGTCGCACAAAACAATTAACGGGCAATTGAACTTTTGCATATTTGAATTTTCAGCCAGAAATCGCAGACAATTAAATCAAATCAAGAGATGTTCGTTTACTCAATAAATGGGATTCTATTAGTTTGGGTCTGGAAATATCCAGTTCGAATATTAAAGTGTCTGGGCGCCACAATCTCAATTAAAATTCAATATTAAATCAATAAAGAAAAGCTTGTTCTACACAGAAAAAAAAATTGATCTTAAATGGTGATCAAGTGGCTATTAATTCACTTTAAAGTCAGCGTGATCTTTTGATGTTTGACGGAATAAAAATGATACACAATATGGTTAGGAAATATAGAATTTCTCAATGAAACTACACACAATACAAAACTAACTAATAACTAATATTCTTTTTTCTCTTTTCATTGCAGTTTTTAAACTGAGGAAAAGAAACAGCGGCTTTCAAAATGGTTAACATTGTGGTGAGCATTTCTTAGAACCTCAATTGAGCAATTACCTTTATTAATTGTTGGAATTCTTTTGGACCTTTTAGGACAGCGGCTCCAAACATGCGCCCCAGGAAATGGAGCAATTCCTGCCCGGCGAAGGAAAAGTCATGTGAGTATCGTCTGGTTGGTCACTGTGCTAAAAATATGTCGCCTAAATTGCTGGTGTGGCATGTTTGCCAATTAAGTCTACGAGTAGATTAGTGTCTCTATGTCGCTAATTGGCCTTTGATGTGGCGACGGCTAAATTGATACTAGAAATGCTTTTTAAGACATTTAAGACAGGCGGCACCACGACTCGAGCACCACAGATTGATTGCAATTATCAATTATCTTTCAATATGAATGGGGGATTCTTATACAGATTTGTTAAAATATTCGTTTTAAGTCCGAGGGCAGACTTGATAACCGGGCTAGGTCCCCCAGATAAATAACTATATAATCAACCAGTCTCTTGCCTTCTAATAAGCACAAATCACGTAAGCTTCTGTCGAGGTGAGGTGCACTTACTATAAATTTTGCCGTAAAACGCAATAGAAATAAATCAAAGCCAAATCCACTTACGTACATTTTAGCGCTTTTGTTAATCAATATTGTAGTATACCTCTCAAGTTCAAGGTACTGTCTGGTTTTCAAAATATTTATGCATCCATCTGCCTACGTTTGACAAATATCGATTTTGCTGATCTGCCTTCAGATGCAAATATTATTGTTAAGGGAAATAAACAAGAAAATGAAATGCGAACACAGTTCGTACGAACGTGGAAGGCGTAAAATAAATTAGCAAGTGTAATGACAATATCAGCGGACACACGTGTTGGCTTTTCTCATTTTCAGATAATGACTTTCAATGCTTCTAAAAATTAAACTTGCCAAAGTTCTTATAGCATTAGACTGGAATATACAATATTAGAAGATTTTATTTTGCTCTTGTCATTCAATAAGTTATTTTGATGACGCTGCAATACTTATAGATTGAATCAATGAACTATAGCTGATAACCTCAGTTTTGTTCTTGAACTGATAGGAATTTTTGTGATGGAAAAATAATCGCTATTTTTATATATTTGAAATTTAAATGAATATGTATATTCTGGGTGCCAATATTCCCGGAAATTTAAGTGGGAAAGGGGTTTTAAATATCAGCAATCATCAGTAGCTGCGTAGTTTAGTATCCGTGTTCTAAAAACCCGCTGTCATTCGAATGATTTACGTCCGGCACTTTTTATAATAAGTGCTTTAAAGATAGTCATTAATTTAGCTGGCACTATTAAAGATTTCAGCTTCCTAAAGCTATCAATACAAATTTTAAATGTTTCTTTATTTGAAGTATTTGTAATAAATAATACATATAAAAAAATGTAATTGGGAAATCATATGAATTCCCTTACATCATTTCTATGAAAAAAATTAGTAAAAGATGAGTTTAGCTTAATCAAAATTTATCAAACCACTACACATAGTCCATTCATAGCCAGAAATTTAATGAAAATAAAAGATTTAACTTTTCTATGTAAAGTCGTTAAAGCGTGATTAAACACATTTGTTAATTTTTGGAAGCCATTATCTTTACCTTTTCGGACACGAATCTAGTAGTCATCAACTAAAAAATGTAGCTTTGGTATATATTTTTTTACTATAACCTCAGATTCTTGGTAGCAAAGCATAACTTAAGGAGCTTTTGAAAACTGGGCTCGCGAAATTTTTGCAGCATAAAGACAGGCTGATTTTTGCAGCTGTCGTGTGCAGATTTCTTTTATGGCTGATGCAACTGAATCGGCAATTCGAGTCAGGCACTCTGGAATGGATCGGAATCCATAGATTCCGTCAATTGGCCAGGCCAGGCCAATCAGAAACGGCCTGACCAAATTCGGCCGGTAAATGCCTGCCACTGCAGCAGCAGTTTTTTCTTTTTGTTTTTTTCTCGCGATCGACATTAAGTTACAAGTGTAGTATTTTGAGCCGACGCGTCGCCCGACAAGTGTAATTGCAGATGCAGCAATTCTGTGGCAGGGGAATTTCACTGTCAGCATATAAGAAAGAGCTGCAGTTCCGTGGCGAGTTTCAGTTTTACACAGACGATCGGACCGAGCAACATGACAATGGGCGACTTAGAACCCACCAATGTGGAGTTAAGGTGGCCATCTATATGGGGGCCTAACCTACCGAGAAATTCTCTTACTTATGGTTTACCTCAATTTAATCTTTCAGGTACAAAATCCAACCCCGCAAGTCGGATAACGAGCAGGCCTTGGCTGGAAATGACTTCGATCCGTTTGCCCTGCGAGACAACGAGCATCCCACAACGTAAGTATAGTTTATTTTTAACTTTTCGAAAAATAAATTATACAATTTATTTTCCCCTAGTGATGGTGAAACTCTCACGCATTTGCTTAAGGCATCTTTGGGCACTGGCATCCTGGGAATGCCGGTGGCTTTCATGTACTCCGGTCTCGTCATGGGAATCTTTGCCACCATCTTCACCGCCTTCATTTGCACGCACTGCAGTTACATTCTGGTAAGTTATAGCAAGAAAATCCAACTCCCAGCAATACTAGGATCGTAAAAAAATGCAAATTCATAAAATTTTCTGCTAAAACTAAAATGTATTTTATTATTATGGAATTTTCAAATTAAAATCCGAACCAATGATGTTATACAATGCCACTTTATAAAAATTTGCTGCTTTATTTATAAGCATTAACTAGGAGAATTAAAACAAATACCAAAATGTTATATAGTAAAATTTTATTAAATTTCTAAGCATATGTTTTGGACATTTTTTAATTTTTTAATCCTTAAATCTATAGATTTTCAAAAAGTTAAGCTTTTACGTTTTCTGACTTAAGGAATGATATTAGCATTTCTTAATGAAAAACTCTATAGAGAGGAAAGTTTGAGCTTATAGTTTTTCATTACACTCCAAATTTTCCTATATTTATTTGCATGAAAATTAAGTCCACCATCTTGTTATTATTAAATATCAGAACTCTATTGCGAGCAACTAATCTAATAAGTTATTTATCTTTCTTTTCGACAGGTCAAATGCGGTCACAAGCTGTATTACAGAACACGTCGCACCAAGATGACCTTTGCCGAGATCGCTGAGGCTGCCTTCCAGAAGGGACCGAAATGGGGCCGTGGGTTCGCACCGGTGGCCAAGTTCTCCATCCTGTTTGGTCTGTTTCTGACCTACTTTGGCACCTGCTCGGTGTACACGGTGATCGTGGCCACAAACTTTGAGCAGTTAATAAATCACTGGACGGGAAGCGAGATCAGGCTGCGCATGCTCATTTGCGTATTGCTGGTGCCCCTGATCCTGATCGCCTGGGTGCCGAATCTCAAGTACCTGGCGCCCGTCTCGATGGTGGCCAACGTGTTTATGGCCCTGGGACTGGGCATTACCTTTTACTACCTGGTTCAGGACTTGCCATCAGTTGAAGAACGCCAGCTTGTGACTTGGGGTACACTGCCGAAATTCTTCTCGATCACAATTTTCGCGATGGAGGCCATTGGTGTGGTTATGCCGCTGGAGAACAACATGAAGACGCCGAAAAGCTTCCTCGGAATCTGCGGAGTGCTCAGCCAGGGCATGTCCGGCGTGACTCTCATCTACATGCTATTGGGATTCCTCGGCTATCTGCGCTACGGTAATGATACCGGGGAGAGCATAACCTTGAATCTGCCCACCACGGAATGGCCCGCCCAGGCGGTAAAGGTACTCATTTCCCTGGCCGTGTATTGCACATTTGGACAGCAGTTCTTTGTGTGCCTGGAGATCGTGTGGGATGGGATCAAGGATAAATGCACAAAGCGTCCGCTTATGGTCAACTATGTGCTGCGCACAGTGATGGTGACTGCCGCCGTTTTTTTGGCCGTGGCTGTTCATACAATTGCCCCATTCATGGGTCTCATCGGTGCCTTCTGCTTCTCCATCCTGGGATTGATATTCCCGGTGGTTATTGAGCTAATTGTGCATTGGGAGACTGGTTTCGGTAAATACAACTGGATCCTCTAAAAGAACATCGTCATCACCTTGTGCGGTATTGGAGCCTTGATCTTTGGCTCCCTGGCGGCCATAAACCAAATTGTGGAGACCTATAGTTCAGAAGCGTCTAAAACCCAGAAAAATTAGGGAGAAATTACAGAAAAACACAGCTAAGGCGAGCTAGGAGAGGCTCCGCTTCCTAGAAATCATCTAACTATTGTTAGATGTAAAACTGCGCCCACATCTTGTACATTTTGTCTGTTGCTTAGTGTGTCTGTTTTGAGAACCGATAAGGGATTTACTAAGCGAGTGCCTACTATATTTAGCACACTCTTGAGCACCACTATGCCGTTTTAGCACGTTTTAGTACACTTGCATTATATAAAGTAGAGAGTAAGCTAGTTGATGGCCGCTTAAAATACTTTTAGAACAGACCTAAATGATTCAAGCGGCATTCAAACTGGAACTGTACTAAGTGCACTTCATACGTTTCGTATTGATTTTAGTACGATTTAGTACAGAGCTAAAAAAAAATTATGTAGCACCCGGAAAAACTAGCTGCACTCCCCTATCCACCTCTCTGTTCTAAAAGAGTATTACTAAAAGCAAAAAAACCAAATTGAAATCTTCTTCTCATACCTTTTTCCCCACTTTTACTTTGTTCCGTAGCAAATGATTTGCCCACATTATTTAACTTTTTAGCATGTTAAGTTAGTAAGCGTAAAATGGATTGTGAAGATGATTGCAATCAAATCAGTTCCAAATATGATGAGCTAAAATTACTCAAAGAATACCATTTTTATACGAAATCTAGCCGAGTAATAAGTTGAATTGAATTGCCCAGATATTCATTATATGTAAACATATTTTTTTGTTGCATACATATTTTTGTATTTTAATTATAGCTATAAAGAAAAAATACTTAGCAAAACTATAAAGTAAATAAAACAAGAAACACAAGCTGAATCATTATACCCTTGCAGAGGGTATTATAATTTTGGTCAAAAGTGTGCAACGCAGTGAAGGAGACATCTCCGACCCTATAAAGTATATATATTCTTGATCAGGATCACCTCCTGAGTTGATATAGCCATGTCCGTCTGTCCGTCTGTCCGTCTGTCCGTCTGTCCGTCTGTCCGTCTGTCCGTCTGTCCGTCTGTCTGTCCGTCTGTCTGTTTCTACGCGAACTAGTCTCTCAGTTTTAAAGATATCGAATTGAAACTTTGCACACACCCTTCTTTCCTTTGCACGCAGTATATAAGTCGGAACGGCCGGGATCGGCCGACTATATCCTATAGCTGCCATATAACTGATTGATCGGAAATGCCATAACTCTGCTGTTTGTTAGGTTAGGAAGTTGGGACTTTCTATGGGTTTTATATTTGGCCAATCAATCCGACGTACCAAATTTCATAAGGATCGGCCGACTATATCTTATAGCTGCCATATAACTGATTGATCGGAAATGCCATAACTTTGGTGTTTGTAAAGTTAGGAAGTTGGGATTTTCTATGGGTTTTATATTTGGCCAATCAATCAGACGTACCAAATTTCATAAGGATCGGCCGACTATATCTTATAGCTGCCATATAACTGATTGATCGGAAATGCCATAACTTTGGTGTTTGTTAAGTTAGGAAGTTGGGATTTTTTATGAGTATTAAGAATGCATTATGAATGATTTTGGAGAATATAATTTGCAGAATATTCTGCAAGGGTATTTCAACTTCGGCTCCGCCCGAAGTTAGCTTTCCTTTCTTGTTTTATTTTGCATTTATAATTCTGTGCAGACAACGAAGCAGATTTATTTGTAAAATGAAGAAAAGGTTTACCGCAGACTTATCTGTCAACTGTACATATGTATATTGATATGAACACAACGAGTTCTAAGTATATCTGCCCAGAAAAGTATTTAGAGTTGTCCATATTACATATTCAGAAGAACAAAGATTGATATGAATGTTTTCTTTTTGAAAAATGTTTAAATTGTAAACAAAACAAAGATATAAATATACACAAAAAATAAAATATGAGAATGTCAACCGAGAGAAAGAACTTGTACTTATTTACCATCCTTGTAAATTGTAGACCTACCAATTTATTTTTTACGTAACCCTGAACTTTTCTTGCCATTTTTGCCCTGCGGGTTCAAAACGCGTGGCACTTGCTCCGATCGTTTCGGAATATCCATCCGCTCAATGGCCGAAAAACCTGCTCGAGCAACTTCAATTACCAATGACTGAGTAGTCATTTGTTAATTGGTAACAAGTGGACAATGGACAGGGGCGAAGCGAATTCGGTTTGTTGATGCTATTTTCACTAAATTGCTTGTTCGATCCCACACAAAAAACCAACTATTCCACGTAGGCAAGGGGCAAGTTCAAATATTACGGGCAATTGAACTCGACTTTTGGCCAATTAGGTAACCTCCAAGGCAAAGATGTGGACCACAGACGGGCCACCACGATCACTCTTTCGGAGATCGAGTTGATGTCAGATCGTGGTCGTGGTATTGGGCTGTCATATTTTGTGACAAGATGCAAATTGGAAAGGCCTGGGAATGACTGACTGAGGCAGAAGAGCCAACTTATCCTTGACATCGAGTTTGGACCATTTGTGATGGGTTCGACGAGCGAGCCCCTCCAGGAAGCTCGAATCTTGGCCAATTAGCGACCGCAACAATTTGGTTTAGACCAACAATTGAAAAGCTAACAACAGTTGTGAACATGCCCGAGGTCCAAGGCTGGTGATGATTTAAAATAATTAATCTTTGGCCGGGTCTCCTCGACGGCTGGATGTTACTACAAACCGATATTGTTGCATCTTGATTGAGCCAAGGTCTAAATTTTACAATCTACTAAACTGCAGAAGCTGACTCGCTTTATTATTGTGCTTTTCGCTGCTCTGTCTATTGTAATTTGAAATGTAAAACCTTTTTCGGTTTCGATTGTGCAATTTAAATTACAACGTGCTTTATTTTTGTGTTCGGCATTTCAATTGATCTATTTGTAGGCGTTCTTATCGCCATTTGCTATCTTGTCTTTGGAAATACTTTCTCCAGGTTTTGCATTATATATTTATGTAGGGTCTTCTTTTTTACACGCTTGTATCATATGAATTGTCAAATTTCTATGGCATATGCCTTTGGAATTTTTAAGTAAATGAAAACGGAAGCGTGGGAATTTTTTTATAATTAAAATATTTACTACCTGAAAATGATAAATAGAAATCATAACATAAAGCCTACCTTTTTGAACATTATCAATGTTTCAAAGTTTTACCTTGTGTAAAGTTTTTATGTTGAAAATTTGATTGATGAATTTCGGAAATTTTATGATAAATGTTGAATGTTTAATTTGATGGGCTTAATGCTTTTAAATGAATGTATCATGACGAGTTTTAAATGTTAAATGCAAAATATTAAATAATAAATGAGTCATGATTTTGTATGTGTTAAATTTCGATAATTTTTAGTAACAAATAAATTCTTATCAATGGCACGCGCCTTGAATATAACTGAACAATTCATAATAAGTCAATTATCCTCCAAGAAAGACCTTTCAAGCATTCACCCAGTGCCACTCCACTTTCACAATACCTTCAAGGCCCAAGCGCCAATAAACCGCATTATTTACAAAAACCAACTTTTCTGACATGAAAAGAAAACATCAAAGACCTCTTGAGACAAATAATAAGCAATTCAACAGCAAGGGGCTGGCCAAAGACAAAGGCAAGGGGAGAAAAATTACACAAATATTTAAAATAATAACGAAAACAATCAATAAATATGAAACGTTTATGAAAAGTGTTGACTTGAGGGCGCAATCAACAGCAACTGAAAATGGGCAAAAACAAAAGGTTGAGGCATCGAAGCAATTCGAAGCAATCCAATTCAGCCATTCACTTTCGAGACAAGAAAAAGGTTGTAGTGGAACCATAAAAAATTGCCATGTCCAAGAAACCAGTGTAATTATGTATAACACAGATGTACGAACGGGCACCAAGGGATCTCTACCACTGCAGACTTTCAAGTCAAGTAGCCGACCCATCATCCCACTATGGATTTAGATTTGGATTTGGTATTTTTTTGAAAGGGAGAGGAGTGGAGGTATCGAGATTAATTGTGGCAATTCGGCTAAAATGATTTTGCTGCCACTTCCAGTTAAAAACCGCAAATAAAACTAACTACAGCGAGAAGTTGGTAATATTAAGTGCCGTTTGTATTTGAAAATCAAGTAAAAGCAATGGGAAATCATTCAGGGTTCAGATTCAGAGCCTAAAAATAAAGCTGCTGCTGGCTTTGCTGCTGCTTTTCATGATGATAATAATGATGATGAGCGCGTCGGCAGAAAACGTCGGCAGAGGGCACCCGCTAGTGGAGATCGGTTTTATGCATTTGCATTCATTATGTTTGGCACCGTCGACGCGACCACAACGTAACTCCAAGATCGGAATAGGAATTGGAGATCGGAATCGGAATTCGTGGAGTATATAGCCAACCACTTACCAGGTAGCTTTGGCAACAATCGTCACGTGATCGTGTCGCGATCGTTCATTCTGCTCGTCATTCATCTGTCGTCTCGTCTTGTGCAATTATTGCCTGTCGAATGTCGAAGAATATGTCTCGCATCTGGATTTGTGTACCGAGCTCTTAACGTTTGTCTGCAGAAGTCGAACTCAAAGTCTACGGATCCGCGAGTGCCTGTCGATCAACTTGACCTTTCAGCTCTCAGATCAGGAAATTGCTCAAATTCCTGCATTAAAATGTCTTCCCCATATGTGATCTTGCTGATCGCATTACTATATCTTTGCCTGAGTCCGGCTATAATTGCCCAAGACTTTGAGTTAGCGGAACGCAACCACAAGGTGTGTACGCCTTAACCTCGTCGCCAGTAAAACAAAAACCATAAATAATTCTGTCAAAAAACCAATTTCAAGAAACGCCAAATCTATCGGGAGCAAGTATTGCCACATGCGGGTGGTAAGATACCAGACACCGCCTTCGAAACGGATCGATTGTTTTTGAATCGCCTGCAAAAGGAGGGAATCGCAGTGCCAGATGGCATAGTGCCGGAGCAGCGCAACCCGCAGGTAAATATCAGCAGGAGTCCTGAGATATCCTTTTTGGAAAAGGCTCTGGGGAATGATCAACAAACCTAAGCCTTTAGGAACGTCACTATTTACACAAAGTATTCGTTGTTAAAACCATATATAAAACTAAAAAAAAGTATCTCCAAAAGAACAAAGTAAAAAAAAAAATATTTCAAAAATATATACAGCTTAAAAGTTTTGTTGGTAAAGAATCAAATTAATAAAATGTGTATTAGTTAATATCTGAAGTAGACAAAATTACAAAATTAAGACATAATAAATTATATAAATAACATAATATTTTTCATAGTGTAGTTTAACTGGGCTTGTTCAAAACTATGTTTACGGAAATAGGTTGTTTTTCGAATAGTTTATAGCTTTCAATTCACATATGAATCACAAAAAATGTAGACATTTGTCTGATACAAGCAAATTAAGGACAGATCAATTAATCATTTAGTAATGCTATTTAAACCGTGTTGTGCGATCATTTTTTTTAATCAGACAAACTCAAAAATAAGCACTGAAACATAAACTAATGGTTGTACAAGTTGTTGATTAATTTATTACCAACAGATAACGTGCAATAAAATGACAATTAAGAAACTTGTTAAAAAATAAAATAGCCTTTATTTTATAGCAACCCAATAAATATTTCCCTTAAATGGTATTATCCACACTTTAGCTGCAATGGAAAGGTAGTTTAAAAACATATTAAAGACCAAAAATGGGTAATAATAAAAATATTTAGTGCTTAGTTATTATCAAACGAATTTGATTTGTAAACATTAATAAATCCAGCAACATAGTCCATATTTAGGATATTTTATGTTTATTGATCTTTTAGAAATGTAGTGAATAATTTTGTGATTAATGCTTATTGATTTATTGGTCAATAAATTCGTGACATTTCTATCAGGTGTATCAGTACTACAACAAACCCATGCGCACCGTCTTCCACATCGCTTTAAGTTCGGATGGGAGGTATACGCCGCGGGAGGGACGGTACCACTACCGCCAGGTGCCCACGGTGGAGACCACATACCTGTATCCCCAGGCTGTGGGTCGCCAGCACGTGCTGGTGCCTCCGAAGCACGCTCTTCCCGTCTACCGACAGCTCCAGTTGCACAATCCACTCCTCAACCAGGTCAAGTTTCAGCCCAAGAAAAGTGAGTAGTGATTGGAGGAGATTTGGGGAGTGCACCCAATGCTTAAATGCTTCCGCCTTTTCAGTGCCCAATTTTCTGGAACTGGCGCCCACGGTGGGCAAGAGCCATGCAAACCCATTGGCCGGATCGGCCAAGGCGCAGTCTTATCAGAATGTGAATCTCCTGCATGGTCACAGTCCGGCGCTGCCGGCTTTCAAGAAAACCGCCCGGGGCAGCAAGACCTATGTGGACAGCTATGGCACAACCCATGTGAGTGAGGGGGATTATAGTCATCTCCAGGCGGGTTTGATGTAATACCCACTTTTTTGTTTAGCTCTTCAGCGAGTTTGACGATCTGCTGAACAAACTGGACTTGCAGCAAATGGCCCGCAAGAATTATTAGTTTTAGTGCTGTTTATGCCCAAATTTAGTAGAATTTATGGATATGGCATCTATGTTCATCTCTAGCCAAGAGTTAAGTTTACAAGTGGTTGGTAACCATTATCTAACCATGAGCATATCATTTCAAAACTTTGCCATACGCCCGCTCACCGATTATTCCATTCCCATGTTTGCAAACAATTCATGCCCAGCCCATACACGGAGAGAAAATATTGGCTTAAAAGATATTGTCTTCAAAACCACATTTTATTATTGATTTCAAGAATTTACAAATAACAGTTAAATTATTTTGTTAATGATATAAGATGCATTGTATTTTTTATGAATTTCTCTAATATTTTGTTTTTGTTATATTCCTCCAAAGCCTAAACACAGATGCATAAGAAATAAGTAAATGTTATTATTAAATTTTCGTAATGTTTTTGATTTGTTACAAAATTAAATTAAATAATAAACTCATTTTAAATTCATTATTCCTTTTTGTTACTACCGAAATTCAATTTACATCATCTGAAATTTTATGAAGACCAAATTTAGTCTGCGATTTCAAATCCTTTGAAATTTCTTTCCATATGACTAGATAAACCCCTCTCTTTTTATTCAAAAAATGTTTAAAAATATTTAAACCGAAGGATCATAAAAATATATTCATTTTGTTCTGTGTAGCCAGTTGCATCCACATCCACCCATCGCATGCCAACCCATCCACATATTATAGAGTCTAAGCCAGGCCAAGCGAAATGGGAATTCATCGCTTTTAGCTAGTTAAGCGTAAACAATTTGTATCTTGCAAAATAAACCCAGCCCGAGCTGCATTGTACTTTCCCACATCAGTCATATATCATAATTATGTGGGGACGAGGGAGCCATAAGCTGCGAGAGGTTCGTTTTCTTTGGCAATAATTGAAGCAAAGTGAATTTTGCTAAGTAATTGCCAATTTGGAATGAAAAAGCTTGGGCCAACAGCTTCCAGCAGCGCGAAAATCGAAATCGGATCGGTACCCTTGAAAGCTCCATGCTGAAGTGGTTGCCGCTGGAAAACTGCAGCTCAGTGTGATTTTCAAACCCAACTCGGACGGTCGTCGCTCCAACTCCAAAGGCAATTCCAAGCTACCAACTCCAAAGTAGGCGGAAAAGTATATCCAGCATAATGATGCCGAAGCTGGGCTGTTTCTCTTTCTGGTTGATGCTCGTGATCGGAGCTGCTGTGGCCATCGAAGTTCAGGTGAGGATTGAAGATTGAGGATCGGATCTTGAGTGTATAATTGTGCTGGGGAATCAATTAAGAATCAATTAAGAGGAGCGTGCACCACCCCAATTGACAAAGCTCTGGGTGTCTTTACAACGTTCACTTTTGACCCAAAAATTGTAACATGCAATATGTGTATGTACCAAACGAATGCTTATAATGAGGCAGTGCCACGCGGGGAATTGGGGGTACTAAGACCAAACCGGATTGGGGCACGAGCTCTTGTTGTCTTATGCAATGGTCTCCATTTGATATGTTTACAGAAATTCGGATATCTATTCAATCCGCCACAAGCGGAACACCCGCAGCATCACGAGGAGAAGCAAGATCTGAACAAGATACCTGGAGTTCCGGGCGTGGATTATCCGGTTTACCATGAGGTACCGCACACCCACTTCAGTTGCCACAATGTTCCGGCCACTCCGGGCATGTACGCCAATGTGGAGACGGGCTGCCAGGCCTATCACGTGTGCCACGATGGACGCGAAGGCGAACAGGGAGCCAAGTTCCTGTGCACCAATGGCACCATCTTCAATCAGAAGGAATTCGCCTGCGACTGGTGGTACAATGTGAAGTGCGAGGAGGCCACCAATTTCTACCAGTAGGTTTTGGACTTCATTTATTTTTATCTTTTGTATTAACTCATGTTTTACGTTTCCCAGTTTAAATGCCGATCCCGAGCACAATCCTTACTTCCCCAAGAAGAAGCCTGAGCTGGAACCCTATGCAAATGACATCCATGATAGCAAATTCCTGATACAAGCTTAAATCTATTTTCATTCGTTATTTTGTTGCTGTTGTTCCCCATTTTGTAAATAAAACGCGAATTTAGCTTTCCATAATTAGAGTACATTATAAAAGATCCGGTCCAAAGTTTAAAAAAGGCGTAGCATACTTTCTGGCAGCACATATTTGAATAAATTAAAATGAATGTCTCATCTGATGGTAATACATATTCAACCAATCATTCATTTGCCAGGAAGGTATGAAATTATTTGCATTTTTTTTTTAAAGTAAGTATCTTAAAAATTTAACATTACAATAAAATATTTTTTACAATGGAATAATACTGGAGTAATATATAAGCATATGCTTTTTTCGTATTTTTCAATTTAAAAACTTCTATGCAAAAAAAATAAAAATGTTTTTTTATGACTGAAGAATTTAAACAAAATAACGGTAATTGTATTTACACGGTATTAAGAAAATGTTCGAAGTATATTTTAGTATAACACATTCTGGTATTTTATAAAAATAGAAGGCCTTTCGGTATTTTCAACTAGCGTTAATCACTGCCTTATTAAAAACAATAGCAATATTCTCGAATAAAATCGCTCTCGAAAATAGAAATAAGTAGTAAAATGAATCTGTTAGACTTGCCGCAAACGGTGCTTCTGGACATTTTCGAATGGCTGCCCTACGATGAGGTGGCCAAAAAACGAGAGGTGAGTTGGTTGACCTGGTAATACCGGAGGAAAGTCTCTGACCCGTGACTAAAACTAGACGTTTCCACCTAGGTGTGCACACTTTTTAATTACATCGGCCAGCAAGTTTTGAATAAGGGATTCAACAAGATAATTTTAGCCCATGCCAAGAACTTCAAGCGGATCAAATCCATGCTGCCACGACGGGAATCGGAACGCAGGTGAGTTCCACGCACCATTCCGCATACATCGAGATTGTTCTGATGACTTCAATGTTCTTCCCCCCTTTAGGAACCACATCCTATCCCGTCACTCGGACATACTCACCTCCATCGAGACACGCATATCAATGCTGACTATGACGTATTCCAAGTTCATTGACCTTAACATCTGCTGCTTTATACCGGGTCGCGTTCTGGACGAGATCAACAGCATACTGCGCATTTTGAGTACCTCCACCAAACAGCTGCGACCGCACGAGGTCCTGCAAGAGCTGCGTGACATCTCCTCCATGGCCATTGAGCATTTTGACGAGAAGATTGCCGTTAACTTTAAGATGGAGCACCGGAAACAACTGGCGGAATCCACGGCTGCCGGAACTCGCCTGGTGGTTTGCAGTGCCTTGGGGGACATAAGCTTTAGTGGCGTCAAGCGAACTGGAATAAGTCGACCCGTTGATCATGCATTAGTCCAGCAGGCCATCGTCCAGTTGGCCCCCATCTGCGCCAGCAAACCATCACAGTCGGAATCCTCCCCGCACAGGGATCGAGTCTCCAGGCACCTCCTCAAGCAGTACCAAGTGCAAAGGACTCTCACGCAAAAGATTCGCAACCTGGAGGTGTCGCGGAAGGTGCAGGATCGCCGCCTACAGGAAGCCCTCTCCAGCATCACAGAGCTGACCACCCAGGTGTCCGAACTCAAGCGCCAGATGGAGGATGTGGTCGCCAATATACCAAGCTGTGCCGTCAAACGACAGGCGGTGGCCAATGCGGAGTGCATACCACCGCCGCAAAAGAAACCCAAGGTCTAGCCAAGGATTAGGTTTAAAGAAATAGCATAGACATCAACCACTCCCATCCAGACAATTGTAGCTATTAGGTGGAGTACGTAGCATAAACATAAAGAGTGCATCTTCGATATATCGCGTTAAGATTTATTGTTGCACTTGTTACTTAAATATTGTATTACTACTATATAAATACATTGAACATCTAGTGAAAAGTTCTCATTTACTCAATCGCAATCGCCTGTCCATGATGGATTTCGTCTGTATCGTTTTTGGTTGAGTGAACAGTATGGTTGGTTTGGGTTTTCCCAAACTGCACAACTGCAGTCATCGATAGTAACTCTGGCTTTCGTTTAGTTCGTTAGTTGGCGGAGATCCATCCCGGGACGGTCCCTTGCTATTGTTTAGTGCTAAAACTACTGCTCTATGGGGGTGGATATCTGGGCTCTGGTGTCCTATGATGCTATGGTAATTACTCATTATCTTAGCGTATAAAAGGTAGTAGAAATTGCAACACGTTAGCATGGTTTCTTTGAGGGTCTCTGACTTAATCTGATAGCTAACTACGTACATACACAAGGCTTTCTATATACAATAACACAAATAGGGAGTTAATAACATTTTCGGGGAGGGGTATATATTGCATAACAAAAAAACCAAATGGAAAACAAAATTCATTGCAAACTTCTTATCGACATAATGTGTATAAACTAGTCAAAATTGAAAGCATTGCCACGTTGAAATGTAAACAGTTACATCTCAATATCCGATCCTACGCTCTTATCATACAGTTAGTAATAGTGTCAGTTAGTCAACTGGGAGATAAACGTTGCATAAATATATGTGTTTTGTGGGTCGCTGTCTCAACGCTCAATTAATACGTCCTTGTATCAACACATAGTCAAAACTATATTTCACCCAATTATCATTTTAGCTGCTCACTAGCGATGGCGAATCACATACGTATACACATTTTGTTTTATATGTACATCAGCGCGGTGTTTCTAATCCGTATTCCTATCCGTATCTCTATCTGTGTCTGTAACTTGCGCCGCCGATTAGTAACGACGCCGACGATGCTACTTTTTCTTTACCGCCGCCTTGTGGCTAATCTTCTCCTGTAGTTGCCTTATTAGCTGCTGTATATCATCCACGTTGTACGCGTAGATTAGCTTGCATTGCTTGGCCTGGATGTTGCCGTTGTTGAGGTTCTTCAGCGCATGCTGCAGGCAATAAATATTTCCGTCCTCGGTCCGCACCATCGATATGTACAGGTTGGCGCGGCACAGGTCGCATTCGCTCTCGATCGACTTGTATGGAGGCTGCTGCTGCTTCTTGGCCTTCTGACCTTTCTCCGCTTGCACTTTCTCGGTGGATGTCACACCAGCAGCCTAAAAAATATGAAAGTAAATACATTACAGATGGCTTAAATAGACTGTAAACAATTAAATTTGTTGGGGTACACATTTAATCATAGTCTTATATATTTTAACCATTTTTGTAACTCACCCTAAGTTGCTCTCTGGCTGCCGATTCCTTCTCGCAAACATCATTGAGCATTGGCAGCATTTGATGCAGAGCATCAGAGTTCACACGCTGGTCATAGCCCAGAGCAAACAACAGCTGCTCCAGCGAGAACATGGCCGGCTCACAGCTCTCATGGATGTCCTAAAAACCAGAAATGTATTAATTAGTATAATTCAAATGTAGAGCAGATAACCACACTTACCCTGAAATCATCTTTGGCCAAATCCAGCCATGACATGGTGGCGAAGTAAACGCTCTCGGAGACCACATAGCCCGTGGCCAGGCTGGAAGTGTAGGCCCGTGGGAATACCACAATAAACTCGCCCGGCTTCTGCTCGATGCGACACAGGGAAACGCCTCGATCCGTTAGCATGTGCGGTGGCACCATCACCGTATCACAGGGCAACCAAATGGTCTTGTTCTGGCAGTGCGTCGGGATCAGCGACGTCAAGGCCGACCTGAAATTCGCACTCTGATCGTCGGGAATTCCGTACCACAGCTTGGAGGCACCCGTGTGAAGGTACTCGATCCAAGACAGGCCGTGTGGATCCCTGTACCAGCAGCAGGCGGAGAAGAGCATGCCAACGTGGAGTGTGGGAACGGTGACGCCCATGACCGGACCCAAGGAGCGCAGAACAGAACCAGAATTATTGGTCAATACCTTCAGGTTCCACGGATGCCTGGCATAGTTGGAACCTTTCCCCTTGGGACCCGGACTAGGGAAGCCATAGCCCCAGCCCGAGCTATCAATCGAGCCCGAGTGGACGCACACATGGCTATCCCGGACGGCCACGTGTCGCCAAAACTCCGCTTCCACTTCGTTGACCGTGGGATCGGTGCTCTTGAACCACAGCGCCATCGTGTTCCGGGCAATCCTGTAGAACTGACTGAGGGGCATACTCCTTCCCTTCACGATACACTCCATGGACACGCCGTCGATCTCCTCCTCGGACTCTTCATCCTCGTCACTGCTCAGATCATCCTCTTCGTTGGACACGCTCTCCGTGTTCACGAAGCGATCCGCATTCCGTCGCGCTCGCGCCTCCCGCTTTGCCCAATCCGCCTCCACCTCATCAAAGAGCTTTTGGCGCTCCGCCGGCGACAGCGTATCGTAGGGCAACAGGTACTTGCAGTAGATGTCGTCCAGCTTGGTCACCCGATCTTGGGCCAGCTTTGGTATGCACATTTCCTCCGCCACGCGCGCCCACTTCTTCTTTTCGATTACCTCCTTAAGGCCTCCAAGCTCCTGGACAGTATGATACAATCGTGGCAGATCCACCTCCATTCCACCGATCCAAGGAGGATGATTCATCACAATGCTCTGGGTGGCCAGGTACTTCTTAATAGCACTTAGCTCCTTGGCACTCGGTCCCCAGCGATGGAGCATCTTGTGTACGTACTGATTGTAGGCCGTAAAGCGCATCTCGTCCGATATCCGACATTCCGGTTTGAAACTGGCCGGCGGAATGATCTTGCAGATGCCAAACCTGGCCGCTATCGGGGTGATCCGTTCAATGAACTCGATGGGATCGGCGAACTCCTTCTCCGTTGGCCGGAAGATGGGCGCTTCCACCATTTGTGTGGGATCGTCGTGTCGCGGGAAGGCCGTATTGTTGGCCATCTTAATGGGTGTGTCATCCTTGTACTTCTTGGCCACTGCAGCCGCCGTGGAGCTCGTCTGGGCAGCTGTTCGAGACTTAGCCGATCCAGAGAAGAGTGACGAGTTTGAGTTTACTCGCACCAAGCTGGAGGCACCAGGATTAGTTCCTGCTCCTGCTGCTGCCGAAGTGCTCGCCTTGGGCAAGCTCTTGAGGCTTGTGGTGGTCGAGGCCGCATCATTGCTGGCCGCATGCAGCAGGGTCTTTACCAGCTCGTTGGTGTTCAAGGACTCCGGCAGTGGTTTCGAATTGGTGTCCATCTGTGCTTTTGTCACCAAAGTGGCCTGCATTACCACCTTTTGATTGGGGCCATCGGGTCCCTCTCGTCCCAGCTTTACTGCCACACCTTGGATGCCTCCATCACCGCTGCCACCTACTCCGGCTCCTTGAAGGGGTATGTAGAAGGTGGCACCCTCTGCATCCGAATCTCCACTGGCTTCCACGGGTGGTGCTGGCGGAGCTGGTGTTTGTTGCTGTTGCTTTTTAGCTGCTCTTCCAGTTGCTGCCTTCGGTTTGCCCTCGATTTTGCAGTTCTCCGTAGGACTAAGCGTTAGTTGAACCGCCGTGGCCGCCGCCGCGGCTGCTGCCCGCTTTTTGGTTGGAGATCGCTCACTCAGTGCGTTGGGAACGGGAGCTGGGGCAGAAACTGGACTAGGATCCGCCCGCCGACGATTTCCAGACTTGGTGCCCGTCTCTTCCTCCTTGCCAAAGGCATAAACCGATTCTCTTTTGGCTCCCGTTCCGCTTGGAGGATTAGCTGCCAATTTCGGCTCCGCCTGTTGCTGCTGTGCCCTGGCGTTCTTTTGATTGTAAACAGGCGTTCGCTTGGGGTTAGGTGGAGTGGGTGCAGCAGGCGGAGAAGCTATTGAAGTTGCACCGCCTCCAGAAGTGGCATTCCTCTTCCCCTTCTCCGGTTTTTGCTTGATGGCTGGCGGTGGAGTGGGGCTGCTCTTAGATGGAGTCAGAGACATCGGAGTAGGTGTGGATGAAATGGGAGTGGGAGGCGTGGCAGCAGCACTTCGGGGTTGAGGAGCAGCTTTGGATGCAGCGGATTTAACCGACTCCTTGGTCTTCCGATCATTGATTTTCTTTTCGACAGCCGTTGACTCATTGGACGTGATCTTCTGTGTGAGATTCACAGGTGTTGAGGATTTGTCATAATCCAAGGCATCACAATCTTTTCCATCTGCGTGCTCCTGCTGCTCCTTGCGACTTGGTGGAGTAACCAGAACTGGCGTGGCCTTCAGAGATGGCCCCTTGGCCGACCAGGCACTCTCACTCTTGCCCAGATCGCCGCGCGTATTTTTCGACGACGAACTGAAGCTCGCACTTAGCTCCTTATCATCTCTCGTAGGCGGCGGAGTAGTGGATTGCTGGGGTCTTAAACTGTCATCAAAATCATCATCCAAATCGTCTTGGATTTCATCCGGATTAGATGAGCATTCAATGAGCCACTTTTGAATCTGTTCATGCGTCATGTTCACCTTTGCCTTGCGCCGCTCCTTGCTGGACAACTGGTCGCCAAAGTATCCCTCCGTTGGCACCACTGGGCCCAGCACAGGCTTGTGTATCGATCCACACTTGCCCAGTGTGCACTTGGTGTTGTCCGGCCCAGAACTCTGCGCCAAACTCACGCTGGCAATGCCGAAGATCTTGCCAGACTCCTCCTTGCTTGGCATCAACGTGGCCTGCGCCAGAATACTCCCAATCTCGTCCTTGAGAGGATCGGAATTTGGGCCGGCTCCTCCTCCAGTTCCTGCACTATTACTGTGCGCGGGCGGTGGCGTGGAGGTGGCTGTTATTGTGGCGCCAACAGTCGCCTGATGAGCTGCTGCCGCTGACGTGGAGGCCACGGACATTGGTGCTGCGTTCACTGTAGCAGCAATACTCATACTCAGATTTAAGCTGGACGTCTGGATGACCACTTGACTGACTGGAGGGGAAGGTGGCGGTGGTGCCAACGGGCTCTTAGTGGCAGACGAGGGTGTGCCCACGGTGGTAGCTGTGGTTCCCGATGTGGGTAGAAACTTTACCGGCGATGGGCTTGGAAAGCTGCTGGTCGATGATCTCGGCATTGGACTCCGCTCGTACTTGGGCGTCAGAAAGTTCGGGTTGATCTTGGGACACTGATAGGCCTCGATGGGCGGCGGATAAGTGGTCGGTGGCGTTTGATACTTTAACGGCGAGGAGCCCTGGGAGGGAGTCTTACTCCCAGATGGCGTTCCGCCTCCAAACTGATGGGTGGGCGTGGGTGGTGGACGCACATAGCCCGAATGGTAGTGGGGCGATGCCTGCGGCAGATACGAGGACGTCTTCTGGAAGCTCACGGCACCACTGCCACTTCCCGGCAGCGCATAAGTGGCGGGAACGTTCAGGATCTTGGACGTGGGCACCGGCGGTTTCTTCTCCATGGTTTTGAGCGGTGAATAACTTGCATGCATGCATGGAAACATGGGCATAGTACCCAGCGTTGGCGTAGCCTTGGCCGTCAACGGGAGCATAGTCAGCTGGGTGGTGCTAGTGGTGGCCGGTGGTGTATTGGGCACCGCCAGCGAAGGAGTAACCGAAATTAGAGGCGTGGGCACAGAAATGGGCGATGGGATCGCCATTAATTTTGGCGGCGGACTGGGCATCTTTGGTGGCGATACTTCTTTCTCCTTGGCCGCCACTACCGGCACTTTAATGGCCAGCGGTTCGTCGTCCGAGTCACTGAAACTCTTTTCCAGCTTCCGCTTAGTTTCGTTTAGTTCCTCGTTAATGAGAAAGTCCTCCTCCTCGTCGGAGTCGACTTTCGAATGTTCGGACTTGGCTTTGGGTTTGGCCTGCTGCTCAGATATCTTGGCCAGGGAGCCCTTCTTCACCAGCATGCCCTCGATGGGCGGTTTGGGGGGTGGAGCGGTTGCGGATGCCTTGCTCTGTTTGGGCGGACGTCCACGTCGGGCTGGGGGCGGTGGCTTTTCCTCCTCGGCTTCTGGCGGGGAGGGGGACGCATCCCTGGTGGCTTCTGCCGAAGCAGTGGCTGGCGAATTTTTGGGTCGGGGCGACGGCTTACGGGTTAGTTTGCCTGCCGAAAGCACCGTCGTGGCCTCCGGCACGTTTAACTTTCCCGCCGCATTACGTTTGATCTCGTTCTCCATCTTCTCCATTTCCTTGACGTTGGGTATGTCAGGAAAGCTGCTCATCGACAGATCATCCTCCTCGTCATCGGCCAGCTGCAGTTTGTGGCCAATAATGCCCATGTAGATGGCCGCTGCCTCCTTGGTTTTACGGGAGGGTCGCTGGGTTCGCTGAGGTTCTAGCTCAGCGGAGTCTTCCGAAGCCTTGCTTTTCGCCGACTTCCTAGATCCGCGGGCATTGGTGGCGGCTTTTTTGGAGGAGGGGGGCGCCAACTCCTGCTCATCGGCTGGAGCATCCTCTGCTTTCTTTTTGCCGGCTTTCCCTCTTTTCCCGCCACTGGGTGGCTCCTCCACTTTGCTCTCTGGAACAGGCTCCTTTTCCTTCTCCTTTTCCTTTTCTTTTTTTTCCTTGGTTTTTTCCTTTTCTTTTTCTTTTTCTATCTCTAGTTCCCTTTCCTTCTGCTTTTCTTTTTCCAGCTGCCTTGCTTTTTCTATTTCTTTTTCCTTCTCCAGTTTTTTAGCTGCCGCCTTGCGATTCCTGGCCGCCGGAGCAGCTGCCGCTCCACCTTTCTTGGGGCTTGTCCCTTTGCCGCCCTTTTTCAGCTTAATGGACTTGGCCAGCGGCTGCTCATCATCTGAACTAAAATCAAAGACATTTAGACTTTTCTTGCCCTTGGTCCCCGCACCATGCTGACTGTCTCCATTCTCCAGCTGCTGCTTGGCGTCTTTGGCATAAATACTGGAATTCGTCTTCTCCTTGGCTTCTTTGATCTGCTTAGCAGGCTCTGACTCCTTTTCCGGTTTGCTTGCAGGCGACTCAGGTTCTTTTTTGGGCTCTTCCTTTGTCGAATCCTGGTCGGCAGGTTCCTCCTGATGCGGCGGAACCTTAACGGGTTCGAAAAAAGCCCGCTGTCTTGTCATGCGGCCAGAGGATTCGGGTGAGGGTATGAAAATAGGCGACTCCCGTTGCCTAACGCGCTTAACGGGCCCCTTGTCCTTCGCAGCTGGCTGGGATTCCGGGGTGGGCTCCGCTGCTTTCTTGCCCGCCGACGGTCGACCTCGCTTAGTGGGCTCTGCTTTCACGGGACTATCTGCTTTGACCTCCTCACCATTACGCGAGCTGGCATCATGAGCAGAGAAGAACTCTTCATCATCCTCATCTGCTTCTTGTTCCTCCAGATCGTCTGAATGGTCATCATCTATTATGGGTTTGCTTTCCTTAGTGCTAGCACGATTGGAGCGGCGCTTGTTGTCGTTTGAGGATGCTGCTTTCACTGCCTTGTCAGGAGTAGCACCGGCTCCGGCTGCTCCCCTGCCTCGTGCTCCTCGTCGATTGCCATCGGTGACAATCTCTGCTCGTTTGCGCACCGCTCCTGGCAGCACAGGAGTAGGCGTTGGCGAAGGAGTTTCCGGGACTATTGCTGCAATGAGATTGTTTTTATCACTGGCTGCTTTTTCTGCTGTTGAGGGTTTCTCGGTGGGCTCCGTTACGGAGACTACCGCTTCCACTTTCTTGGCCGCTACTTTAGCAGGACGACCCCGCTTCTTTTTGTTGCCTCCCAGGACCGCTCTACTATTATTGGCCTTTTTTGCATTGTTATTATTGTTGCCTCCTGTCGGTGTGGACTCCGAACCCTTGGACTTGCCCTGGTTCAGGAAATCCAAGTGGGCGGGCAGTGCCGGAGTGCCGCGAAAGCAGAGAAAGGTGAGGAAGTCCTGCGCATTGGGACACTTGTTGGGCAGGATCTCGATGGGCGGCTGAGAGCTATCTGCTCCGGAGGTGCTGGGCCCCGATCCGGATCCAGCTGCCGCTGCTGCTGCGCTGTAGGCAAGGCTCGAGGAGCTGCTGGGCGCACTCTGGCCCTGGGCGAATTTGCGCTGAGCCTGCACCTTCGTTCTGCAAGTGGAATGTGACAAAAAGAGGTGTGAGTGATTTATAATTGGAAACAAGGCAACTTGATACAAATTGGAAAAGTCAATATTAATTTAAAATCATAATAATAGCCACGGAGCTTCGGATTACGAGTGAGCATAAACAGTGGGCTTCAGCAGGAACTGATAAAATGGTTCAGCAGAATTACATTTATTCAGCCCATATTACTTATTTCCTTTGGACGTTATCATAAATGAGTGAATGTTCAGGCATTATGCTCTATTTTGATAATATTTCTATCATTTATTGCCTATCGACTGATCTTTGCTTACAGCCTCTATTCAAACAAAGCAAAGGCATTGATGTCACTCTTTTGTTTTGAGGACAATTTTACATTTATGTGGCTATCATATTTTATATTAACTAGTTTAAGGTATGAGGTATTTTTTTTAATTCAACAAAAGATTTATTAATTTTCAGTTGTTTACTGTAGCGTGGATATGTTAAGAGCTATATAGGTTATAACTATTTTACAGAAGTATAAAACGTGCATCAATTCTGACACGCTAAGATGAATGTTTAGATATTTTTTAAAATATTCGCTACTTGATAAAAGCATAGAAGCATAAAAACGCGACAGATACGTGAAATTTTTTTTAGTAATAAGCCAATGTTTAGGAAATCGTTTACTTTATAGTGAAAACTAAAATAATAATTACAACATTTAGATAATTTGCCACATTTGCTATGTAACCTGACCAAATAGTACTATAAATATCAACTACGACGCAGTTAGGTAATTTAGACATATTTCCAAATTCAGTTTAGTGACTAACCACTGTATATATTTACCTGGTCGAAGGGGAGATCTCCCCCTTCCTTACCCCACAAATTGCGGATGCGAAACACCCCTTCGTCGAGGAAAACAACAACGCCACGACGCGCTGTTGACGCTGGCTTATACAACGACTGAGTCTCCCCTCAACACCAGTTACTCCCCCTGGCGTCCCACTCCCCACTCCCACCCCCTTCCCTTCCGATCCAAAGCACACCAACGCTGCGACGTCATCTTCGTAGTGCCACACACGTATTCATTTATAGATTAACCCATTATCCATAGGCCATGGACAGACCAGACTCACCTCTTGGGCATTTCGGGAGAGGACTCGATGGCCGCCACTGCCGCAGGAGGTGCCAGCCCCGCGGTGGGCGGGGCGGGCGTAGGCGGTGGAGGCGTCTCCGTCTCCTTGCGGCGACGCTTGTTGTTGTCTTTGGAGACAACCATTTTGTTGCGAACTTTTCGCGCCTCTTTTTCAATCGCCTCTTTTCTCTCGCTCGCGCGCCCGTTCGTACTTTGAATTAATTATTATTATTATTATTTATTATCGCGCATCCAATTCTTCGCCGGACTCCACTTTATTATGTATAGATTTGCATATATATATTTATATATGTATATCTACAACAAATAGCGTTTTTGTTGCTGCCTCTGCTGCAGCACGCAATTTTCGTATTTTCGCTTCATTTTTACGGTATTTTAGCGGTTGTTTTAGCCCTTCAAATAAACACTAAAATGCTGGTTATTGTCTCGTTTTTGCAAAGTGCACTCTGCGTTCACATTTCACACACGGCAAGTGCTGCAAATTTCATTTTCTTTCGCGAGATTTGCTTGCACATATTTTTTTCGTCTTCTGCTTCTTCTTACACCGCTTTTGCTTTGTGTCATGGCGGACGGTGGCGTTGCCAGACTTTTGCCGCAGGGCTGGAAAAACAGCTGGCCAGATCAGCAGGCTTACTTCCGATCTGGCAATCTCACTCTGTGAGTTGACAAAAAATTTGTGTGCACTAAAAGCAGCATTTTTTTGGTTAAATCTACAGTCTTAAAGTAATTCAGTGGTCTTAAACAATATGAGCGACGGTGCTGGCAACTGGTGTCTCATTGAATCCGATCCCGGGGTGTTCACGGAGCTCATTCGCGAGTTTGGTGAGTTATTGGCGCGCTTTACAAGCGACGCCGGCAAACCGGGTTTGGAAAACTTAATAATGCTATGCATTTATTAACCAGGCTGCGATGGCGCCCAGGTGGAGGAGATCTGGAGCTTGGACAGCGAGTCCTTTAAGAACCTGGAGCCCATCCATGGCCTAATCTTCCTGTTCAAGTGGGTGCAGGAGGATGAACCCGCTGGCAAGGTTGTCTTGGATCGGGAGAACATCTTCTTCGCCAAGCAAGTGATCAACAATGCATGCGCCACCCAGGCCATTTTGAGTCTGCTAATGAACCTGGATCACGAGGACATCAAGCTGGGCGAAACACTGACCAACTTCAAGGAGTTCTGCCAGTGCTTCGATCCGTACAACAAAGGATTGACACTAAGTAACGCCAGTCAGATCCGCACAGTGCACAACTCCTTTGCCCGACAGACGCTCTTTGAGCTGGACATGAAGAACCAGAATAAGGATGAGGATGTATACCACTTTGTGGGCTATATGCCCATTGGAGGAAGACTGTACGAGCTGGATGGTCTGAGGGAGGGACCCATTGATCTGGGAGAGATCAAGCCAGAGCAAAATTGGATTGATGTTATGCGCCCGATTATAGAGAAGCGCATGCAGCGCTATAGCGACGGGGAGATCCACTTCAACCTGATGGCCCTGATCTCGGATAGGCAGCGTATCTACGAGCAGCAGATCGACAAGCTACTGAACCCGGCTCCCAATGCAATGGACACAGAGGAGGATCGGCAGACCGAGATCAGCAGCTTGCGCACCTATATCCAGTACGAGATCCAGAAAAAGAAGCGCTACAAGGTGGAGAATGTGCGCCGCAAGCACAACTATTTGCCCTTCATCGTGGAGCTGCTGAAAATGCTGGGAGAGACTAAACAATTGATGCCCATCTACGAGAAAGCCAAGCAAAGGGCGCTGGACCGCGAACAGGCGCAGCGCAAAAAGGAGACCAACTAGGCATTTAAAGTATATATCCCGCGTTGGGCAATTCCAAATTGCTGCGATTTCAAATAAAACAGAAAGTAAAGATCAGAGATTTAATCGAGGAGAGCCGGCTTATATCCGAGATAATATCGCTCTTTAGTAGTTAGGTGAAACTGCCTTTGTACTGTACTTTAATTTTTATATTCAATATCCTGCTCTCTCTGCCAGTTAATATAAATAATTAAATATACCTTATACCTATAGTAAAAAATTTAAATAGAACGCAAAATAAACAGTTTCGGTAACGTAAAGAAAACGACTTGAGTTGTTTTGCCTTTGCTCGTATAGAATATATTTGGTATATATCATTTACAATTGCTATGTTTTTTGGTTGTATTCTGCCTCTTGGCATTTGATTTTTGCGTATATTCACTTTGAATTTGATGCTGCTTGTTGTATATAATATGTATATTGTATATAGGAATATTTAGTTTGTTAATCGTCGTGTGCCGCTCGCCAGTTCTATGCTAAAAATTTGTCTCGTCTTAACAACTAGGCTCTACAAGTTACTTAGTATGCGTATTTAGGGAACTTTCTTTGGGAGGTCTTTGATTTAGTTTTCTCAATTTTGGTGTCTTTACTTATTAACTAGAGGCTACTACTAATGCGGTTTTTGGGCCTGGGAATTTGGGGGCTTTCGGGAATATGGCTGGAAGGAAACCGAAGCTAATATTTTTGTATAGTCCTGGCCAGAATTTGGCCATGTGGAAGTGTGCTGCACCCTAAGCGCTATGGCAACTACAGAAATATATTTATATGTATATATACTCATAATATGTATATGTTGTATATGGTTACCTTGCGTATAAATATCTGATTTTGGCTTAAACTAATCTTTCTCCTGCCTGTTGCGTGTTGATTTCTGGTTGGCTTAATTGAATTTCATTCGATTTAATTTTAATTTTGTTAACATTTAGGCTAATTTTACTAGTGTCTGGTATTTTTCATCTGGGAACCTCTGATTGTCCCCCCTTTTAATTTAGCACTTAGTTTTCAATGATTTCGCTCGCGGCGATTAAATTACTTTCTTTTTATGTTTCGAAGACACAACAGTTACTGGTCCAGTTCCAGGAAGAAGTATATGTATATGTATATAAGGGTTGTCATCTGATCTGTTGGCGATTGCAGACGTTGGATGGGGTTTTGGTTATGCCAGTTTTTACCGGGGTCCGGCGTAACTATACTGCAAACCCGTGTGCGTCAATTCGTTGCATACTTCGCTGCGCTGCGTCGCCGAATTCAGGGCGGCGAAGGCGTGATGGGGGCGTGGCGTGGCCAGATGTGCTTGGGGATTATGTTGGCCCGTCTCATAGGCAGTTAGATCAATGCTGGGGGCTGTACAATAAAAAAGATAATTAGTTGTTGTCCTTAGGGAAAAAAAGTTGGATGATTGGATGGTGTTCAATCTGATGATGTTTTTCCATATATATAGCTTCTTATTTATTTCGTATTCAACAAATTTTAAATACTGTTGTTAATTCCAATTTATATGGGATATATGTAAGTCATAACCCGAAAGCGAATTAAATCCTTACCGGCGGCGTGCATGCGATTGTACAGATTCTTTCGTTTCTTCTTTAACAGATTGTCCAAATTGTAGCCATCCATGCCAGCTCTATAAGAAAACTCTTCAAATTAACTACTTCTTGCCAAGCACAACCCACTCATGGACTCACTTTTCGGGCCTTCCATTCCCCAGCAGCTCCTTGAAGGCCACATATATTTTGTTTAGCGTCAGATTGGATAGCCCCTGGCCCAGATATCGTACAAATTTAAGTTGTTCACATTTGGATAAAGCGCTCTCGTGGAAGTCCAAAAAGGGTCGATGATCGGATATCTGATATTCCTGTTGAAAATAGAGTTACAAAAAGAAATTCGAGGAAAGAGGGAAGAAAAATACGTTAGGATCATTTCAATTTTTTAAAACGGGAAAGAGTTTTGTTCATTGCACTGGTTTTATTGATGAGGATGCAATTTGGATATCTACATAAATGGAGTGCCAATGTTTCGAACGCCAATTTGGGGGGCCAAAGAACAAATCTCCGCTAGACTATAGTGGTGCCTCCTGATCTCTGCTTTCGATACACTTTTGCTCACATTGCAAAACTTGATGAAGTTTTCGATGAGTATGTACTTTTCATAATTGCTCAGACATTGCTGGCTACTACTCTGTATACCGAACTGTTTCAATAGCTCCTGCTTCTTGGGCGGCAGGCGGCTAATGTGAGTGCAAACCCCATCCTCGATCCGGTGTGTTTCGTGCACATCGAAGTTCTCGTAGATGATGAGTTGCTCCAGGGATCTGGGTGGTGGTCCCAAAGCCGGAATCGGCGGAGGCGGCAGAAGAGCCGGCGGAGCTCCACATCCGTAACGGGGATCCATAGCCATCTGATGTTGCTGCTGCGCCGTCGAAGCCGTCACATAACCTGCTGGTATGGCCACCGGATTTGGATTAATCACTGACCCTGCCACCGCATTGCTGCTGCCACTGCTGCTGCTGTTGCTATTGCTGCCGATATTGGCGTTGCTGTTGCTCATGTTGCTGCTGCTGCTGCTGCCGCCGCTGTTGCTGGCGAACTCCAGGGAGCCATCGTTGGCCGCGGCCATGTTCTTGAGGTCTACAAGAGAAAATCGTAATGCCAACGCACTCAGGAAGCCATATTCCAAAGACGTGTGAGAGAAGTCGACTTTTAGTCAAAACCGCCCTTGAGCTCAGAACAAATTTGGAAACAATTTAAGCAGAAAAATAAAACTTTGATGAAAAAAGTAAAATTACTGAAATAAAAATTTCAATTGTAAGACCATTTTTAGAAATATTACCTTTAATATTTTGTATGTGTCTTAGAAAAATGTTTCAACAAAATTAAGTAAAAAGGTATCAAATCTGCTCCGTTGAAAATCAAAGGCGATTTTTTAATTCGCACCGTATGTTTTTCTTGGCACGGAATGATCGATGATTGAAGTGCCCCGAGGTTAAGGAAAATAATAACCATTTATTGCAATATTGCAATCGCTTTTCAATTGCAAGACCGAAGAAAAGGCTTAGCGCAAATGCAGAGGCGCGACGCAGGCAATAAATCTTAAGTAAAAACAACAATCAAATCGATTTTCTCTCAATCGCTTCTCGCTAGGTGTGTATATATTTTCTGGGTTCTCAAACAATTTCCATATATATCGTATGTCGTGTTTAGTTAGGATTGGTTTTACATTAACATACATTTCATTTGTTCTTGGCTTACTAAAATATATATTTATATATATTACCATATTAAATAGCATTAGCATGATTTTCTATACTCGTGTGTTCGTGTTGGTGATTGTGTAAAAGTGTGATGTGTGTGTGTATGTTTGTGTGTAAATGTAATAATCTCTTTTCAAGGAATAACATTGCATAGTTTTGGGGTAATGATCGATCGTTGTCCAACAATTTTCTTTTATCGTCGTCAAACGTAATACAAAATTTGCATAGTTTTATAAAAATTTGGCAATAAGCTTGTGTAAAATTAGTCTAAAATAAACGAAACATAAACTAAAAACGAGGAGCACATTACAAAATATAGTATGACGATGCACATTAACGGAAAACTATAAACTAGGACAGGATGGGAGGATGATGGGTTGGGGAGCTGAAATCCTGAATCCTTGCCATGTTCTTCTGTCCTTCTGCAACAGCCTACGAGTGTCAACAGGTGGCGCCACCACCGCTGTCCTTGGCGCCACGCCGACCCCAATCTCACATGGCCGTGGGCGGTAACCCCCCGCTCCCTCCTGCGGATCCGCCTGCGCCTCCTGTTGCTCCTCCAGCACCAACCCCCCCTACTGCTCCACTTCCTCCTCCAGTTGCCTGCTGTGAGCTTTGTGGTGGTCCCGGATAACCCATTGCTGCCATATGCTGGACATGCGCGTGCGGATGCGGATAGTAGTGCGGATGATGTTGCTGCGGATGTGGATGACCATGGGCGTAGGCAAAATGATGGGCATGTGGATGACCATGATGCCCTGCCTGATGGTGAGGATGTGGATGCGGCGACGGGGAGTAGTGATGCGGATGTTGGAGCTGGGGATGCGAGCTGCGCGTTGGCGTTCCGGGCTGCAAGTGGTGTGCATGTGAGTGGGGTAGCGTGTGCGGATGTGAATGCTGGGCGTGCGGATGCGGGTGCGTGTGCGGATGTTGCAACATATGTTGTTGCTGTGGCTGCTGTTGTTGATGTTGCTGCTGCTGATGCTGTTGCAGGTGATGTTGTTGCTGTTGTTGTGGGGTGGTGGGCGTTCCGGCTGCTGCTCCTACTGGCATTGTGGGCGTGGCAGGCCTTGTGCGTGGTACTGCCTGTGTGGGCGTGGCTGCTCCCAGCACCGCTGTTGCTCCTGCAGGTGCTGCCGTTGCTGCTGTTGCAAGTTTCGGGGTTGCAGGTGAATTTGGTGCCAGCAGTTCCTGCTCGGATTGCTGTTGTTGTGGTGTCTGTTTGACCGGTGTGGATGTTGTTGTTGTACTGGTGTTGTTGTTGGTCTTGTTACTGGTGTTGTTGGTGATATTGTTGTTGGTATTGTCGCCTAGTGATTGAAAGCGTATGCGTTGGAAAAAGAAGAAGAAAGAGGAAACACAAACAAATTGAAGTCAAAAATTAAAATTGTTTTGTTTTTCTTTTGAGCGCGCGCAGACAAAATTGATTATTTTACAAAATTTTGCAAAAATAGGCAGGCCAAATTGTAGGTAGTTCTCTTTTATTTTTATTTTTTATAGAAAAGAAAACGAAAAGTGCACGAAATAGAAATAGAAATGAGAAGTGCAAAGTAGAAAAAAATCATAAAAATGAATGTAAGCACTTCTAGTTTCGAGTGTATTTTTAAAATTTAGCACATTCGCCTCTCGGCTTTCATGTCTCGCTTTTTTATATTAATTTTCCTCTGCCTGAATACATTTTTGGTTGATGATGCCTGCTGCTGCATTTGCACTACACGGGAATCGGGGATCTCGGAGTCTAGGGGGATATATCTACATCTATATTTAGATATAGATTTCACTTACCAGCTGTTGTGTTGGCCAGGAAGCGCTTGGTTTTATCGAGTATATAAGGCAGATTGTAGCCGTCCTTCGTGTAGCTACAAAAAAGGATATTTATCAATAATAATAGCATGCTTTTAGGCCTCCCTAAGTTTAACAGGATATTCAATTAAAGGGGTAGAGGATGATACTCACATTTCCGTGCGTTTGGTGCAGAACAGATTTTTAAAATTGCTATAAATGCAGAAGAGCGTGAACGTGGGCAATCCCTGGCCCAGATATCGAGCGAATTTGATCTGCTCGGGCTTGTTCAGACCACATTGATTCAGCGACAGCCATGGCCTGTGGTCCTTGATATCGTATTCCTATTGGGGATAATTGTTGAAAGGGTGTAATCAGTATATGACATAAGTGAAACTTTTTCCCCCAAGTTCTGTCTAATCTCTAATGTCACTTCACTTTATTCTAAAATATGTAGTTAAGAAAATTATAGTTTTAAAGTAGTTTCATCGGTAACAAAGCTAGTAGAGGAAAAAGCTTACAGTTATTCCTAAACATTCCATGTTATAACTTGTTTATTTAATTAAAGATAAGAATTGAATTAGCCATGAACTCAATACATATATTGGCTTTTACAGAAACTATGAAGTATAAATGCAATTTAATTTTCTAAAAATTAAATTAGAAATTCAACTCTAGTTGAAAAGTAATTTTCCAGACATACCGGTTTTACTGGTTGGTAACACACCTCCCCTAACCACCCTTCCATTAGTTTTAAACCAGCTTACACCTTTCATATAAGAACCCACCCCCCATTCCACCACTTTTTAGCATAATTTCCTCGACTTTTAGGCTGTTTTTCCACGGTAAATGTGTGTGTATATTCATTGACGTCAAATTGTATGACTGCACATATGTATTTGCGTTACATAATGTACTATATATGTTCAGGAAAAACCAAAAACGACCCACCCAACCCCCAAAAACCCATACACATGCGAGCGAAAACTTTGCCCACTACTAATCAAAACTTATAATTCGTGTACAACGCAAAAGTTTAAAACGAAAATTTTACACAAAAGCCAAAAACTTGCAAAGGACTATGGTTGGGTTGGGGCGTAAAAGGGGGTGGTGGGTGAGGGGGCAACGGGTCTGAATAACATGCCAAAGCAAAAGCTCCACACACACACACACTCACACCCTTACAATGTATATTTTATAGTGTAAAAATATAGAATAGGGCGAAGCGAAAAAGGAAGCAGAAAAGGCAGCAAAGCAAACCCAAATAGAAAAGCAAACAACATTTTCAATGAAGCCATTTTCCCCCAAAAAGGGGGGAGGGGTTGGGATATTTGCAAAGGCCCCCATTTTCAAAGGGTTACCATGAAAGCCTGCGTGTGAGTGTGTTTGGCAGTGTCTGTGTTTTGTCAGAGTGTGTGTTAGCTAGATGGTAGGCTTAATGGACGTCTGTGTGAGTGCAAGTCTTCGGCAGAGCAGAGAGTTCAGTTCCGTTCGTCGTCGGAACTTATCAACATCCTCATAATCAGGGCTTCCACCCATCCAGGGTTGCCACCCACCACCCCCAAAAGGGTCTCTCACACATGCGATTTGCTGACTGAGCTCCTGTATTTTATGTCTGTGTGTGTATGTGCATACATTTTGGGTTTTGATTATGTTAAAAATCAATAGAGCAAAAAGGAGTGACGTGCCATCTTGCTTTTGGGGAATAGTAAGCGAGAACTTTAAAGTCCTTTCACCAGGCAGGGAGATAGACAGCCTGACATCCACCACACACTCTCTTATTTTTCTCTTTTTCCGCGTTGACAGGCAGCCGACACCTGGCCTGTCAAGCAACTATGCGGGGGCGGGGCTGGTTTGGGGGTGTGGTGTACACCATGATGGTTTTGGGGGCCAGTGCCGCACTGTTGCTGCTGTCAAGCCGGTGGCCAAGTGGTGTGCCCTCTGTCCATACCTACGCCCATGGCCACTCAACTGTTTCACAGTCAAAGAGCACAAAAAAATAACAATACCTAAAGTATTTCGAACCATAAGATACCCCCTATTTGGAATAAAAGTGAGGTGGCGATAATAAATGTTTCACTTGAAACCAAATCTGTTTTTGAATTCCCTATTATTGAAAGGGAAATAACTTCCAAAGCTGATGTTATATTTTAGGTTTCAATAAAACTAGTATATCTTAGAGTCTTGAACTTAAAAAAGTTTAAATATATGTGCCTGTTTTTTCTTCAAATAACGTTTGTATACAAAAAAAAAAACGAGAAGAATAGCTGAAGATCTACTTTTTACAATTATTATATTGCATACTTTTCAGGGTTTACTCCAAGGATTCTTACATGACTTAATACCCATCCAAGTAACTAAGAAACGTTATAGTTGGGAAAATAAATGGCTTGTTTAAAAAACAATTAAATATTACTGTCTTTAAATCTTTACAGATATAAAATTCTTAAAGGGGCGTGGTAAGCTTTACATGTGTTGAAATGGTTTTTTAAAGAAGATTTATGCTGTTTTTTATGATATCTTGTGTAACGATTACAGTATACAGACTATTCTACATTTTATGGATGTATTTCTTTCCTAATTACAATATACCCAAGTAAACTACCACTACCGGGTACAAATATGAAGAGGAAAAAATAGAAACAGGAAAAGAAGAATAAAAGCAGTGGCAATGTGTTGCGGTATTTTGTTCTTGCTTTCGCTGCTGTTTTCCGTTTCTGTTTTCATTGCGTCTCCTTGTGTTCGCTTTTTGTTTCTGTTTTTTTGTTTGTTTCCTTTTTTTCATTTTTTTTGCAAACTTATTGGCAGACATGGTTTGTGTTTGTGCGTGACGTAGTGTACCTACGTGTGTGGGTGTGCGGATGTCTGCGAGTGTTTCGGGCGTTTGTGTGTGTGCGGCGGGATTGTGGTTGTTGTCTGTGGTGTGATGCGGTTTGTTGTTGTTTGTATTGAGACAAGTGTGAATTGTTTTCCTTTCTGCTGCTGTTGTTGTTGTGGGTGTTGCTTGTGCGTGTTGAGAAACAACAACAACAAAAAAAGGCGAATGTTTGACTGTTGCTGGCATGATTTTTTGATTCCTTTTGCGAGGGTTGCCTGTGCGTTAGTGTGTAAGTGGGGGAAATTTTCACACTTTCACTCTTTGGTGCGTGTGTTGTTCGCTTAACAGGTTTTTAAAGTGTTAAGGGTTACACATTTCACCACCCTTTTGCCCACTCCCTTCCCGCTTTCACCTCTTTCATTAGGCGAGTTATTTGGGTTTTTTTTAATTAAGGTAAACCCGTTCTAAATGGGCTCTAAATTCCGGAAAAAACGACCCCACACTAATTTAATGTGATGTGTGTCCCCAAAAGGCGACAAAACGTTGCACAAAAGCTAAATATTTGATGTGTGCGTTAGAATTATACAAATATACATATGTATGTGCCTGCATATATCTACATACAAGTCTAAAATCCTCTATATAGTCATCATATGCGGCAAGTACAGTTATATCGGTATGTGCCCGCATACATATGTATAATTTAAAATTATAATCAATGCCCCATATGTGCGCCTGCTTTTGTACGTTTGTGTGAGTGTGTGTGCGCGTAAATTGTGCGAAGCCGAGACATTGTACCTGCCCAGGCCCCACCCACTTTTCGCCCAACCACCCCCCATACCCTAGACCTCACCCCACTCGTTTCTCATCCTCCCATCCACTAAGCTGTCCTTTACACACACACACGGCCACAAAGTTGGGCAAAACCGAGTGCACTTGTGTGGGTGAGCCTGACTGCATGCGCACTTAGTAGCCTTCAACGCTGCCGCTGGGCGACTCACACATCCACAGCCTCACTAACAGTCCAACTTTCATAGCTATAAACTTTTTTTTTATGTCTTAAAGTCTTTTAAAATTACTTTTAAAATTTTGTCAATTTCAGGTTTCTGCTTTAACTTCAACGTATTTCGTTTATTTCCCATTTGAATTTTAGTTTAAGGAAGATTTTTGTCTCACTTATACTACTTAATTATTAACTAAGATAAACTAATACTTAAAATTAATTTCTGTTAATAAAGTGCGTTTACCAAAAATCATGGAAGTTAAATTTTATTGCATTAATTTCAGGAAAGTTTTGGACATACATAGTTTGATCTCTTAAATTCTAGTGTGGAAATTGAAGTTTTATTTGAACATTAAGATTTTTTAGCCAAGTTCCACTGTTAACGGTCGCTCCGATAGAGACATGTATAAAATGTGTTGATAAAATACAGGGACACACACACACCAAAATCGAGAGAGTCGGAAGAGGAAAAGGACATGCCCAAGTAGCTGGCGGACAGTCCGACGTCTCCCCATTTCCCTTCCTCCATTTCCAGCCCCCCAAGTAACTTGATGATTGTATGTATGAGAGCAAGGAGTGGAAGCCAAAGAATCTAAGGGAGAAGAAGAAGAATCCAACGAAGGACGAGCAAAAGGAGGAGGAGGTGGTGGGGGAAAACACACAATTACTCAATAGCAAGCTTTTGGGGGTTGCCCACATACACTCAACTACACACACACTTTGGTAGTTCAGCCTTCAAGTAAGTTTTGAATTCAGGAAGGAGAGAGAAAGTGGGAACCAGGAGAGAGCAGTTACCGCTGAGAGAGCGCAACAACTTTGAGTTAGGAAACCAAGTAGGTAAGAGAGAGCGTCTTAGAACTAAAATGTTGTAATAGCGGGGGGCGTTTTAGCTTCCTCTCCGTTTCGTCTCCTTCGTAATTTCCCCCAATAGTAGTTGTTGTTGTATTATGCCATCAATGCCATTTTGTACATACATAGTTTGGTGAATGTATGTGCAAGAGGGAGGGGGATGCGATGGGTGGCCAACAAATCTAGATGTGACTCTACGTCTGTGTATGTGTGTGATAAAGCGGAGCGTAATGAGCGTGGTGAGTGTTTGGGGTTGACTGCCATAGTGTTGAAAAGGGCGCCAAATGTGTCTCCGTGTGTGTGTTTGTGTGGGTGGGGGTTTAACCCCCCGCATGTATAGGTGTTTAGAACTCACACACATATACTGAGCACACATGATTACAGTTGTATGCTGAATTTGTGGTTGGCTGCAGTCGACGTCGACTGAGGCGCCGGCATCACTGCTCCTGTTATTACAATTTATAATGACATTTGTGTGAGTGGGGGGCAAACGGAATCCTGAATGCGTCTATGAGCGTGAGTGTAGGGGGAAATGCGCCCGTGTGTGTGATATAGGATATAGATAGGGTGCATGTTTATATTATGAATATCCCAATTCGTATGTACTATATTTATGTAGGAGGCGGGTGCCCCGAAAAACGTATTACATTTTAATTTAGGGACAGTTATACATATGTAGTCTATATATAGTACCTTGTCCCAAAGTCCTTTGTTTTATACTATTTAATATGTATAAGTAACTGATAACATTATTCATTTCACCCCAAAACTAGACAAAATGGTCAATTTAACAAAATTCTCTTATTGGTTTTCTCAAACAAGATAAATAAATATGTTAAGCTTAACGATGTTTTACAATATATGTTCTACCCAAATCAACAGCTAATAACCTTATAATACTTTTAGTTATTTTCCCAACAGAAAGAATTGACCTTAAAACATACTTTTGTGCGCTATATCATTAGGTTTATTTGAAATACTATCAGTTAGATAAGACAAATGATAGATTGACCTTTAATTCAGCCGTTTAGTTGCGTAACTTATCAGTATTTTGTTGATATCAAATAACAATCTTTTGACCCCCATTTTATATCCATTTGCTAATATTTGTTTCGGCGTTTTTTAATTTAAAAATAAAGTATGTAGAATAAAAATTACAGTAAGGTAATTAAGGTAATTGGGGAAGTTATAATTTAGGAATCTAGCCTCTTCTTTTGACATAGGCAACATGTTTGTTATTTACTTCCTTGACAATACTCCTCTTGGGCGTTAAAACGCCTCCCCTTATTAGAACGCATCAAGCCCTGTTCCCGACCATCATTACAAATAAATACGTAATCCATACATATGTGCAAATATTTAAATTGCATATGGAAATGGGCAGCAAAGGGAGAGCGCTAGAATATTCGCACACTCTCAGGCCAAGGGAAATTTGACTCGCTAAACACCCCGAAAACCTCTGAAACCCAACCCCATTACAATTTGGAAAGAGTAACTCACCTCGCAGAACTTGATAAAGTTCTCCACCACAATCGATTTGTCCGTTAGCGTCATCTGGCCAGTAAACCGGACTCCCAGTTGCTTCAGCGTATCCTTTTTCTTCGAGGGCAGCTTGTTCATGTGCTGGAATATGCCCTCCTCAACTTTGTGCGAAGGATGCACCTCGAAGTTCTCCTTGATCACAAAGCTTCCGAGGAGCTTAGGAGCATGTGAGGATGAAGACGCCGTGGAGGAAGAGCAACTGGCTCCGGTTAACAGTCCTCCGAACTCCCCCGCACTGCCGCAAGCCGCTCCTTCCGATGAGGTGTTCGAATTGGAAGCATTGAGGTGCGAGTTGGGAAACGCTAACATCTCCAACGAGGATTCATTCGAATTAGAAGATCCATTGGAGGCCATGTGCTGCAGATCAAAGATAGTCTGTTTCGAGTCATGATCGAAGACATCCAGAGCGGAGGAGCTGGTGTCCACCAGACTATTGGAAGCCCGCGAAACGGAAGACAATAAAGCGGCCACTTTGCGGGAGGCAGAGCGGGATTTCTGTGAGGTGCTGGTATCCAGATCAATGAGACCACTTGCCACTGGGGATTGGGCAGGGGGTGGAGGTGTGGTGCCTGCTGGGATTCCCGGCGGTTTTCCGCTGCCTGGCTTTTCCGGGCAGGAGCTAGCTTCGCTAGTGACGCTGCTAGGTGTGCTGGGTGTGAAATCCGTAGAGTGCCGGAGATACTTGATAAACTCAAAGGATCCATCGAAATGCTGGGGCACCGAACCCGCTGATGAGGCGGTGGATTGATGGCCATTGGGCGTGGCAACCGCCGTGGGCCAACGATTGCTCGGGGGGGTGGCGGTGAGGGGCGTTGATCCTGCTGCCCCTGCGCCAGGATTTGAGGTCGGCGCTGCTGCTGCTACGCTGGCTTCGACGTTGGCCGAGGCAGCGGCAGCGGCATAATGTGCGGGATTAACAGAGCTACCTGAGTTGACGGCGGAGGAGTTTTCCCGCTGCGACGCCGTCGTTGCCTCGTAATTAGGAAAATCCGCTGCTGCTGCCGCGCTGCCATTGGGTAAATGGGTGTGGGAATACTGCTGCTGATGTTGTTGCTGCTGCTGCGACGGCGCGCCTGCGCCGCAGCCAAACACTTGAAATTCCTCGAAATTAGTGCATTTGAGCTCGCCATTGCTCAAGTATTTGGAAAACTCTGAAGGATCGTTGAGCGAGTTGAGGAAGAAGGAGCTAAAGTTGCTCGATATGCAGGACATTTTGTTAAATTGTTTTTAGGGTAATACTGTACGTTATAGTTTATTTAAAGCTTAAAATGGCACATGCGATATTTCGAAATTTTCTCTCGTTTTTCTCGTTTTTCCGCTGCTTCTGCGGTTCATATTTTATTACAATTTTCCACACTCACAACGAGGGAAAACACATGTGTGTGTGGGCCTCTCCCGCGTGTGTATGTATGTATGTATAAATTTTTCTTATTATAGCAAAGTGTAATTTATTATTCTTATTGCTCGCTCGCGCACTGCCTTTCGCTCCTTGAAAAAAGGCCTTTTCCACCGTATGTGGTCGCTTTTAGTTGTTGTTGTTGCCGCTCACACGAACACATGCACAGATGAGCCTGGAAATAGGCGCTTTTTGAAACTGGTCTGGTCTCTTTGGGGCCTGTCTTTTTGCCTATTTTATTATTATTATTATTACTTGGCCTTTTTGCACTATTTTCACTTCCTTTTCGGCCTTACGTTCGCGCCCACTTACACACAGACAGGCGGTAGGCGCACAGACACAGAAACAGACACACACACATACGGCGAGGCGCGGTCGACAGCGGCGTTACTTTTCCGTCTTCCTCTATTTTATATTTCGTTTTTCTCGCTCGCCTTTGCTTTACTTTCAAAACAAATGCCGCTAGTGCTTCTCTGCTTCCATACGGAAAAACGGAAAATCTTATCGTTATAGTTGTTGTTGTTACTGTTGTTGCAGAGTGTTTTCACCGCCGCAAGAAAACACGACATTGCCGCAACACACACGAAAGCAAAATGAGCGAAAAACATGAAAGCGCTGCGTTTATGCTCGCGCTCTCGCGCTGCCTCTGCCGGCGTCGCCTTTTTCTTTTTCCTCTCTCTCCGTTACTGTGTTTATGGGAGGTCCTTTTCATGCACTCAATCCACGAAAACCTCTGTGCATAATTTCATGAAATAATGTATTAATGAGATGACCTTATCACTTAATTTATATTTCATAAATAAATCCCATTTATGGATATTATTTTAAGTTCATAAACTATTTGTAATAATTATAGTTTACATATTAGGCCTCATTTCAGGATAAGATGAGGAGGGAAAATTAATCATTCGACAGTTTACAAAAACAAGTAACTAAATTTTCGTTCAATGTCCTTTTTCTTTTCCGGCTTAAATAAAATATTTGTTCCTCCTTGCATTCCACAACTACTCTTTATTTCATTATTTTATATCTGTATGTGTGGCATATACATGAGCTTTTTAAAATCCGACGTTCTCAAGAAATCATGAACTTCACCGCATAAACACATTGCTCTCTCGCGCTCTCTCGTTTTCCTCTTCGTGTGCGAGTGTAATCAGTTGTAGGTGTTGTAGTTGTTGTTGCAGTTGTTGCTGCGCTAGGAAACGTGTATTTCTTCCTGCGCCGTGCTAACCCTTTCCATATAAACCTGATTTAATCTTTGATTATTGTACTCTCGCTGGGGGATTATGGCTGCCGCCGTTGTTGCTGGCTTTGCTATTTTTGAAAATTCCACTAAATTATCCGTTGTGCTGCCCGCTCTCTCTCCCGTTCTTGTATTTATATTTTTTGTTGCGCGTTTGGGCAGGTAAAACAGTTCATTTGCCTAGGGTTGCCACATCGTTGGGCGTTCGGCAGGACCACCTGGAATGCACATAAATACGTTAAGTTTTATTGCCGTTTTTACAGTTCCACATTTACGACTCTTTCGGGTCGTAAAACACACGAACAGGTAGCGATCTTTCCAAGGCCACAGCTGCGGGCGGTTGGCAACTCTGGCGTGCAGGAGATTTCAGAACCTCCAGTGGAATTTTTTATTCAAGGAATTTTTATAGTCGTTTGTTCAAATAAATATAATTGCTGCGGCAGACGTTGTTAATTATAAATACAGTGGCGACCGCAAGGAAGTCATCAATTTAAAAAGCTGTCTCTGCATTATTGTTATTCTAATTACCCCTTTCGCTGATGATGTTTTTGGCACAATTTCGTTTCCGAATTCATAGCAATTTATTATATTGTATGTTTGTGCTAGGGAAGCTTGTAAGTACATAACATGACTTATTTAATAGGCTTTCACACGCGGTCATTCAATTTACATGTCTGTACATGCCAGCGCACATATGTGAGTAATTTTTCAATTAATTTTAATTATAAACTTAATTAGGAAATCAATGAACAACGCAAACGGAACAGTACGGAACACACACGCACAACTTTTACCGCTGTAGGAAAGAGACAGCGAACATCCGATTCCACACTACACAACAACTAAAACAATGACAACAATTGCCATCAAGTGCGCTGCGCATACAGCATAAAATCATCCACTCAACGCCAGTGGGTCCCGCAAACAAGCCCCCAAAAGCGAAGTGAAGCGCCCGTTGAAAAGCGAACACGCCGAAAAGTCGAAATCAACTGAGCAGTGGGACAACAACAACTCAAACGAGGAGAATAGGGGCGCCAACACGCCAGGGTTGCCAGACCTTTCGTCACAGCCAAGTTTGCTGTCTATATTTCGTTAAGATTTCGGCAAGTCAATTTTTGTAATACATTAAAAAATATCTAAATATACCTGCAATTCAGTTCCAAGTGTCAGCACCAATAGCTTAATCTATCGGTTTCCAGCCAAATTGTCAGCACTGTTGGTTATCGTTATCGGTGACCGCTCGAAACGTGAGGGTAGTATTATTCATTCCAAAGATAAATAAAAACACACGAGCCGGTATGAAATTTGCGATTGAGAGCATAAGCAAGAATTCCGGCCGCCTGGGCCAACTCCGGGTCAAGGATTCAGGGCCTGAGTTTAGGACTCCGCTCCTTTTGCAGACGACTAAAGGCGGCAGCATTCCATGGCTGAGTGCTGATGTCTTCGAGAGCCATGTCAGTCGGAAGCCACAGGTGCTCCAGTTCACCCTGTCCACCATGGATCAAATGACCGAGGCACTGGCGCTGTGGAACTGTGGTGGGGGTCGGGGATTGAGCGACTATGTGGGATTACCAGGACACCTAAACATTCTCCTGCTGCGAGATCCCTGTGAAACGACGCCTTCGCGTGGAAACGACCGGGATATACAGCCACTTTTTACGAGAAGGGGCAAGGAATCACTTACTCCGGAGCGCTACATGGAAATGGTGTCGAGCCTTAAACCGGATATCTACCAGGGACTCAGTGATGCGGACACAAATTTAGAGAGTGCCAAGAAACGGGTTCAGAAATCTGTGGACAGGACCGAAAAGTTCATGCACTACATATACGAGCACCGCGGTAAGGTGGAGTCTAACCTGCTGGCACCTATTGTGGGTGGATACAACACCTTTGCCCGAACGCAGTCCATCAAGCATGCACGGGAACAGCCAGCGGGCAGTTACGGAGGTTACATTTTCGAGGGATTCCACACGAATGGCTTGACGGCTACAACCTTAGATTCTACCAAACTACTACCCATTGTAGAGCACTGCGTCAAGCAGTTAGAAGATGACAAGCCTAGGATAATGCCTGGTGCTTTCTCGCCTTTGACCCTTTTGGAGCTCATCCGCCAGGGAGTGGATGTTTTCGACACATCGTACGCATATTGCGCTTCCTTTAATTTCAAGGCGTTGACTTTTAGCTTTGTGCAGGATACTGTGGAGCATGTTCCTTTCTTGGACATAACGGATGAAGCTATCAAGGAGGATTTTACACCGCCCTTAGGCAACTGCAGTTGCTTAACCTGCCAGAAACACACGCGTGCTTACCTACATCACCTGTACAAGACCAATGAGTTACTGGGTCCCATATTACTGATGGTGTAAGTGGTTTATGATACATCATTTAAGCTTTCATTCATTTTTGTCCCTCCTCCAGTCACAACCTGCATCATTACATGGCCTTCTTTGAGATAATACGTGAGAGCGTGGCCAAGGATACGCTGCCACAGTTGACGGAGCTTGTAAGGAATCAAAACGGAAAATCTCAGGTGGATTATTCAATTGCTGCCAACACAAAAGTTGTTAGCAAGGCCACTATGGGCAAAGGATTCGCGGCGGCAGCAGTATGACATTACAAACCAATCACACAGTAAAGTTAGTCTAGAAAGAAGCCTCTGGTTGTTTAATTTAAGTGTTTCATATCGTCAAAGGAAGGTCCCAAAGAGATTGCTCACATCCTTCCACAATATGCGTCATTTCCTCATACACAGCTTTTGGAGCTTCGCCAGTGACAGTGCGGATCCTGTAGAGAACCTGTAGTTCTGTTAGATTCTCCAATTTATCGGGATCTGTTGAACGAACCGTACATATAAGAGAAAACCTTATATTATAAAAGTGATTATCTCACCTGGCAGCGGAATGTAGCCAGCTAATTCACAGAATCCCACATTGAAGTCGGCTAAATCCTTGTTAACGCAGTATTCGGAGCGGGCAAACACAAATACCTGAACGTTACCGCTTTTGCCCTTTCTTCGATCCTGCGTGATAAACAGATTGTGTGGCATATTGTTCTGGCACATCCACATGGCCAGCTTGTAGAGTTGGTCAACCTTCTCCGCCACCTGTTTATCGTTGTCATCCTCGTTAAATACTATACAGATGGCTTCCGTGGGAGCCCTTCGACTCAAGCGATACACATAACCACCGGCCAGCTCATCCAGTGGTGCTTGATCTATATACAGGTCCTGCGGCATGTGGAGTAGGTGAAAGTGCAGATGATTCACAGAGGCTAAAGCCCCTGGACTGTTATAACCCATACGCATGTCCTTGTCATTGATACTTCTCATAAAAGTAATGCAGAACTCCAGAACATCACGGGTAATCCGTTGAACATGGTTTTTTTCCACTTCCGGGCAGATAAGAGTATGATACTTGGTAATGGGACTCTTGTTGATGATCATCTGGACTTCGGGACTCCCAAAGGCGTCATCAATGGTCATTATAACCTCCTGAGCATTGACTTTGTTGAAGTTAAACATGTTGGGTTTGAAGCTGGGATTGAGGTTCTCGATGGTCTGCGGACGACGGCGCTTGACGGAACGGTCTGCATTGAGCTGGAAGAGAAAGGTTAATGAATTTATCTAGAGAGTAACAGGAAACTCTCACCTCCGTGTAGAAGCCCCAAGATCCTGGAATTCGTCGGCACTGTGGAGTTTTCTGCAATTGATACGAAAACAGCCCGGGAATCTTGTGCAGCTGCTCCCACCGCACCTTTATGGCGTTGAGATAGAGCTGCGCCCTGCCCTCCAGACATGTCTCGTACTTGACCTTGCTCATGGTTCGCTTCCGGCTTGGTCGCCTCACCTCCTCAACATCTTTTTGCCTGCAATCCGCGGATCGGAGTATTACCAGCGGTAGTAGAGTTGCCACCCTCTTAGAAAACCTATTGCGGAAGCCGGGGATGAGGAAACTCCGAAAGTGGGCTCTAAAAGTTTGAAAAACTTGGCGGTGGATTCGGAAAAAGGCTCTAAACTGTCGCAAAAACATCCTGTTTTGGGCTGGACGAGGAAAAACGAAACTAAAATTTACTACAATTTTAATGGCAGTCTCGCCTGACAACCCAGCCCGCTTAAACAGCTGTTTGGTGATTTCACACACAGTTAAAAAACAAGGTTTTGCATTAATTTATTAATTTAAATGTCGTGGGCAAAAAGATTCAAAAATTAAAAAAAGAAACTGAGCAATAAGAAGAAAATATTTTATAAATTAAAAATATGTACATATATGCTTTACGATAACCAGGCGCTCCGAGGCCAGATCAATATTTCCAAAATCTTATAGAATACAAGATCAACCTTTTCATCAATTGTCTTTTATTGGAAAAAGTATATATGTACATATGTACATATAGCCGACCTGAAGAAAATTATGAAAACTGCACCCCTGATCTGATTATTGTTCACCCCTGGTTTGTTTGTGCGGGTGGAATCTGTTGCACGGAGTATTTATCAACAAATGGCCCAAGTTCGAGGTTCCTGCGAAAGTTTTTGTCCCGATGGAGAGGCCAAAATGTGGGTAACAAATAGTAAATGTAAATGCAACCTATTGTTAAAAAAAAACCACCAGGCGCGTTCGTGAGAAACTTCTGAACTACTTCGAGCTGAAGAATGGCCAGAAGAATACCCCCGGAGTCCTGGTCAAGGAGTTTACGCGCTCCGCCGCCGATGCGAAGATGCCGCTGCCCAAGGAAATGCGCACGGAAGCGGCACTAACCAAAACAGTTGAATATCTACTTAAGGAGCAAGTATTTTGCATATTAATTAAACCCAACTTTTCAGCTAATCAGGGTACTTTACAGCATAATTCTGGACACTAGGAAGCCCTATAATCTGGCCTACGACTTCATCTTTGACCGATTAAGAGCCGTGCGCCGGGAGATGGTGATCCAGATGTACGATGCACGCCAAAAGATCCGACTTCTAGGGCCCATTGTGATGTTTCTGGCTTACAGTCGCTATCGGTTGTGTGAGGAGTCCATCGAGAAGTTTGATCCCAAGATATGCAACCAGCATTTGCAGGAGTGCGTCACAGGAGTACTGTGCTCTTACGATGAACTGGATGGTCAGGAATCCTCCAAAGAATCTACTATTCGGGAACTAGAGCGACGCTGCTTTATAGAGTGCCTGTATCAGGTGTTTAATCTCGGTTCCCCAGAGTCCCTTATGCGGGCACTAACTTTACCGGATTATGTGCGTCAGGATCCGATGTTTAAGTTATGTTTCGGCATATGTTTAGCCTTTCAACAGGGGAATTTGTATAGAGTGCTTATGGGTTTCCCCCAATTACCTCATATTCTATGCGCTGTAGCTGCCACCAAGTTGCAGGGAATAAGGAGGTATTATAGATTACACCGCTATTCCATTATTTTGACGAATCCTTGACGTATATTTTCAGGAGTTTGTTGAAAGTTTTCACGCATGCCTACAACAACAAGCAGCTCACGGTGCCGGTTCCTTACTTGTTGCGTTTACTGTTAATCGATTCGCCGGCTGGACTTCAGGATCAATGTCGGCACTATAACATAGCCTTAACCGTCGACAGGAAGGCGGTGCATTTTAATAAGACTGATTTTAACGATGACGCTGAGTTGTTGAAACCCCAACAAGAGCGATTTGTGGAGTCAAAGCTGAAGCGTATTTATTTGCCGGAAGTCCTGTTGCTGAAGAAATTGAACTAGTTTCTTAAGCCCATTCATAAATAGCTAATGTATATAGAAACCACGATAGTTTCATAAACTACGGAATATTATTGTACATTATTGTTCGGCTTTTCAAAAAGAAGAGTTCCAATTATGTTTAAATATTTAAAGAAAATACATAGTTCTCATCTAATTTGTAATGATATCGATATCGGCAGAATTTTGATACGAAAACCATTCTGCGCCGCTATTCAACACTGACAGTTTGCGTCAGGTGGCAGCCCTGCTGGCAGAATAACAAATCTATCGCCTATCGATAGACAGAACGCCGCCGTATTTACAGCTAATAAATGGTTTACCAGTTGGAGGTTATTTAAATGCAATTACTTGATAGTAATTAAATAAAATCCGTGATCCTTTAAGGAGTAATAACTAGTGGATTTGTGATTTAAACCTCGTTAACCGCTGGACATATACACAAAGCGCGCGCAGGGTTGCATTTAGTCGCCTCAGTCGCACACACCAACACACACACGCAACGCGAGAGAAAGTACCCTAGCCGTTTCTGGAAAATACAATTCCGCCATATTTACCGGCAAAATTCAAAATATTTACACTTCCCGAGGTGAGCGGGATCAGTTGCTCAACCCAAATCGAGGATTAACCCGCCGATAGGCAGCCGGAGAGGAGCGAGGCGGGCGGATCGAGCGGTACGCATCAATCGCCGTCTGCCGCCGCCGCCGTCGCACAATAAAAACGATAGGCCATCGAGTGGCGGGGGAAAAGGCCAATACGCCAATACCGACAAAAACAAGTACGTTTTCTCGAGACCCAAGAGGGATCTTGGATATATATTACGGACTATTGGCGAGGTACTAATTGCCCACTTTTTTCGCAGCACGCTCGCACACACACACAAGAGGTAGAGCGCCCATAAACACACACACACAGATACAGACACACAGACGGAGCAGCCGCGATGACAAGTCATCATCATCATCATCACGTCGGGGTCGGCGTTGGTGGGAACAACTTCCAGCCGCAGCTTCATCAGCTCCGGGCGCCTATTGTCAAGAATCTTTCGCTGGCGGCAGCGGCCGTCCCGCTGCCCCTGAACTCCGCCTCCTCATCGGCATACTTCACCCACGTTCTCCCGTCTACGGCTTGCACAATTGTGGAGCAAGATCCATATACCGTTTTGGCGGGCGATCACATGGGCGGAGAGGAGAACGAAACCTTTCTGATCGAGGAGATCATCGACGACTATGACGACGATGCTAACATTGTGGTAGACAATGGGGAGTTCTTCACGCCCTACGAATACCTAATACCACGGGACCGGCTGGGACCGGACACCCTGCTGCCGCCTATCATCATGCAGCAGACTAGCGATGACGAGGAGTTCATCGAGGAGAATGTAGACGGAATGCAGCTGACCTCGTCGTGTGACGGCGATGGTGAGGAGGAAGCCGACGATGAGGTTTCGGCGCCGGCCATGACAAATGCCTTTGAGATTGCCTCGGAGATGCTGACCACTATCGAGGCCACCAACATAAAGGAGGAGCAGCTGGAGAGCGACTTCTACATGAAGGCGGCCGAGGATTCCAACAGCTCCAATGGGCAGCTGCAAGAATTGAAGCTATTCGGGACCGTGGAAAGGCATATTGGAAATTCAGCCGCCAAGCGCTGGAAGCAAACAAAGGTACCCATACGCATTACCCAGGACGAGTTCAATGTCACGCTGTGGTCTTCGCTCAATTCAGAGGATGAGGAGGAGGAGGAGGAGTTGGAGGAACCACCTGGTTCTGCTACCGCGACATCCGTGACATCCGCCTCCGCTATTGCCCAGAATGAAGGCTCCTCCAGCATGCCAAAGCTTATTATTGACGAGCACATGATCAACCACGATGTGCTGAGCGATGGCATCGGCAACGAGTACGTCATCCTTCCTGATCCATTCAGCGCCTCTGCGGTTACAGACGTGGAGGAGGTGGTGAATGCATTTATGGGCGATGTCAAGGGCGAGGAGGACAGCCAGCCGCTAAGCGAGCAGTTCATCTATGCCGACAACCAGCTCGAGGAGGCTTACGGCAACATCGAGCTGATCGAGAACATGCCGAACAATGTGGATTTGATACAGGCTCCAGGACCAGGGCCAGCTCCTGTGCCAGTGGCGATAACGAAGAACAACGGTTACGTGGCGAATCCGCAGACGGCTCTCCCAAAATTAGTGCTCCAGAATAGCAGCACAAATGTGCGGCTGAAAAGTGCCGGAAACCAGACAAAGGTGACCAAGAAGCAACTTACGGCGGCGACTCAGGTGGCGACACCAACGCCTCCACCGCCGCTAGTGGCTACCAGCAATGCAGCCCGACCACGTCCCACAATTCTGACCAAATTGCCGGCAGCAGTGTCCAATCAGACGGCTGTTAATCCCACGGTAGCAGCTAGCGCTGCCGCCGAGGAGGATGAGGAGCCCAAGTTCCGCTGCACCAATCGCGGCTGCAACAAGGAGTTCCGCAACCATTCGGCCATGCGCAAGCACATGCATACGCACGGACCGCGCGGTCATGTGTGCAACGTCTGCGGCAAGAGCTTCGTGGAGAGTTCCAAGCTGAAGCGCCACCAGTTGGTTCACACTGGCGAGAAGCCCTTCGAGTGCACCTTCGAGGGCTGCGGCAAGCGCTTCTCGCTGGACTTCAATCTGCGCACCCACGTCCGGATACACACTGGCGATCGACCCTATCACTGTCCCATTGACGGTTGCTCCAAATGCTTCGCCCAGTCAACGAACCTCAAGTCGCACATGCTGACGCACACGAAGCCGAAAAGGAAGTGGCCTCGGGCACCGCCGGTGAACAATAATAAGACGCCGCTGGTGGCAAGATACGGACGGCTGGAGTTTGGCGAGGATCCGCGTCTGGTGTACGTGGAGCAGAACGAGGAGATGGCGTCTGTGCTGCTGGATGGCACGTCCCCCACATCCTAACTAGAAATGCGCATCAATGTGTCGCTGCTATTGGCCTGAGATGGATAATAGCTCCTGCGGCTCCGGAAGGGCCAGTTTGTACAGTTAGTTGTAGCCAGTTTTTATCTGTATCTGTAACCTAACGAGCGGAGGAGCAGGGCGAGGTTATCACCTGGTGAATTCACCCGCCTGCTCCCCATTCTCTAAGTAAATAGTCTAAGATCTTTCTCTAACAAAACAGGCTTGCAGTGCAAAGGAAGTTATATGGTAGCCATTGATTTATTTCCTGCATAGATGGAATTACCGGATAAACAGCAGTTCTAAGAGTTTAGCTTGTAGCGTAGGCTAAGTGAGTCCCCCCAAAACCAAAACCGAACCGCAACCCCGAAGAACTCAGCCAAACTGCCCCCAATATAAACCCCTAATTCGATCTGATCCTAACCGTGTGCGATCTTCACTCGAATAACAAAACGCGCACTTTCTTTTCTACGTAAAAAACAAAAAAAAATACACAAAACTAGTTCTACCATAATTCAGTACGCATACACCATAGGCTATCTATATATTTTTGTAATGAATTGTAACACTTAGAGCATTGAAGTACGGATTTAGCAAGATCAACCTCTGTTGGCGCTAACAAATAATTCACAAATGGAAGCACATCAGTTAAGTCGGAATAAACAAGGGAATACCTCTTCAAAATTAAACAAAATAAACCATGAAAACATTGCTATTTATCATTTTTGAACTACTTTACAGTGCGATTGTGTAAGCGTTAGATTTATTTACTGACTTGTAACTACAGCTAGATAACTACATTAAACGGTGAGGCAGCTATGGATGGACAGCCGCCGGGTGTTGTCCACTTCAGATTCGGATCAGCCGGCGATTAGATCGCCCCTTTGGACATGTGTTGCCTAAGTATGAAAGTGCCTCCCGGACCGTAATTTCACTCCATTGATTGATTGCGGTGTATAAACGCGTGCGGATTAGATAAAGCTTCGCGGCGAGGTATAGATTCGCGGATATTTTGGATAATATTTGAACAGAGGAGAGCAGTACGCACAGGTGGGCGGTCTTTTAGGCGACCTTGAGGCCCTGTCCTTGAACCCCGGGCATAATGTCCGCCATGGAGGCACTTGGGCCAATTAATCCGGCCAGTGAGAGCAGTATGGAGTAGTTGAAGTACCAGAACACGCAGAAGAGCACCATGAAAATGACGTCTGCAAAAAAACGAGAGCAATAATAACCCCGATAAGCCTGAAAATTCTCCTGAAGCATGACGAATCTCGGATATTCCCCATAGTTTCGAGGGTTTTTGACAAGTCAATAAAACTTACGTATCGTTACGCGCTCCCACTTTTCCACCATGTACAGCTCGGTGACCTGCAAGCAAATAAAGCTTATTTAATTAAGAATCTCGGCGAGCGCAGCTTCTCAAGTGGATTATATGCGTAATTTTATGACCATTACGCACCATGAGGTATCGGAACCACCAGTAACTGGCAAATTCCACGAGGTTGTCCAGCATTATGGCTTTCGAATCGATTAAAACAGCGAAAATAGGGCAAACAATAGGAGCGACGCGCGTTTAATTTTTTAATTCCTCCCACTGGCTTCTAACTAACTTAAACAGGGTTGAACAACTGGGAGTAATTTAGCGAGACCAGTGCTGGACAATGTCCATGGAACGGTACTAACAGCAGGGCTGCCAACTGCTTTACAGATTGGCGGTTAGATTTAAATCGGATTTAAAATGTAGTATAAATTTATTGGCGATAAATAAAAATAAGTTTTTTGAAAAAAGAAAAAAAAATTAAACATCAGAAACCATAAATAATAAAATTAAAAAAAATTTAATAATTCATTCATTTTTAAATTTGTTACCCTTTATAATTTATTTTCATTTTGAACAACTTGTCAACCCTACTCTTAACAGCTGTTCTTAAGACCCGCAAAAATGGTTTACAATTTATTGTGAAAATCAAATACAAATAAAAATGTCATCCTTTGTGGTTAAAGTACTCCAGTGCTCACTTTCACATAGTCAAAGGGATATAAAGCCATTTATTTATGTACGGAGCAACTGGATGGACGACGAAGTGGAGTTTGACTTCCTGTCCACTTCTGATAATCAAAACTACCGGGGAAGTCTTAAATACGAGGAGCTACGGAATGGTGCCAGTGATTTGGAGCAGTCCTATGAAGTCTTCTTTGCAGAGTGCAAAAATGCCATGACCACCCACATGGGCCTCCAAGGATTCGACTACGATATTTCCCTGGAGAATGGAGATAAACAAGTCTTCAAAATGTACAAATGCAAAGGATACGAAACGCTATATTTGGAAGTTCCACTGAGAAAAGTGTCCAATTGCTACCAATTACTGGATGCAGCCATAGAAGCTGGACAACAGAAGCCTCAAGCAGCTCCGGCCCCAGAATCCGATGTCAAAGAAACCACATCTCTTGCTGAATATGAAAAGTATGTGAAGGACTCCAAGCTAAAGGAGGAGGAACTGCTCAGGAAATTCCTACTGCTGATAAACAGCAAGAAGGCTTACATCCGGGACTTAGAGAGCCAGTTGGAAGAGCGATCGAAGAAGTCCTCAAAACAAAAAAAAAGTCAAAAGATTTTGTCAGAGGACGAAGAAGATGAAGCCTACGGAGCAGCCACTCAAGTCATGAATATAGATAACGATTCGGATTAAGCCAATCCAAAATTTATCATTGAAACATCTCACCTTCGGTATGTGCTTGAAATGTATTTCCTTTTTGTTTTAGTTTTTTCGTTTCGATTGTTTGATTTTGTAAAATAAATTAGCTTTATAATGTATGTATATGTATAAATAAACAACAAATAGACTTGTAACGTAATACATTAAATTACCATCAATATGTGTAGACGTGGCTTATAATTAGACCAACAGAAGATCGCTTTTTGGAATATAATCAATAGTTATCGTTGCAGTTTTGTAAAAATTAAAAGCATTTTACATAAAGTGTTAATATGTATCTGCTATCATATAGACGTTATGCATAAGTATGTTAGGGTGTGTATAACATTTGAAAGAGTAAACAATTAGAGCCGATGATGGTGCTGGCGGAGATCACTCAGAGGGCGAGCAGATCCTCCTCGGCGCCCGGTTTCTTTGGTGTCTTTCGTAAGCTGTCTGCTCCGACGGTTCCTGTCGTGGCACTGGCGGCGGAGTTCGATGCATTGATCGTTGGAAGATTTTCGGCGGCAGCGGCTCGCTCCTCTAGGAATTTGTCAAACTCCGAGCTGGTCAGTTCCTCAATGCCCTCGATGTGCTGTTGTGGAAACAAATCGTTAATCAGTCAAGATCTATACCCAGAATTGTGTGCCAAAAGCAAAGAAGCAAAGGAAGAGTATGTAAATCGAGGAACTAAAGCCGAGAGTGCATGGTAAGATGAGCTTAAAAAATGACAATGTGCTATTCGTATGGCTACTTACTGAGCTGCCCAACCACGCCTCCATCTCGTCGATCTCATTCTCTTTCGTCGACTGTGTGGGCGCCAACCGAACAACAAAACGAAACGGAAACGAAAACCAAACGCAATTTGCATAGAACAAAAGAACCAAAATGTTTTTCAGATTTAAATTTAAAGTGTAAATCGAACGGCCAAAACGAGGTCAAAAGTAAGGGAACAAATCGAACGCCATTAGTTAGACCGGCTGCCTGGCGGCTAGTTACTCACTTTACTTACCACCGGCGGATCGCCGGCTGAGCGCTGTGCTGCCATTTGTGGTTGATTCTGTTTATAAGGCGAGGCGGTGGCCGTCACACTTCCTGCAGCAGCGTCCACGGTGGGAATGTCCCTAAGCATATCCGATTTACTAAGAAAGAGTATGGTATTAACATGGTGCAACGCATCGGGGTGCATTCTGTACTCACTGGTTCCCATCAGTGCGTGACTGGGCCAGGATATCGAACTCATCGGTAGGCCGGGCTCCCCTCTGAATCCCGATGGGTGCTGCTGCTCCTCCACCCAGACTGAGCTGGCCCAGGCTCTGCGGCAGTTGGGCCTCCTCGCTACTTTCGATCAGGTCGATCAGCAGCTGGTCACTTTGCGGCGTATTGCTTACGGCAGTAGTTGTGGGCGGAGGTGGGAGCGTGGCCACCGTAGTGGCTACTGTTCCAGCCGCTCCCACCCCGGGCAAACCCATTGCAGCGCCCAGCACTGCCGATGGCGAGGTGACAGCAGCTCCCTGGCCCTGTGAGCGAGTCTTCTCGTACCGCTGATGGCGCAAAAACACGTTATTCAGCTCGTCGTTGATGCGCAGGAACTCCGCGGTGAGCTCGTCGTCCTGGACTCGACCAATCAGATCGACGATGCGAGACTGCATCTCCTTGCAGGTGGAGGTGAGCTCGTTGAGCAAGGCATAGTCATCGGGCGACTCCTGCCCAGGCTTCAGAACACTAAGCATTTCGCTCAGGATGGACATGTTGTTGCTAACGATTTCCAGCTCGGAGCGCAGCTTGGCCGCTTGGTCAGGGGTCAAATGCAAAGGTCCTGTGCTGGGCGGAGCGGCGGCTGCTGCAGCAGCGGCGGCGGCGGCGGCCATGTGTTGAGGCGAAATTGTGTGCTGCTGGGCGGCCACCAACTGAGGAGGCAACTCAGGAACGCTCTGATTGGTGGAAAAAGGATTAATAATATTGAAAGCAAGGCTTTATCTTTAAGTTCTCACCCTCTGTGGCGTGTAAATAGGCGCCATAGCATCCAGATCGTTGGCTGGGAATTCAATGCCCTTGTTTTTCAGTTCCATATACATCTGGGTGACTCCATTAAGATCCGGCTGGTTTTTAAACGCATCCGCCCAAATCTGTATCAAGCTGAGAACCTTCTCCTGCATTGCAGCTGGTGGATCGTTCTTGGGCCCGATCAGCTTTACCAACTCGTTGATAAAGTCCTTCTGGGCTACCAGGACATGAAAAGCCTTGCCGCAGTTCTTCACGCACGTCTCCAGGACGGTCAGCGTGTACATCACCACCTGGTTGTTCTTGCCGGCATTCTGGGTGAGGCGCTTGCGGATGGCGCGCATGGCATCACGGGCGGTGTCTGAGGATTCGTTGATCATGTCGCAGATCTCCATGTTGGCGGCCCAGTTCTCCGAGGCCAAGTTGGCATCGGTGGCGGCCTCTGAAATATTAATGAACATTGAGTTGGAATCTAGAGACATTTCAAAAATGATCTTTTAACTACATGTGTAAGTACTTTTATTCTTTTGATACTGAAATATTCTGGGATGCACAGAAAAATGTAGTCATTTAAAAGTCAATAATTCTGGTGTCTAAAAATAAGTCATGAAAATGTTGTGTGCAAATATTTGTCGCACAAAGAATATTGTGCGTCATCCTTTTAATAACTTTACGAGTTTTTTAAAGGTATGGCAATTTTTAGAAAAGCTCTGATAAAAGTTGCAATAAAAAATCCAGTTCTACCTAAAAATAAAATGTTATGAATTTATTTGTGTTTTCTGTGTGTGATAAATGGACACAAAAACTAAACATTTTCAATTGCTAAAAAAATTGACTCATTTTTCAAAGATATTACTCTAAATTTAAGATTTTTTTTAATAATGTGAAGTTTATTTTGCGGTTATTGATCTGATCTAATTACTTCAAATGATCATCATGTATTTTCATTCCTTTGTTTATTTATATGGCCAGCTGGAACCGAGTTTTTTAGCAAGTGAGTATTATTTCTGTATATAATTTAAGCTCTTGGCAGTGCAATGACTTGCTCAAATTAAAAAGTACAAACAGAAAGTGGAAATGCAACTCGTTTAAATCCAAACAAATGCAAGCGGGCAAATGCATTTCTCGGATATCGGATAACATATATCCAGAGATACGATACACATGTGAAATCGGGTATACGAAACGGAAAAGCTAACCGCAAGGCAACAACAAAATATGAGCAAAAAAAAAATATGAAGCAACAAATTAGTAAGTCACCATCACAAATGCAAATAATGCAGGTGTGTGAGTGCTTTTGTGTAGCGGCAAATGGAAATTATGGCGAAAATACGAGGCAAAGAGGGAACCGTAATAAATTAACACATATTTTTATGTAACCTAGCGGTTAAAGGCAATGATGACTAATTGCCATTACTACGGGTGGAAAAAGGGGGAAGATTGGGTGGCAAAAAAGCAATCAAACAAAACAAGAGCGCATCAATAACAATACCGAAATGCGAGTGTGTTTGTGTGCGTGTTAAAGGTGAGCAATTCCAAAAGAAAACATACAAACAAACATTTATCTGTGTGCGCTGTCACACCTGGGCCCGCACACCCATATAGGGGTTAATCTTATCAGAAACTCACAGTTGTTGCCACCGCCTTTGAAAGCAAATCAGACTATTTTGCGGGTTGATAACCACACCGCACTTTGCCATAGTAATAGTCGGCAACAACAAATGAGTTATATGAGTGTCTGTGTGAGTGTACAACCCGCAAAGAAAGCAACAAAAAATACTACAAAACAGACGAAGAAAGTTGTGAAAATTCAATTTTCCAATGGCCCAGTCTAATTGGGATTCGCTTAAAAAGCCTTCAAATAAAACAACTGGCAATGCAAATGCGCAAAAATCAACGCATATGCGTTGTATTCATGGAAAATGTTACAATTTAACCATATATACACACACCCCCGCTTCCGGTGGGTGGTTTTCGAGGAGGGGGAGGGGCACTCACCTATGCGCTGGCCAACTGGAGTGGAGAATACATTTCCCAAAGCGCCAACGTTGAAAAATGAAGCCATCGTGGAGCGGTTTCTCGGATCTTTTCGCCGTCTGTTTGCGTTGCGGTTGAAATTTTCCTTTATTTACTTTTTGTCACCTGGAGCAAATGTTTATGCACTCGTCTACAGCGGTGTTACCGTGGCTGGACTCTGCGAAAAATACCGTTTGAAAAATGCACTAAAATAAACCAGGCTGATTACACTAGAGCTGGAACATTGCATCTTCATGGAGATACATTTATTGATTCAGGAAGCCCAGCTCTCTTTTCCCAGTAACAATTTGTAATATTATTCTTCATTAATGCTAAAAGGTTAAACAATATATTAGCTTCTATTATTACGCACAGCAGTACAATTTATGAAGTTTAGGTATATAAATATGTTATTAAATCGTTTTTGAATTAAGCCCGCTAATTATATAATAATAATATAATAAAAATATATAATATTAATATAAGCTTAATAAATTAAAAATTAAAATTAAGTTGTCCATGCGATAGTTTAGCCAACGATATGTACATTGTCTGCAGCCCTGAAACATGTTGCCGTGATTCAGCACTGTACCCTGGCAACCCTGCTCTGTAAAAGTAGGAAAAACAGAGAATTTTATTTTCAATTGGACAATTCGCAACATAAACAGGCCGAAAATGTCGCGACAAGCCTCCCGCCTGGACGCCAAGAAAGTGGTAAGTTAATCGAGAGACGGGTGCTGTAAGTGGGGAATCGGTATCATAAGTTATAGATAGTTAGTTTTAGTTGTAAGGTTAGTTTTTGCCTAGAGCCTAAGAACGAATCTTTGACGTGCCACCCACCCTCAAAATCGGCTTCATTCGCTTTTCCAGTAAGTGGTGTGTTGAGGGCTTGAGGTTGACACGGCACAAATCGCCGAGCTATCGGGCTATGGAAAACCATTTCAGCGCCACCAGCCGCCCCTCAGCCACGTCCAGAATGAGCTCCAACGCCTCCGCCGCCGCCAACAGCAATAGCAGCAGCAGCAACAACAACGCATCAGCCGGCAACAATGTGAGTGTAAACACGGCTGCGGGAGGAGCCACCAATGCCGCCGCAACCGCACAGCCGATCCAAGTGATTCCCATGCCCATGTTGCCCGCAGGGGCGGCCCAGATCATAATTGGCCAGCAGGCTCAAGGTCAGGCGACGGCGACGGGGCTGCAACCCCAGTTGATACCCCTACAGGCCAACCAGATCATGCTGCAGGCGGCCCAGCAGCAGCCCCAGATGCAGGTGATGCAGCTGCCCGATGGCCAGACCATATTCTATCAGACGCCCACCATTGCCGCCTTGGATCCGAATGCAGCGGCCAATGCAGCAGCCGCCATGGCCGCCCAACCCACGCCCCACTACCTCAACATCAATGGGCAGCTGGTGCAGATTACTCCAGCGGCTACCGCCAATCAGGCGACACCCAACGCTGGTCAGCAGATCATCATGGTACCGCAGACGGCCATGGCGGCGGTGAATGCAGCTGCCGCCAGTGCTGGGGCCACAGGAGTGGGCACGGTGGTCGCCCAACAGCAGCAACAACAGCAGCAGGTTCAAGCCCAATCCCAAGCTCAGCAGCAGCAGCAACAACAGACGGCGGCGGCTTCTAGCGCTGCGGCCAATAATATAAGTGCCGACGTCAGCACAAGTACCACTGGGACCAATACGAACAGCGAGGACGAGAGCTCCAAGGGCGAGGCGGATGAGGAGCCGCTCTATGTCAATGCCAAGCAGTACAAACGCATCCTCATCCGACGGCAGGCCAGGGCCAAGCTGGAGTCGCGCATTCCCAAGGAGCGCTGCAAATATCTGCACGAATCTCGTCATCGGCACGCCATGAATCGGGCGCGAGGCGAGGGGGGCCGTTTCCATTCGGCGCAGGAGAAGGGGGATCAGGATTCGTCTGGTCCGGATAGCGGCAGCATGCCCATGGCTCCCAGTGGCGGCATCACCCTCAGCCGTGGCACGGCAAGGGCTCCACCTAAGCTGATCGCACCACACCAAACACCAAGCATTACCATAACGGCGATCAAGTCGGAGTAGCCGCCGCCTAGCTGTAGATACAAACCAGACTAGATCGTAGTTTATAGTTCTAAGCCAGTCACTCTGTGTCCCTCAACCCGCCCTCAATAACACCACGTCAGTCGGTGTTTTCGGTTTAAATTTCTCGTCATTCATTTCGAATATTTAGCCTTGTTCCCTTTTTTCAATTTCGAGATAATGGAGTTTTATTTTCAAGTGTCGATTTTCGTCATAACATTTTTTTGTAGATCTAATGATTTGAATTTAAGCCTTTATTTCAATTTTATAAATATCGCTTTATTTCCGAATGTTTACTAGATATTTTTCAAATCTGTAGATTGTGGTTATTGTAATTAAAAGATACAAATTTATTATTTTTATTGAAATATTTAATTTTTTGATTGAAAAACAATGTCGTGTCCAAAAGTTATACCATAAAAATTGTGCAATTATTAATATAGATTTCACAAGCAATTTCGAAATGAAATTGAGAACAAGGCTTTAAGAATAAATCAAATGTACGACTCGTCTATTGAGAACATTTAAGAACACAGTCAATACACCGCATAATAAATACGAACAATTGTTTATAAACTTAAATATATACGTTTTCTGTAGTTAATTTTAATGGCACCGACCCATAAAAGGATTCATCCTGGTTCTGGATTGATTTTTATTAGCTGTCTGCATTTCTCTCTTCCTCTTTTGTACAAAAAACAAAACACAGAACTCGGAGTTCCTGACACTCACCTACGGGGCACTTGTCACCCAAATGCTGCGCGACTTTGAGAACGCCGAGGACGTGAACAAGCAGCTGGAGCGGATCGGCTACAACATGGGCATGCGCCTGATCGAGGACTTTCTGGCGAGGACCTCGGCGCCCCGCTGCCTGGAGATGCGCGAGACGGCCGATCGTGTCCAGCAGGCGTTCCGCATCTACCTGAACATCCAGCCCACCATCTCGAACTGGTCGGCGGCCTCCGATGAGTTCTCGCTGCTGTTCGACAGCAATCCGCTGACGGAGTTCGTCGAGCTGCCGCCGGATCTGACCAATCTGCGCTACAGTGCCATACTCAGTGGCTGCATCCGCGGCGCCCTGGAGATGGTGCAGCTGGAGGTGCAGTGCTGGTTCGTGCAGGCAAGTCTGGCGCAATACTTTTACGCTTTTCATTCTTGGCTAATGGTCTAGTGTGCTTTGTGTGTGCGTGTGTGGCTGGGTGTCCTTTGCAGGATCAACTGAAGGGCGACAATGTGACGGAACTGCGCGTTAAGTTCGTGCGGCGTCTAGAGGAGGTCATACCAGCTGGCGAGGATTAGAAAACAAGTGTGGATCAGTGGATCAGAGCGCGTACTATGAGTTCTTTTGGGGGTCAATAAAAGCACAGTCTGTATAGAATTTAGCATCTAGTAATCTGCGTTTGTCGATTTTGAAACTGCAGTCCACATTCCGGAGCAAAAGCAACAGCAAAAGGAGCAGCAGCAGGAGCAAGAAGCAACAAGCAACATCCACAGGAGCAACAGCGGCAACAGCAATATTGGAGCAATAAGAATCGTTACAACAAGTTTAGTTTTATGTTTTATTCGACTTTATACAGATGATTTAACTTTGGGTATATAAGAAAACAATAGAAAATATGTTTCTGTTCATATTTGGCATGATATAAAGCGTCATAAACTCGATTAAAAAAACACAAAAGTATTCTGTTATATTTGATACAATTTAACAATTAAACCCCCCATAAATATAACGTCCCTAAAGGCATGGATCGCTTTGAATCTGGGGTAGTTATAAACTATAATTGTTAGTTTTAGATAAAATGAAAGATATTTAGTATGTTAAATATTAAAAATGTACAAAAACAAGAAAGAGCTTTAGATAAAAGGAAGCTGATGGCGTTTTATCAACTGGTCGTACATATACATATATCAATTGGCCATATACTACATAGTCTGCCATGTTTTATTGCCTGATAAGGGGTCGTATCTTCCTACATTGGATTTATGGCAATATTTTTCGTTTATCGCCGACAGTTTGCAAAAAGTTCACCAGAAGGCGCTTTGGGTATCTATATACTGGGGTTTTATATTAGTCGAAGGGTTATCTTTTTTGTAATGTAAGTTGTAGCGCGGCCAGCCTCCGCTGGGATCACATTTGGTTGAATCGATTCGCTTAAATGCACTTTAACAATTTCGGTTATTTTTTGGTCTCTTCTTTATGGGGAAATACTTTTAAGAGGCACAATACTTTGATTGATTACATGATTGGTTTCTCTGGGCTCTTGGATTTGGTCTTGTAGGTTTCAGGGGCTTTGGGATTAGTGTACATAAGTGGTACTTAGTTTAGTTCTGCTGTGGACAAAGCATTAGGTTCAGATTCCGGCGCGTCAGAACTTTGCGGAGCGCTTGCAGCGTTTTAATGCAGATCACCACGCAGCAGCCGTTGGCCACGCCCTCCGCCGGACTCTTGCAGGTGCAGGCGTTGCCCTTGACGGCGGCAGCGGGAGCTGCGGGAGCGCTGCTAATGACGGGCGGCTCCTGGGCTTTTCCCTGGCCGGAACAGCAGCCCGCGGCTGGAGGAGGAGCTGGTGGTGTTGTCTTCTGGTTGCCCGTGCAGCAGCCGCCCGAGGCTGGAGCAGGAGCAGGAGCAACTCCATTGCCGCAACAACCAGTGGAAGCGGGAGCACTCGGCTGGGCACAGCCGCAACCGGTCTTCACGGGTTCAGAAGCCTTCGGCTCTCCACAGCAGCCTCCAGCAGAAGGTGCTGGCTTGGCGGCTGCACCACCTCCGCAGCAACCGCCGCCGCCGGAGGAGCCACCGCTACTCATGGAAGCCAGGTTTTGCAGCAGCAAAGCAACATCCTCGATATTCTGGTTCATTTCCGCCTCGCGTTTACTCACTTTTTTGGTGGGCGCCAGGCTGCCGCAAATGCGTTTGCCACCGCTGCTGGAATTCATCGTTGTGGTTGTGGTCGTCCTGGTGGCCTTTTGGGCAGCTGCAGCACCACAGTCGCCACCATGACAGCTCTTGGTTTGATCGCACTTGCAGTTGGTGCAATTGCAGATGCCCGCATCCGCTGTGATCTGCTTGAGCGTGGGCTTGTTGTCTCGAATGTCCAGCTCCACCAAGCCAGAGGCATCGCTGGGCACTTGGGAAGCCTGTTGCAGTGTGGCCTGCAACAGGGCGCTGTTGTTGTCGATGGTCATGAGGATGTCGTTCAGCAGCGACTCCGTTTCCATGTCCTCCTCGTTGTCGAAGCTGTCCTGCTTAAGCAGCTCCTCGATATTTTGCTGATTTAACTCCAAGGTGGGTGTTGCCAAAGTAGGCTCTACTGCAACGTCGATTTCCATGGTCTCCGCCTGCGGATCTCCCATGTTGCCGCTCACAGCATTGCCGAATGTGGGTTTCAGGTCCACGAAACTGGGCATCTCAGTGGGCAAGGCCACGCAGGCATCCGTTAGCGGAGCCATGGGAATGATGGGCTTGGAGACAAGGACGCCAGCGTCAATCCACGGACTGGGTATTTCCTCTTCGGCGGCGAAGGAGAGCTGGTAGGCCTGAGAAGTCTCGGGAAGGATCAGGGGTTCGTTGCCCTGAAGGATAAACACATTGGATAACTGATCCTGCGGCGTCAGAGTGTGCAGCACCACTCCGCTGTCCGTGCTGGTGGTTTCGGAGCAGTGACTGCCTGGATTTAGCACCATCATCTCTGCCGCTTTAGCTTTACGGAACTCCTCTTCCTCCTGCTCCTCCAGCTGGGGATCCTGTTGCTCCTGATCACTGAACTTGGACTTCTGCGACTTCTGTGGCCTCTTCTTGCGGCCCTTGTTGAGTAACTGCCGCTGGTGCGTCTTCTTGTGGGATTTCAAGCTGTGCGAAGTGCTGAACGACTTCTGGCAGCTGTCCTCCTGGCAAGGATACGGTTTTTCGCCGGTATGCGTCCGCCGGTGGGTCTTTAAATGGTGCGAGGCGGTGAAGGCCTTGCCGCAGTCGTCCTCCTGACACTTGTAGGGCCGCTCCTGGGTGTGGGTACGCATATGCTTCTTCAGGTCGCTCAGCGTGGTGAAACACTTCTGGCACAGCTCGCAATTGAACGTCTCGCCATTGTGCAGTCGCAGGTGGGCGTGTAATCTGTTGGTTGATCGTGGTGATTAATAAACCATGCGGCCATTGGTCTATTCCGGCGACTATCAGTCCGCCGCAGTGGATGGGATTGCTCACCTGTAGCGCGTGTTGAAGGCCTTATCGCAGCCGGTCACTTCGCACTCGTAGGGCTTCACCTTGGTGTGGACGCGGACGTGGATCTTTAGGCTGTAGGATGTGAGGAAGGCCTTGTGGCATCCATCTTCCGGGCATTTGAAGCTGTAGTCGCCTGGAAAGAGAGAAAACGATGCGGTTCATGGCGAGTATATCAAAAATAAACAAAGGACCCTTATTTGTTTACATTACATTACATTCAATTGGTTGAATTTGAATTTTTTTAAATAATATGAATTCGTTTGACCATAAAGCGTTAAGTGCCACAATTGTTTATAGGAAAAAGGTCATTCTCCTGTTCACTTACGACTCGATAGAAAACAGGATGGATTTCAGTAGCCTGAGCTTTCCAAAAACCAAGTTAGTAACAATATACTTTGCTAGAAAACCATTTAGTCTTCAATGTCTCTACTTAAAAATTTCAGCTCAACAGTATCAAGTTAGATGAAGGGAAATTCTGCATATGTCTAAGGAACTAGACTTTATCAGAAAACGAAAACACAACATCAAACCGGAAAATACAAAATTTATCTAGTCAGTGAGAAAGTCAAGCGGGCAGGACACACTTAAATATACGAAAAATTAGTTATCTATATAGGAATACTACTCACCCGTGTGGGTCTTTAAGTGCGTTCGCAGGTTTCCAATTGTACTATAACTGCGATAACAGTTCTCATAGTTGCATCTATAGCGACTGAGAGCCTCATCCGAACTCTAAATTGTAACGAAAACAATGTCTTTAGATAGATTCAATAAAGTAGTTAGGAGGTTAATAGATGTAGAGATTGTACATTGGAATGAAACAATTATATGATAACATGCGGGATTTAACAAGTGATACGCTTGGGGACAGCCATTACGATGTCGAATTAAGCAAACACTACGCACCACGAGATGGTTAACAAAACTTGGTTACACACGCCTACAGCGGAATCGCAGGAATCGGAATCTCCACTAACACTAGGATTAGGATGGCGAGTCGCTACAAAAAGCGTTAGGTAACGTTAGGCACGTTAGACACTTGGCTAGCGGATGGTGATTGGTTGTGGGTACCTCGTAGGCCAACGCCATGAGCTGGTCGTTCTCGTCCTGCCTTATCTCCTCCTCCTCTTCCTCCTCCTGCGCCTCTTGGTGCAGAACGCCGGGCTGGATGCAGTGGGCCAGCTGCTCGTCCTCGTCCGGGTCATTTGGATCGTACTCATCCACATAGCTGCAAGATCGGACCGAGCGGGGCGGATTTAGAAAACGGGGGAAGACCAAAGAGGCATTTATCGAATTCGCAGTTGGAAACAAACAGAAAATCGCATCGGGTGGGGCATATGTATATTCCACCCGATTTGTGTGTCAGTGGGCCGTTAAGATCATTGTGTATACATAATAATAAACGCAACAAGTATACGTACTTATACATATGTACATATATACAAAATGCACAGATTGCGATTAGTGGGGTTAGAGCGTTGTAGCAAAAACATCAAATAACACACAAAGTATAAAGTATAAGGGCGCAAAAACAGCCGTTCTCTGGAGGCATTGTCGGTCCTTATTAATCAGATTAATTAATATTTAATGTTGTCATGGTCAAAACACAACAAATGGCAAAAGAAAATAGCAGACGGCAACCGAAACTAAAAAGAAAAGTCGAGGGAATAGTACAACAAGTGCGTGGGTGCTGAGACGGCTGGCAGGCTGACTGACGGGCAGCGTGCTCCACCCCCAGACCCTTCCCCAATACAGATCCACCCATCGAGATGCCCCCTTCGGATCGCGGGAGTGCTGAAAAATGAGAAATATGATTGAGGGAACACTACTCATGGTGGTAAAAATAGCAAAAAGGCGTCGTCGCCGAATGGCTAGTGGAAAAGGGAGGACGGAAGGAAGGCGCGGAGCAAAACAACACACAAGGCACGGATGAAAAATTGAAATATTATTGTACCGCATAATAATGAACAAACCGGGGGCAACAACAATGCAGAAAATAGCGGACTAACCCCATCACAACAGATCATTTGGACTTAAGAACAGCCAAATTTAGTTTATGACTATTTTAATACCTTTTGAGGGGCCCTAATCAATTAACAATTTCACTACTTCTCGTTATGGATATATGTGTTTATTTAAGTATTTGTGCAAAACTAGACTTTAATCTTTCTATTACCCTTTAGTTCTAATCAGTCGGTTTGTTGAATCAAATCTATTAAAATTTAAGTAAACATGGTGAAAGCCCTTCAGTTTTTGTGACTTATCACTACATGATTTTGTCTAACTTCTAAAGAATGAAAATATAAGTCCTATCGGCAGTACATGTTTTCAAACTTATTCTAGAGAAATAAGCCCTGTGACACATTAACGATCTTTACCCCTTGGGAAATAATATGATAAATAGAGAAAACTTTTTATAGTGCCAAATAGTACGATCTTTACCCCTTGTGAAATAATATGATAAATACAGAAAACTTTTTATAGTGTCAAATCGTACTTTTTAAGGAGAATGTTCTCGGGGGAGCATTTCACAATAGCAGCGCTACATTTTGGTATAGTTTGAAAACCGGCTTCCTTACACCAAGTGTGAGTGAGTTTTGGGGAAAATTTCGACCATCTCCGCCCCGACACATTGTACAAATATACATCTTTGTATGCTTATATCCATCTATACATTCTGGTCGACGATTGGGGTGGGGGTAGAAATCTAAATGCGTTCATCGGCGCAACTATTTTTAGCCCAAACAAACGATTTCGATCCCAATAATCAGCCGAAGTGGAAAGACCGAGGCATGCAACCATTATGATGCCCATTGCCATGGGGCAATATACCCTCCAAAACGAGGGTACACCCTAGTCGAGTCGATTGCCGGTGCAGAATGCAGCAGGCTGAGAACACAAATCAGGCAATTAGCAAACAACTTGCTAGCGATTCGGACACCGCGTTGTAATAAGTGGACATTGGAATGGTCGAAATTTTGCCAACAAATTCTCGACAAGGAAGAAAATATGAAAATTCGATTTTGTTTTTTTCGAGGGGGGCCAAGCAAAAAGCGAAATAAAACCAAAAAAAGGCCGGACACGTCACGACAGACGCTAGGCAAATGTTTTCCTTTTTTCTCTCGCGGACTTTTTGTGTGTGGGCAGTGGAAAATTAGCAGAAAAGAGGGGTGGTCGTGGCACTGTCCCTGGGCGGGGGTCAGAATGCGGAGGGCACACCTGACGGCCCACTATAATTGGCCAAATACGACAAAAACCCAGCAACATTAATCTACCTCATACAAGGCACTAAAAATTTGCAATAATTATACAGACTCATTTTGGTTTTTAGCACATTTTTCTGGGATTGCAAATCAAAATGAAGTGATCGAACGCTTTCAAGGTCTGCCATGAAATGAAATATTTTTAATATTTTCTACTTTTGCTAGTGATGATTCTGTATCCTAATCAAAACTCAATCAACTGGCAATATACATTTTTGTGGTTTTTATAAATTTAATTAATTAATTATGCATTCAAAGCTTGAACCAATTATAATATTTTAAAAATATGTATTGCCAAGATTTATGATTTATTTTTATTTATTTAATTTTCCACACTTTCCTTGAATTTGATTTTCAGAAAATGTATGTATATTCGAGATAAATACATATATAGAACATTTCGGGAAAAGCTTTATTTTAGGCAATTTATAGGTTTGAAAATTCCAGAAATGTATGCCTTTAAAGTTGATAAAATAACATTATTTTAAGGGAAAATAGTTTTAAAGGTATTTTAAAACGTGTTGAATTTTAACTACTAAATCCTATCTACTAAATAGGAAAAATTGTTAAATTTAAATCATTTTGGAACTTTTGAAAATAGTGTTTAAGAACTTCGAGACCGTTTCTTGAATTATCTATTTTCGTTAAAAAACATATGCTAATAAGACATTGTGAATAAACCAAAACAGGTTGTTACATTTAAATCTTAAGAATTTCATGCCATTGCAAAAAGCGTTTGAATTACAAGAGATCTATAGAATACTCATGCAGCGGAGGGAAAACATGCAAGTGGACTACCTCGTCTCAATAGTGAAATAAGCCGGAGAATTGGATTCCGAGCCTCTGGAGTTACTGTTCGCAGTTCCCTGGACATTATCACAGTTGATAGTATGAGTTGCACCCTCGTCGGAGGTGGATACCATGCTGAGGGAGACCACGGTGGGTGGCTGGACCTGGACGAGCTTCTGGTTCTCGAACTGGTACTCCAGCGTGAAGCAGATGTCGTCCAGATTGAACACCTGGGCGGTGCTCTCGCTTAGACTGGCAATCAGTGGAACTTCAGCGAGGTTGGAGCTGAGGTTTTCGGTGGTATGATGATATGTGATGGGTATGACCGTGATGGGCATGGGCGTTAGTTGATCCGCGAGTGGGTAACCATTGACCGCTCCCGCAGAAACGATTTGTGGATGTGCGTGCGTTTGTGATGGAGTGAGTTCCTGCGAGAACAGGGCACTATAGGACGCCTGGACGTCCTCGGTGTCCAGCGACAGGCCCAGATTAAGCACCTGTTGCTCGCCACTGGTGGACTCCGTTGCCTGGCTGCCGTAGATGCTGTAGTTATCGCCGTGGATGATGCCCAGTCCATCTGCCTCCAGTTTTGGGGTGAGCAACTGGGCCAGTGGCCTGTCGAAATCCAGGGAACCGCTGGAGGAATTCGACGCGACGGGCGGGGAGCCGGAGAGCGAATTGCGCGACGAGTTGGTATCATAATCCCGGCTGTCTGATAACGAGTTTCCGTGACTGTTAACCGTCTTCCAATCGCATTGGTAGTAGTGCTGCTGCAGCTGTTGTTTTCCTTGCTCGTTCATTTCGTTTTATTATTTATTCGCACACCCACGCACACAAAAGAACACGCCTGCTATAAATCGCATATGCAGTTGTTTTTTCTCTTTCTCTGTTGTCACTGTGCAATATATATATTGCAAAAGAAATTAGAGATCGCGAGATCGAAAAGCACACATCCGCGATCGAAAAGCACAACAACAAAGATAAGAAACACTGTGACCGCGGCTGTATCTCTCAAAAATACCCCTAACTTTTTAAAAATATACTAAATAAGCTCAGAAATACTGTCAGTATTAAAACGCCTTTAGCGGGGACACAAACAAAAGTGGTGAAATTGGATTAAGGGTCAAGAAAATTGGAGATTAATAAACACAAGGACATTTTGAGAAATGTATATTATTTTTCATATCAGCTCACATAAAGTATTCAAAGTAGTGATACTTTCCAATCTTCCTATTATTTGCGGTCTAAAAATTCGAATGCTTTATATATTTTATTCAATGGCCGGAAATAGCCGGTATTTGAAACTTCTTTTTTTAAGACTACTGAGATTTTTACAATAGTTTGTGTTTTATTTGTATGATTTGTAATACACTTTGTGTACAAGAATAAAACGAGTTTTATTTGTGACGTGTACACATTAAAAATTAAATTAATTTTTCAAGTATGTAAAGTGTGTTTAAATGCCTTTAAAAAATTTGCACTTTAAAAATTCAATAGCAAGCACTTTGTTTATTGGTAATGTTAAAAGTTTAGCTTTTGACAAAAAAAGGTAAACACAACTATTGAGTCATAAATTTATATACATGTTCAATGTACTCGGGTAAACTTAAATAACTAAAAAGCTGTAATAAAAAATAAATAGAACTCACCAAACACAATGTTACCTAAGACCAATTTTCAGTACTGTGACCTGGATTTCTCAATGTTACATTTTTGTGGTGCAAAACCTGTCAGAGTGCAACAAGTGGGGCTGAAACTAAAAAGGGAAGCCATTTAAATGCAGCATCTAAAAGTTGTGAAGTCGACCAACGAGTTGAAAACTCCATCAGTAACTCGTTGATCGTCTGCTCTGTCGGTCGGAGTCAACTGCCTGCTTTCAGGATGGATAAATGCCGGGGCTCCTCTGGGATATTGATCATCGGGGCAGGACTCTCGGGAATAGTCGCCGCCACTAGACTCCTCCAGAACAACTTTAAAAATGTACAGATCCTGGAGGCGGAGGACCGCATCGGTGGGCGGATCCACACCATCCCTTTCGCGGACAACGTCATCGATGTGGGCGCCCAGTGGTGTCATGGAATGCAGCGGAATTGTGTGTATGAAATGGTGAAGGATCAGGATATTCTCCATCCAACGGGCGACTATTACAGCACCATGAAGATGGTGAGGTCCAACAAGGAGCTGGTTCCCCACGAAGTGGGCAGCACCATGCACGACATTGTGGCTGGAAGCATGCCAAGTGGACCCCATCCGGTCGTGGGATCCTCTGGCACCCACCTCGCGGAAAACTTTTGGCGGCGAATCGAAGCCGAACTGCCCCATGTGGACAGGACTTTGGCCAGAGAGGCCTTGGATTCCTTTGCCAAGCATGAGAGTTCCATCGTGGGAGCGGACAACCTGTTTGAGGTCTCTGTGAGGGAACACATCGAGTACCATGACTGCGATGGCGACAAGCTGCTCCACTGGGGCACCAAGGGCTTCCAGAGATTCATCCGCCTGCTGATGAATGTCGGTGAGGATCAGCCCGAGGATCTGGGCTTACTCGCAGGTCATGTCCACCTCGGGAAGAAGGTCACCAGAATTGAGTTGGCCCGCCCTCGTAAGGTAATCCTGCGCTGCGAGGATGGGGATTACTTCGAGGCGGATCACGTCATCTGCACTGTATCCCTGGGAGTCCTGCAGGAGCAGCACGAGAAAATGTTCATCCCCCCTCTTCCACCGGCCAAGGTGAATGCCATCCGCAGCCTTAATCTCGGAACCGTGAACAAACTGTTCTTGGAGTTTGAGCAGCAACCGCTTCCCGATGATTGGGTCGGTTTCTACTGCTTCTGGTTGGAGCAGGATCTAAAGGAGCTGCGCAAGACAGAGTATTCCTGGCTGGAGGGCATCACCGGCTGCCACAAGACCACTTGCCAGCCCCGTCTGCTGATGGCCTGGGTGGGCGGATCACATGGACGCCACATGGAGACCCTGTCGGATGAGAAAGTCCTGGAGGGCTTGCAGTGGCTGTTCCGCAAGTTTCTGACTTTCGAGGTGCCAGCACCCAAGCGCTTCCTGCGCAGCAAGTGGTTTACGAATCCAAATTTCCGCGGGAGCTACAGCCTTCGCACCACGAAGGCCGATGAACACGACACGGGTCCCTGGGATCTGGAGACACCTGTAACTGGACCGGATGGCCATCTCGGCCTGCTTTTTGCCGGAGAAGCCTCCAGCAGGAACTACTTTTCCACTGTTCACGGAGCCGTGGAGGCGGGCTTTCGGGAGGCAGATCGTCTGATCGGACTATACTCATCTTGCGGTCCAAATTCATAGAGTAGCTTGGTTTTGGTACTTTTCTACGCCCTATTTAGTTAATTAGGTTACTCAAATTCCTTGTTTCTTAAATAAAATTATTCGAGTCATTCTTCGACCCTTATAAAATAAATGACTTTAAATGACAAAAAATGGACTCAAAAAAATATACCGAGATTTAAACCACAATCATTTAGAAATATGGCACTTTCCAATCTGATGTCTCTAAGAAAAGTTAGTTTTTGGACACTTTTCTGCAAAGCCATTTTTTAATAAATTGGAGAGCTCATAAAAATGACGAAAAACCGACCCAAAAATACAAACCAAGATGAGTATACAGATTTTTGGAGAATTAAACCACAATCATTTGCAAATATGCCGCTTTGAAATCGGATGTTTGTAAGAAAAGTTATGAACTTAGAAGTGCAGGTTTTTGGTCACTTTTCAGCAAAGCCATTTTTCGAAAATTTGGAAAGGGGTTAGCTCATAAAAATGACGAAAAATCGACCCAAAAATACAAACCAAGATGAGTATACAGATTTTTAGAGAATTAAACCACAATCATTTAGAGATATGCCACATTGAAATCGGATGTCTGTAAGAAAAGTTATGAACTTAGAAGTGCAGGTTTTTGGGAACTTTTCAGCAAAGTCATTTTTCGAAAACTTGGAAAGGGGTAAGCTCATAAAAATGTTTGAAAATCGACCCAAAAACACAAACCAAGATGATTACACAGATGTTTAAAGAATTAAACCACAATCATTTAGAAATATGCCACTTTGAAATCTGACGCCCGGAAAAAAAAATAAAAATGACAAAAAATCTACCCAAAAATACAAACCAAGATGAATATACAGATTTAAGAGAATTAAGCGGCAATCATTTAGAAATATGCCACTTTCGAATCGAAGGTCTGTTTGAAAAGTTATGGGCTTAGAAGTGCAGGCTTTTGGTCGTTTTTCAGAAAAGCCATTTTTCGACCCAAAAATACAAACCAAGATGAGTATACAATTTTTAAGAGAATTTAACCATAATCATTTTAAGGTATGCCACTGTGAAATAGGATGTCTGTAAGAAAAGTTATGGACTTAAAAGTGCAGGTTTTTGGTCACTTTTCAGCAAAGTCATTTTTCGAAAACTTGGAAAGGGGTTGCAAAATCGATCCAAAAATAAAAAACAAGATGAATATACAGATTTTTAGAGAATTAAATTACAATCATTTAGAAATATGCCACTTTAAAATCCGATATCTGTAAGAAAAGTTATGGGCTTAAAAGTGCAGGTTTTTGGTCACTTTTCAGAAAAGCCATTTTTCGAAAATATGAAATTTTAGCTCATAAAGATGACGAAAAATCCAAACCAAGATGAATATAAAGATTTTTAGGGAATTAAACCACAATCATTTAGAAATATGCCACATTGAAATCTGATGTCTGTAACAAAGATATATATGGGCTTTTAGTTTTTAGTGAAGCCTATGTAGCCAATGAGTTATATGTTTTAATACTTCCCCTTTTGACACAACAAATAATTAAATAAAAAGTTAAAAAATTACAAAAGCTTAACCGTTATCCACTTCGAAATTGGCGCCTATAATCGATATACCGTCTATCGATTATCACATCAGCTGTTTAAGTGCCATCGCTAATTTCAATTCAATTTGTTTTATTTTTGACATAACACATAATAAAAATGCAAATAATTAGGAATTGCAGTAGTAAATTACTCAAACACAAGTACCTGTGCCAGCCGAAGGTGTACTCTGTGTACTACAGCACAGTTAAAGGTGCGTTTTTCCCAGTTTCATTCATAAATCCAGTGCCGGCTGAACGATTCATATTCCTCCGTTTCTAGATGCGGCCAAGGAGCTGCCGTTGGCCGCCGGATACCAGCCACGACCTGTGGAGCAGGCCTATTGGGAGCGGGAGGAGCGGCAGGCGAATCTGCCAAAAGCTTCAGCCAGTAGTTGCAAGCGGGGAACTTATCGCATGCTGCTCCCGCCGCCAAATGTCACCGGCAACCTTCATTTGGGGCACGCTCTGATGGCCACCGTGCAGGATGTGATTGCACGCCAGCGACAGCAGCTTGGCTACCAGGTGGACTGGGTCCCAGGCACAGATCACGCGGGGATTGCCACCCAGGTGGTCGTGGAACGGACCATAGCTGCATCTCAGGGCAAAACGCGGCAGGACCTGGGTCGCCCAGCGTTCTTGGACGAAGTGTGGAAATGGAAGGCGGACAAGGGTGCAGGCATTGTGCAGGACCTTCGCCAACTCGGCTGCAAGCTCAACTGGCAGCGCGAGTACTTCACCATGGACGAACAGCAGGCCCATGCGGTGAACGTTGCCTTCGAGCGACTCTTCGACGAGGGCCTCATCCGTCGACGCAACTCGCTGGTCAACTGGTCCACCAGCCTGCGCTCCGCCATCTCCGACATCGAGGTGGACGTTGTGGACATTAAGGAACCAACGGAGATCGCCGTTCCGGGCTACGAACAAAATGTGCTATTTGGCAGAATCTATGATTTTGCCTATCGTGTGGTGGATGGTGAAACACTGGCCGATGGTTCAGCAGAGGAGATTGTGGTGTCTACGACCAGACCCGAGACTATTTTGGGAGATGTAGCAGTTGCCGTGCATCCTCTGGATCCACGATACAGCAAGTACCGAAACGTTGAGGAGGTGAAGCTCAAGCATCCCTTCCGTCATGACACAATTCCACTCGTTTTTGACATCTCCGTGGATCAGGAGTTTGGCACTGGAGCAGTGAAGATCACTCCTGCCCACGACAAGTTCGACTTCGAGCTGGCCACTCGCCATAAGTTGAAACCCCGCCAGGTGTTCAGCGAAACGGGACACGTGGTCGAGGCCTATCCCGAATTCAAGGGCAGGCCGCGTTTTGAGGCTAGAGAGCTGATTGTGAACCGACTGGAGGAGATGGAACTGCTGCGCCAGGTGCGCTCCCACAGCATGCAATTGCCGGTTTGCTCGCGTTCTAAGGATGTTATTGAGTACATGATCCTGCCGCAGTGGTTTCTCAAGTGCAAAGATTTGGCCAACGATGCTTTATCCGAACTTCATAGTGGGCGGCTGCAAATCCAGCCCACAAGCTTCGAGACGGAGTGGGAACGCTGGTTGCAGGATAGTCGCGACTGGTGCATATCCAGACAGTTGTGGTGGGGCCATCAAGTGCCCGCCTATCAGGTGACCGACTCCAAGGGCAACAGTCAATGGGTGGCTGCCGTTAACGAGAAGGAAGCCAGACAAAAGGCCATTCAGTTGGTGGGCAGCGAGGAGTTTACATTGACGCGTGATCCCGACGTGCTTGACACTTGGTTCTCCTCGTCACTGCTGCCATTCTCGACGGCTGGCTGGCCCGAAGAGAGTTACAAGGAGCGGTATCCACTGGACCTGATGCAGACCGGCCACGACATTCTCTTCTTTTGGGTGGCACGGATGATGATGATGGGTCTGAAGCTGACCGGCGAGGCTCCATTCCAGAGAATATTGCTGAATGGCATTGTGTGCGATGCCCATGGCAGAAAGATGTCCAAGAGTCTTGGAAACATTGTGGCCCCACAACAGGTGGTCCAGGGCGCCAGTTTGGAGGTGAGGTCTAAATTTCTGGCCGTTTATTATTGCTTATTTTTCTTGGTCTTTACAGAGTCTGAAGTCTGGTCTAGAGCAATCCTGCGAGGCGGGCATCATAAAGCCCACGGAGTTAAAGACTTCCACAGCTGGAATGACCAAGATGTTCCCCAATGGCATCCAGGAGTGCGGAACCGATGCGTTGCGTTTTACTTTAATGAGCCACAACATCAAAAGCCATTTCATCAGCTTCGATGTGAACGCCTGTCACACCAACAAGCTGTTCCTTAACAAGATTTGGCAGGCGATGAGGTTCACCCTGGGATCCGCCAAGGGACTGGGCATCTCGCTACATCAGTTCGAGACATTGGAAGGGGTAAATTTGAGCATGTGGGATCGCTGGATCATAGGCCGCCTGGCGGAGACCTTGTCCATTTGCTCGCAAAGCTACAGCAACTATAATTTCCACTTGGCCACGGCAGCTTTAAAGACCTTTTTCTATCAAAATCTCTGTGATATTTACTTGGTAAGTGAGCTATTATTTCATTGTTTATGTATTCTCTCAAATTCTGGCTACCTAAATTGACAGGAGACCACCAAATCGGCGATTGCAAATCGCACTGCCAACGCCTACATCCATGTGGGCACTCTGACCGCCTGTCTTAGCTGGGGTCTTCAAGCCATGGCCCCATTTACTCCTTTTGTGGCTTCCGAGTTGCTGCAACATGTGCCGCTTAACATTGAGCTGAAGCTGTCCGACTACCAAGACGTTAAACTTGAGGAAGAGGTTAACGAAATAGTGAACATCTGCCAGAACGTGCGCCAGGTGAAGAGTCGCAACGAGATTAGCAAGCGGCACCAGCCGCAACTCAGTTTGTTTGCCCAGAATTCCGACTCGGAGGGCGTACTACGTCGCCACCTGCCTCAGATTCAGGTCCTTACTCGCTGCGAAGGCGTGGAACTGGAACTGCTTGATGAGAGCTCAAAGATTTCCAAGCAACTAAGCTTCTTTTCGACGGCGGGCGCACTCTGTTCCTTTGGCTTGAAGGTGAGCGATGGTTTGGCGGTGACGGCGGAGAAGCGTGACGAGATGCATGTGGCCAACAAAAAGAAACTCAAGAAGCTGGTCAATGAGCTCCAGCGCTACCGCTTGCGTCTGGACAATGAAGCCTTCCAGCTGATGGCCGACAAGACTGTTAAAACGCATTTCGAAAATAAGGTAAAATTCTGAAATGTTTCGTAATTAATGTACATAATGAAATAAGCTATTCCAAATTTCAGGTCAAGGAGCTTGAGGCGGAAATCAACAGTCTCACCCGATTGGCAGTGTGATCCTAATCCATCTCCATTTACAAATTCCTTTTAGATAATGTCTTTGTTATTGTTATATAACCGACTGTTTGTTTTAGAATTAAAGACTGCAATATTTATTAAATGCATCTGTACATTGTGAATAGTACAGTATTTATCTATATATTTATCATAAACCTTTTAAATTTTATTTGTTTTTCTTTTCCTAACCACATCTTCGTTTTGAACTGCTAACTCTTTTGTCACAAACAACCGAAACATAATTCATATTTTTCGTGGAATACTCCTATTAGATCATTTTTGCTAATTGCTACTTTCACAAAGCATTTAAAACAAAGCACTAGTAATGTGAAATATAAGTGGAATTCTTAAAAGTTTTGCTACTTTCCAATATGAATTAATTATCCTATTTTCAGGATTTTCCATTTTTGCTAGGATTTACCATTCCTCCTTGCCAGAAATATTTCAACTTTTTGTATTGCTAATATAATCAAGTCTTTCTTTTATTTTCTCTACCACATTTACAGAATTGGACACGCGTTCTGCGAATACGACAAATAGAAGCCGCGATTCGATATGTCCATATCCTCGTTACCATCGGTTACCGTGTAGACCACGAATGGCTTCGCCGACGTGGTTGTGGACACCAGACCCAGTCCGCAAAAGCGATCACTGGGCATCGAAACCCCGCCCTGCGTTGGCGCTGGAATGATGATGTAGTCGGTGGTGCAATCCTGGCTCTGGACCGATGAGGTGGCCAGCAGCGTTGGATCCACGGCGCCCACATCGTTGGTCAGCGTAAAGGAGTACGTGTCGGAGCTGACCTGGCTGTAGGTGATGGAGCACATTCCTGCTGCCTTGCGGATGCAGATTCCGTACTTCGTATTCGCCAACTGCCTGGTGCCCTGCACTCCAATTGAATTGAGTGCAGAGGAAGCTGCCGAGACGTAGTTAAAGCTGGCCAAGGTGCCACTGCTGGGCATATAGTACTGCAGGCATCCGGCCGGAGCCAAAGTGGCCGATGTGCATCCCAGCATCCTTATCTGGAACTGCCAATTACGGTTGAATGTGTAACTGCCGGACGTGGCCACTGAGATGGTGATCGGATTGACGCCGTTGAAGTCCACGTACACATGCTGGCCGGCGTTCTCACCACAGATGCTGGGCACTTGCGAGGCTCCTCCGGTGATGGTCAGGGCATCGGTTGCACAGGCTCCATCGCCGGACGGAGGAGCCAGCGAAAGGGACAGGAAGTCCACTCGCAACTGGCAGATCGTCGAATCCGGCGGGGTGACCACAATGGAGCAGCGTCCGCCACCCGCATACGGAGCTGGATAATTGCTGTTGTAGAAGTACGTGTTATTGTACGAAGTGCTTGCTCCACATGTCCTTTGATCTATAAGAAATCGTTATAGTTTAGTTCTTGTTCAAAGGTTGGAATTCCATTATCAACTTACAAATACAGCAGATGGCTTGGGCTGTGATGGAGGAGCAGCTGCCCGCCGCCACACCGCTGTTGTCCGAGCACTCTCCATTGATTACGCAGGTGCCCAGGAGCAGATTGTTGCCCGTGCAAATGTCGTTGGAAAAGCGGCCGATTGTGTAGAAGGGAAACCCTAGAAGCAAAATATATTGTCATTAAAATGACATTGAAAAGTATCATACTTTGCAGTTTGTTGTATTTCCTTTGCTATCAGCCCTTTATCACACATTGTAAAATCCTAATAGATAACTTGACAGTGGAAATTCTTCAACTGCCATTTAAATGGTTGTAACTAAAAATGTTGGTCGTGATCCTTTAAAAAAGTACATATATGTTTCTTTGTAAATTTGAATCCGTGACACAATTTTTTAAAATGAAAATTAAGTTACTTAACGGCAAGATAAGTAGGTAACATTCTAAGAAATGTTTAACCCCTAATTTAAGAAATCAAATGGCAGAAAATCGAAGTTACGGAGGCTTTACTATATTTTCTAAAACTGCAATGCGCAAATGGAAATGTTTTCCGCGCACTTAATGATGATTGTAGGGCACGGGGACAGCTAAGACTAAAGAATCCACCTGCGGTACATGCACAGTGGGTGATAATTGACGCCTGACCCACATACTTCCACCACGACGGATAAACAAACCACCGGCATTCATCGGGCGAGATCTTCGGAAGATTCACCCGTTCGGGAGCTCATACTTACAGCGAGGATGTCGTGATCCACTGCGGGCCAAGCTGGAATCCTCCTCATCCGCCAGAAGGGTATCATTCCCCGGGATCAGGGTTTTATTAACATTCAACTCCGACGTCAAGACCAAACTGCTGGCACGTGCCGCACTGTAGATGCCCACTATGTAGCTGCTGAAGAAGATGGCCACGAGGGCCAAAAGCTGCGAGGAACGACCACCGGCAGACATGATAATCGGATATCGTACGGATCACTTTCGGTTTTCACTCGGGGAGCTGGAGCTTTAGCTGCTGCAACGGAGCGGGAACGGATTGGCTACCGGTCTAAAGAGACGTGCACTCGCGGTTGGGACACAATGGGTACTGAGCCGATGGGATCCGAGTTTTAGGGGCATAGTCGGATGGGCCAGGCCAGTGGGCTGCTCAGGTGCTAATTGAGAGAACCCGACAGCCCATGCACCTTTTCCAGGGACGGCTGGAGTTCTTCAAAGTGCAGTCAGATATTTGATTTCTTTTATTTAAAGTTGAATTTTCGCAGAATATTAAAAAAAACACATTTTTTAGGTGTCTATCGAATTTCTCAATTTTCTTACTAAGAAATATAAGTAACAGATTTTCTAAATTTTAATAATAAATAATGAAAATAAGTTCCATATTGGTACTATTTTTAAAATTATGTTTATCAGATAAATACTAATTTTCTCTATTCAATATGGTTTTAAAAAATGACCTTTAAGAACCTTTTGAACTGAAAGAGAGTTCTGAAATAGAGTTCTTAGAGTTTTATAACTCTTATCTTTAAAGTACATATAAATAAATTAGAAAACAACATCGCAAAAAATTTTTTATTGCATTGAATACTTTTATTTTAAGAAAATATAGTAGTTAGTTTTGTTTTGGTTACTTTATTCAAATTAAAAAAGAAAATAGTTAAAACCCAAGCTTGCAAACTTTCTTATTAGATTTAAGAGTTTGAACACGGATTAAAAATTATTAAGCCAAACAGTTATGTTCAAAGTTAGAACAACAAACATTTAATGACCCATTTTCGAATTTTAATGAATGAATTTCTCCCCGTTGTTTACTCGATAATCCGCCCCTGTCCGGAGATCGTGTGGGGCTTATTTCGCCTGGTCGGGAGAGAATGTGGAGCACTCACGCATGGGAAGTGGTCGGCTTCTGGCCCGTATTGGCTTTATTCGTTATCCGAATTTACGCGTACCTCTTCGGGACGACAACAAACCAATTTCTGGGCGAGGAAAGTGATAGCGATGACTTGGCTCTTGGCACTGATACCCAATTTGGCGGGCTGCGCACGCGTGCAGCGCCGCATGATTCCCCGGATCGGATAAAAGAAAGTGTCTAGTGTTTGCTCTTCTCTCCGGTATGTAAGCCCGGCTCTAGTCTAGCATCTTCTTTCCGCTCGAGCCAGTTTAAATGGCTATAAATAAAATCGAAAACTTGGGGCCATTGTGATCGTTCCGCTTACAGATGATGTAACGGTACAATCTTGATGAGTGTGGCGCGTGTTTTTGAGTCTGCGGCCAATAGATTTGCTTTGCTGCATTCACTAGAACGCGGCACGACGCCAATTAGCAGGACATCTCTAATCGCCGACTATGCGGACACTAATTGATGTTTAATCCCAAAAGGAAGGTAAAAGTGGATTGGCTTTGATTGTTTTCCAGGGCGAAGCGTAGAAAGTTGCAAGTGCGCCGCCGATTTGCCAACTGTCAATCGATTTTTGCTTTTTGAAGTGATTTTGGGGCTCTGTTAACCAACGACACCTGTTATTAATAATTTAAATTGATTTTTGGACTGCAGGACGAAGCTTTAAATCAGTTTCGTCCTTATAAAATTATTTGAAATAAATTATCAATTGATTAATTAAAATTTTCAATTCTTGTTTTTTTTTTTAAATCGATTTTGCGGAATTGCACTTTTGCGTTATATTTAATTTTGTTTTGCAAAAGTGATAAAGTAATTCTTCTGATGTGATTTATATTATAAATGTCAAATTGTCAGAATTAGAATTAAATGTTTACCTATAAACTACAAATTAAAAAACACTAAATTTTGTTTAAAACAGTTTCGCATTATTGACTAAGAAAACGTTGATCATTATATAAATTCTATGAAAAGATACTGCAGGAAAACTTATAAATTGGGAAAAGGCCTAAGGAAAATATTATATATTCCCGTTTTTACAGAAAACTATTAGTTTGTTAAGCAACTCGTTAAGTTTACAGCAAATGTTGCCAGGCTTTTTATTAAAACAATAACTAGCAGCTAAACGCATAATAGGAAAACGAAGGCACCGGCGACACTACTCGATTTCGATAATGGCCCCAGCCTTGGCCAGCGCTTCCTTGAGTTTCTCGGCCTCCTCCTTGGGGATGTCCTCCTTGACGATGGTCGGTGCGCTCTCGACAAACTTCTTGGCCTGGACCAGATTCATTCCCTCGAGCAGGTTCTTGACCTCCTTGATCAACGCCACCTTCTGTTTCTCATCGAACTTGACCAGCTTGACCTTGAAGGAGGTCTGGACCTTCTTGGGCGCCGCCTCCTCCTCATCCTCGGCGGGAGCACCACGTGCCGGCCCAGCGGCGAATTGTGGGGCAAATGCGGTATCGGGCAGGTTCAGTTTCTGTTTAAGCAGCGTGCTCAGTTCGGCCACCTCGAGAAGATTGAGGGCGGCGATGTTGTTCACGATGGAGTCCAGCTTGGGATTGGGTGGTTTGGCCACTCCTTCCGGCGCCGGAGGCACTAGTTTCTCGGCTCCAGAAACTGCGGCAGCCGGAGCCGCTGCACTGTACATGCGATGCAGCTGCACTTGTCGCGTAATCTGACGCAGGGCGAGGCGTGTGATGTGCATCTTTATGTTTTCTATAATCGGTAAGTTAATGTTTAAGTAAGCAAATTGTTGAAATATTAATAAATTCCCATTTACTTACGGTTTTCGGCTGACAAAATAAATTATGTGCGACAGCAGGTTATGTGAGCAGTTGTTTATCGATAACCAGCCAGGGCTGCGGAGTATATATTTTTGTTGAAGGGCATTGCCATGCCTGAAAATACCCAGTTTGGTTGAAAAAAGTAACGTAAAAATACCATACAACGAAATTAATTTTATAATTCGCAATCGTTTTTAATTATTATTGTTTTGTTGCATTTACTGTTAGAAAAAGTATATATTTAGAAGTCGCACAACATTGTAAGCTTTTAAACAAAGTTAAAGTGATTTGCTTTTAAGCTTTGATTTTATTTATTGTTTTTATCTAAATAGTTAATTGGCCAATTTTTCAATTTATTCAGTTTGTAAAGTGAGTAATAAGAACCTTGTTAAAATAAAGATATTACAAAGCGTACACCTTGACGTAGTCGATCTTCATGTGGCCACCATCCAGCCAGTGATCCCGATCTTTCTTGACATCCCTCCAAAAGGCCTTCTGCGCCTGCGGGGCCCTCTCGTTCCAGGGCTTGACCACGTGCTGGTACTCGTTGAATCCGCCCACGCTGAGTCCGAAGGTCAGATAGAACTCCTGATCGAAGGGCGCCAGTCCGGTGCCCTCCTCCAGTTTTTGGGCCTGTGGCAATCGCTTCCCAGCGGCGGTAGTCTCACTGAAAGCTCCCTTATCGCTTCCCTGGACACACAACTCCTTGCCGTCGACCAGCCATCGCAGTTCCCGCGGCGTCCACTCGAGCGTATAGTTGTGGAAGCTATCGCTCCAGTCCTCGGAACTATCACCAGTGCCGGGTTTGAGGCAATTCTTGACCGAACGCAGGGGTTCATCTGCGTAGAGCACTGCAGCGGCATATAGATCCAGGTTGCCTCCATTCGGACGGGTGTAGGCAATCCTTAGTTGACCCGACCGGTAGTCATCCACTCCGTACATAGGATACTTGGGCTGGAGCCAGATTTGCGGGGTAACCCACTGAGCTCGCGGCATCTTGGCCCGCACCTCCACTCGACCGTACTTGAAGGAGAACGCATCCTTAGAGGAGAACTGGGCGGTGACCATCGGCGGCAGGCCATCGTTCATCGTCCTGCCATTCCTAACGCAATCATGCGTATTAGCCACTCCCGTGCACTTATCCCCCAGATCCAAACTATCACCTGATGCCTTGTGGAAGTGCTTTTTCATCGTATTTGTGGCTAATGCAACATGGCCATTGGTCAGGCACAAGGTGTCTGGGGCATCGTCCACATAAACATTGAACTCGTAGTCGGGTTGGCCGGAAAACCTGCGCTCTGCTTTCCACTTATTAGGATCCAGTTTTGCAGCGTTAAACTCATCCACAAAGACCAGTTGGCCGGCACAGCGAGTGGGTGCTCCATTGACCTCAGTTTTGGGGGTGGTACAACCCACTCTAATATCGATATCTGGATCAGCAGGTGGACTCCATGGCGTGCTGGAAACGGGGACTACCGGAGGACGAGGAGTGATCGCCGAGGTGCTGTTACCACTGTACCCGTTGACGACATACGACCCGTCATCTTCGCGATAACCCAGTCCGTTATAGATAACGTACGTCCAATAGTACAGAATATCGCCGGGTTTCAATGCAGCAGTGCGATCTCGGAAAGTCCATCGACCGTTCTTGGCCTTCACTATGTCCCGTGCCCAGGTGCCCGCCTCCAGACCCTCCATCTCCTCGTTCAGTTTGCCATGGAAGGCGAACAGACTGATGCCCTCCTCGTCGGGAATGGATACCTCGAATCCCTTGGGGTAGAACACCTCGATCTTCGCCTTTGTCACCTCGTATCCCTGGACACCGACACCGAGGAGAAGGAACAGCAGCAGGTGGAGGCAGCAGCTCCAGGCCGCAAAGCGCGATGCATCCGCCATCGTGGGAATAACGATTGTAAATGAGAAGAGCTGCCTGACAAGTCGTGCTTGGGAATCCGAGAAGCTTATCAAGAACCGGTCGGGGCTTTCTTTGTTTATGGCGCACAGTGAAAAACTCGAAACACATAGGCTAACTTAAAGTCAGAAATCGAAAACAAAGCAACACACAATTACGGTAATTATATTACAAATTTTATTTGCGTTTTGTATTTCCCAAAAATATATGCAGCATTAAAAAATTTTTTTTTTTATATAATTGTTTACCTTTCCTAAACAATATAAGCTTATTTATGTTGGAAATAACTTGACTAGTCAATAAATTTAATTTTAAAAATTAAAAAGAAAAAATATCAAAATAACACTAGACAATAATTTAAAAAAATATATTATTTAAGATTAGCATACATATTTTTATATGGTGAACTGTTTCTCATTTATCAGTGTAATAATCACTTCAAATCGTCTGCGCATCCATAAAATGGGAGACAAAATACCAATAAAAAAAACTTGGGATTAACCCAAGCCCAGCTTGTAGTTGTGAGTCAATGTCTTGTTAAGAAAGGTAAACAAATATGTATATATGTATTTTGGTAGTTTTTTGATTGGTATTTTAAAAAGACCGCTCTTGTTTTTCTAAACTGCCCAACACTGTCAAATCAGCTGTTTGTGGTCCATCGATAATTTCGCTGGCAATGTATCGAAGAATGGTAATTGAGAGCGTATATGTAAGCATGGAACTTTAATATAATTTGCATTTTAAATAGTTAAGCGCTGTTATTAAATAAAACAAAATTCACAAATCAATACTTACAGCAATAACAAAAGTCAAAACATCTAAATTTGTTCTTGACATACAAAATTAAACACCATTTTCAAGTTTACCCTATAGTGCAGGGTATCTATCAACCGATACTCCTGTCTAATAATAAGCTCCACCGCTCAGCAGGCGACGAAATTCGATGAAATTCTGAGTCTTGTCCGTGTGCTTGTCTGATTAGCTTTCGTTCTCTCAGTAGAAAAATTTGTAGAAAATATCACACACATAAAAAATAACAAAAAAAAAAATGAACATATTTTTGTAAAATATAACAAAAAAGGAAGACACTGTGTGCGCGTATATTTTGTGGGTTCGCTTTTTCTAAGACAGTGTTTTTGTGTAATAATTTAAAACTCGGCCGAAAACGCATCGCAAAGAGGACAAACAAAAGACAATAACAAATTCGCAGCGCGAGTGTCCGTGTGTGTACGTGCGTGTGAGTGTGTGCAGGTGCCAAAAGAACGAGGAGATAAACAAATATCCAATTGGATCGTTGGAGCTTTGTTGCTATTGTAAGTAATGCTGATTTATGTAATTCGCTTGTTTTTTTTACCCATCCATTGTTGTTGTTCTTTCTGTTCAGAAAAAACAGCTGTGGCGTTGCCAGATATGAAATCGTTTTATGTAATGCCATGTCATGTTTAATTGCGCTTAATTACAATGCTTAACTTAATTGTTGCAACTTTTGAGGGAATTATTTATTTTCCTGGCTAATTACGGGTGACATGTAAAGCTATCGATATATCGATTGCCCAGGGTTACATGGCCACACTGCGCCGTCGCCACTGCAGCGTCCAAAGCAGCTGTTGTTGTAAGAGGGTGGAAAAAGGGGGGGGCGAAAGCACAGCACGAAACACCGCACGAAAGCAAAACAAGCGAGAATGATTGATTTTTCGTCGTGTGTCGTCGGGAAAAGTAGGCGAACGGCAGCTTCGCGGAAAAGCGGGCAGCAGTGAAAACTTTTAGTATCACAGTCGTTGCTGACGAGCGGAAGGGACCGCAGCTCGGGAAAATCAGGCAAAGAAAAAACACGCGAGGGCACCTCTTACCAAATTGGAATATAAATTCAATCGAAGTGTTTAGTGTAAATAGTTAATTTGTTTTCTAACCAAATTGCCAGTGGGATTGGTTTTTGAGTGCCGTGTAAAATAGAGTTACCAATAATCCTTACGAGAGAACCGAGTGCAAAGGAATTTTCGTACGTCACAGGCTGTGCGTGTGTGTGTGCACCCCCGGAAATGTAACACTCACACTAGTGCAGTGAAAAACTTGCACCTGAAAGTTTTCGTCGTGTTTCCACCTTCGTGTGCCTGCTCTCGGCATTTAAAAAGCAGAAAAAACGCAGCAAAAGGTTAGTTTTCCGCTTTTCAGTGCACCTGTCAAAAATCCTATTTTAAATTCTGACTTATTTGCCCCAGTTTTCATCCAGGGCTGGCATAATCTACCGTTAGCGCGTGTGTATAGTATGCGTGCGTGTGAATGTGCGGGACAGTGTACGTAACCAATTGGAACTGGGGCAACTGGCAAATACGGCAACGAATCGGTGGAGCAAAGCAAACGCCGCAATAAACCCCTAAAAAATCTCCAACCCCGTGTAGCAAGCGCGAGAAAAGCTGGCTGAAAGCTGCAACTTGGCCCAGTTACTTTGGCTCTAATTGCAGACGTGATAATAGAAGTGCACACAAAGCATAAAAGTATGAGGATGGGGGCGGAAAAAAAACAACAGAAGCATGACAAACAAAAACAAACTTCATTTGCCAAGAGTTTTTCAACCAAATTTGTTTGCCCACACACTCGTAGATAGAGATACAGATAAATTTACAACTGCAACTCAGCTAGAGATGAGCGGCTCAGAGATCCTGAGTTGGTAAATAAAGTCTTGGATTTTGGGGGTGGCAGGTATAATAACTGGTTTTTAAATTAACAACTTAGCGTATTCAGGGGTAGGTTTTTAATAGGTTTCTTTCACTCACTTTAAAGCATTACCACCAAAGAGGTCTTTCGTTTGTATATCCAATGCTCGAGACTTTATTCAGATACATTCAAAACAGGTTACCTACTTTCAAATTTTAAATTATTTATTTACAAATCCAGGTTATTAAGAGTTTAAAACAGTTTAAATAAATAAATTTCCTTTGAAATACTAATAATGGTTAATTGTATCGGGTCTTAGTTAAATAACACAATATAGTCCTTTTTTAAAAGTATGCTAAACAAGACCCTAACGAAAATTCCTAAAATTATATTAGGAATGGATTGCTCAAAAGTTATAATACTGAATTTTATAGGGTCTTATTAAAGGGACTCTCTTAATAAATAATATATGGCTTAACTAAGATAAAATAATAATCCCAAAACTACAGAGTAATTTTAAAAAAATTTGAACAAGCTCCAAAAAAATTAAAATAAATCGTGGTGAAAATCAATTGGTAAACATGTGAGGATCAAAAGTATAAAGAGCAATTCGTTCATTATAAAGTGAAAGCTTAGTTTTCTAAAAAGTTACATTTCTTTAAGGAATTTCATAGAACAGAAACTTTAGAAATATCCTGTTATCCTTTCAATATTTTCATATCCGTTCTTTCCGTGACGGGGTTGCCACCGAAAGTACCCCAAATGTACCCCATCCCTAATCCATCGCTCTCTTGAAGCTGAGCCAAGCAGTCTGTGCTTTTGGCGGCACATTACACTTGTTTACTTTTCAAGTGTGCGTGTGTGAGTGAGTGTTTCAGAGTGTGTATGTGTGTGTGCGCACACCATGGGGGCGTTACTGTCTTTGTTGTTATTACTGTGCGTTGTCGTCGTTTCTTCTTCGGCTATTTTTTGGGGGTCGCTCTCGTCTCGTTTGTAGGGCAAAATTATGTATTGATTATGCCAGTTTTATTTTCCTTTACCCTGGGGCCGTTCAAACTGGAAAAGTGTGGGGCACCTGCGGTCGGTTTTTCATGCCTGAGTGAGCCATTTCATTGGCACAACGATTTCGTTGTCTCTCCGCATTTAACTAATTAAGAGCCCCTGCCCACTGGCCTCCCCCTTTTTTCTAAACAATAGACGTTTTCCGGTCGCTCAGCCCAAAATGAAGTGCGTGTCCAGGGACGGACGAAAAGCTTTAGAAATTGGATATTTCAGCACACAGAGAGAAATTCTAAAAATTTTTCGGATTCTAGAAATAAGTATAACAAACATTTTTATATCTGAGTTTTAAGTAAACTCATCTTACGCCGTTTCAGTATGCAACGTTTTTTACGAATATCTCATAGAAGCTAGTTAGCTTGTAGAAATAGTGGTTAATTGTCAAAATATTACAATGAATTTTATATTTTTTTTTCGTTTTACATATGATCCGATAAGCCGATATCAAATCTCTGGCTAGAAACGGCTTTTTGTCATAGAAAACTTAATCTCCGAACGTATTTCTTTCTGTGTATGTATATATGCTGTGTATATTATATGCAAAATGGGTAGCATATTTGACCGACATCGGGAACAGCGGGTTCTGAAAATCGTTTCCCCTTGGGGGTGGCTTTTGTAATTGGAAAAGCGATCAATTGTAATCCCCCACTAGGCGGGTTTTTCACTTGAATAAAGCTACAAATTTAGAACTCGCTACCCCATTATCATACCATATCTACACACATTTATTACTCATGCACAAAATACGAAAAGCAAGAGTTTAGAATACTTGTTTATTTGTTATTTTTGGGCTGTCGCTTGCCAAGTTTCTTTTTATCAATAATATGATTGATTGCTGTTTTCAGTTCTATTGTTTTTCTTTTTTCCTGTTATTGTCGTTCCCACAACACGCATTGCACATTTTATGGGCCATTTTATCGTGGCCTTTTCGTTGTTAGCCCGATATAAGGCTAACGTGAACAGATAGTGAGTTTGTTGTTGGCCATAAAAATAGCTTCGACACATAGAAACGCAATTAAAATTGCCCTCTTTACAAACTGTCAGTTACTTAACGATAAATACCATTTTGAATCCAGATTATTTCGGGGCCTTGGATCAAATATGGGAAATTGTAAAGGCAATAATATGTTCGTTTACAATATATATGTATACTTTTTTGTTTTAATAATTTCAACTGAGTAAAACATAGATTAAAATACAGTAGAATAGAGGCCATGTCTTGACTTTGACCTATATAATTATAGTTATTATAAATTGATGCGCTGACCTAATTTTGTTTTTTTGTTTTGTATATCTGGAAGCCTTTATTAAGTTTTAAGTTGAACATAAAATGGTAACATTTTCGAAGAAAATACATTTTTGTGGAAATGATTTTCCGATGAGCTGGCGACAAACGGCCAAGCGGTCAGCGCAAAACTGTATTAAGGGTTTTAAAAATAGGAAAATAAAAATTAATGTCAAATAGCTATTGCTGGTGCTGCTGCTTTGTTGTTGCTTCTGCCACTGTTGCTTTTTCGCTTTTTCCTCGTACGATTTATTTATTTTTAAACGCAATTACGTGCGGGTCTAGTGCTGCGATAGTAGGAGGGGCTGAGGGGGTAAAAGAGGGGGTGGGTAAGGGGCTCGTTTCACCAGAACGTATGACGGTGACATTTCGAAAACAGCAAGTGTTCAGGCCAAAATATGATCAGCATATCGCCTGTCGTCTGCTTTTCTATACACCCATCTAACTTTTCGCCTTTCTCTTTCACTATCTTTTCATGTGCCGCTGATTGATGTTTTGGACACTCGGATTGCGTTACGACTCCACCACTATTCCGATTTCCACGTGCTCTGTTTACCCATTTCCCGAGCAGCAGGGCATCTAGGGCAGCAGCGGAACTCAGGCGCAGCGGAGCCGCCCAATTGCAGCCGTAGAAAGCGTTGGTGCGGGCACCATGGACTCGCTCAAGTTACCAAAGGGTAAGTGTCCACACTCGGAATCATATGTGGGCGTCACAGAAGTCTCTATTTACTCAAATGGAAACCGAAAATACCTCGGAGATAAAGTCATCACTTCTGCCAGTTCCATGCTCTGAATGTCTAAAATAATCTTGTTTATCAATGTCAAATGATTAGCAAATTTAAACTGAGTAATAATAATTTTTTTTACAGAATTTATAATAATTTCCATATATAAAGCTTAAATAAGGTCAACACAAATCAATTTTAATAAAATCTATGATTGATGAAATATATACATTTAACTGCTGTTGGTTTGGAAATATGCAATGATTTAACCATATTTGTTGACTTATCATCATGAAATAAGCTTATAAATCTAGAAAAAATAGCATGGACTAAGGATGTAACGGCTCTTTAAGACCACTTTTCTAGCAGACGTTTTAAAACCCGTATTTTCCATTCAACAGCCAACAGTGCCACCAGCAGTGCCAGCGGCAGCAACAGCAACCTTTCCGGTTCGACATCTGCGTCCGCATCTGCAGCCACATCGCCCACATCTTCGGGAAACAATGCGGCTGGTGGTATCCTCACAGGTGCCCCCAAATCGCCGCCGGGCCTGAGCAGCAGCACACCGATCACAGTGCGATTTAACGCCAACGAGGAGTCCCTGGACGACATCCTGCAGTCCTTCCATCACAGCAAGCACAGTCCCAGTGGAGGAGCGAGTGGCGGGGGCGATGCCTCGCCCACCTCGAATCTTCTCGGGATGAAGAACAACGGCCTGGGACTCAACACCGGATTGGTCGTGGGCGCCTGCGAATCCCTCTCCAGCAGCCCCTCCCAGCCACAGATGCAGGGCGGATCCGCGTCCCTCTTCGGCGTGAGTATCTAAACTTAAATTATTTCAAAATATGTCACATTTTGCAAATTTGTATCTAAGATATTCTTAATACAGCTCATTACAAGCCATCGTTACATAAGCTGGTTTAGTCATAACTTATTCGTATAGTTTGCAAATTAGTTACGACTAACATTTCTACAAATATTTAAATTGTCATAGATATTTACAAGTGTGAAAACATGTAGTTGTGACTAGGATGTTATAAAAAAGGTAGTTGTAATACTGAGAGAATTGCAGTAAAGTCCCCTGAATAAGCAATAAACCGCAATTAAAAAATACAAGCTAATGCAGTTTATTAGCAATAAATATGTTAAATCATAGATAGCTCCTTAAATACCCTATAACGTTTGGAAGATCAGTTTCTAAGGGATTATAGAGGGAGTGTCAAAATATATACAAATCAGCAGTGTGCTTTTATCCAGTATTGGGGTAATATTTTAAAACAAATAATTGTAAACTCCATTTAGATAAAGCTAATGTTTTGTCAACCTATTTTCTTGTCTCACTACAACTCAACTGTGGAATTGGTTGTGTCTAATCTAGTGCGTTTGGCAGTGAACCCGATACTTTGTTTACTTTCCGTTCCGTTCCCCTCCCTGCCCCTTATCTTTTATCAAAACAGACCGCCAGAAATTATGATTCATTTTCATCCGTCGCGAGTCCAAGTTTGTCGCAATTAAACATAAATTGTACAGAACGCGCCGCTTTCGTCCGCTGATCGTTGGTGGTTCGGTCGGTCGCCAATTAGCAATCGCCTGGCCAAATTAGTGGAGCACTTATCTTTTGATTTCTATGTAGTTTCACTTTTTAGCAGCCCGATTTGGGATTCGAATTGGTTGGGGCTGCCAGCGATCGTCGCGTGTGTGTTTGTCATTCAAATTGTGGCTATTTCGGTGGAACGGGGCGGCATAAGAATGTGACCGTTGCTGCAAACACAGAATGCTTGCCAAAATTTGCAACAGATGTGCCGTAGTCGATTGCAAAATTCATTTGGCACTATTACTCACTCTTGCAAAATCCTCTTTTCTTTTCATCTCTGCTAATGACGACGAATACGATTTGATGACGACGATAATGATGATCACGATCACAGAACGACGAAGTAACTATGCGCAATAATTTCCTGCAAGGTGGCGGCTTCTTTAATCGCAAAAGGTGAGTACCAAAATCTTATTATTCTTATATACGTATATTTAAACACGTTTTCCTGGGGGGATGATGTGTGTTTGTGTGTACACTAACAGTACAAGTGTGTAGTTAAAAAACCGCCGTAACATAATTGTTGTTGTTGTTGTTGCTACATATGCGTCATGCCAGTTAATACATACCCCACATACAATATATGCATAATAAAACCCACACAACCCATCGGAAATGCATGCATTCAGCCCATTTCTATAAAGACAAGCTGAACTTAATGTTCGCCTTAATTTGTTTCGCAACGCGCTTTCCTAGGGGATTTTTTTCTATACTAAGGGTCTTCTGATAAAATTCTTAAGTCTGTTGTACATTTTCAAAAAAATTTTGATTTGAAATTTGGTTTTATTCTCTAGAGTTTGCGTTGTTCTTTAGATTTTGTTCTCAAGGGACTCGTTTTCGTTACATTTCTAAAAAAAGCTGTGTTACGTATTTTAAGTACCATAGAGGCCGATTACCGAGAAATAGCGATTTTATTATTTGAATCATTAATAATAATTATTTAAGGGTATTTTTTATATAAAAAAAATGCTGCCTTAGAAGGGAATTCCCCATGTTTTTATATTGTAAACCCCATTCAATCATCGCTCTGATTAAAGTGGCCTGGCTTGTACTTTTTTAGGAATATTTCCCCGGGTTCGTTCACCGTTGACCCTTACAAAAAATTACTTCGCTGCAGTTTTGTGACTTTGATTTTGTATATGCGCATACATATATATGTATTTTGCATACGTATATCCTGCGCCACTTGTGCATTTTTAATGCACTCCTGGCTGGTTTGCAGCCGCCTGCCAATGGCCGTAAACTTGCCACGGCCGACGGTCGACGCTTTTGTTGCTTTTGTCGCCAACTGCATTTGTTGTTGTTGCTTATGTTGTTTGGAGCATCTGTGGAGTGCACTAGCTAAAGGATCTGAATCGGCAGCGGTGGTGGGTGCTTTGTTTATGCTGCCTTGCTACTACATGCAAGTTATATATGTATGTAAGTCGGTTTATAATTTTTTTTTTTTCGTAGCCTATGCCCGTCTGCAACTTTCAGCTCAAGTGCCGCCCTGTCTGGCCAAGTGGGCGGTGGGCGGTGGGTTGTGGAAGGGTGGGTTTGTCGTCAACGGGACATCAACGTCACCGAGCCACGTTCCGCTCGAGTTTTGTTTTTGTCTGCTCTCCTCATTTCCATTTGCGGGCTTTCCCCCATTTCTCTCGTTTTAAATATTAAAAAGCAAGTCTAGCTGGGATTTTGCTACCTGAGAAGGTATTGCTGCTGCTGCTGCCACCTCCTCCCCTCCCCACCCCACCGTTTGACGTCATTGCGCCTGATTCGCTTTATTGATTTTCGTAAGCTGATATCGTATTCGTATGCAAATACCATATACATACATATATGGGGGTCTTAAAGAGCGTTTGCTGACCGATTTTCAATTTGGCCGTCAATCAGTCTTGACTATTTTGTGTCGCCTCGTTTTCGCAGCACTCTGTATTCATTTCCGTTGCCTTTTTAATTAAGTTTCCGAGGGCTAATTGCATTTTATAATTGCATTTTTCAACACTAACTGGTGTCGCTGTCGTTGCTGGGTAGTTGTCGTTGTCGTTGCCTTTGCTCTTGTTACGCGTGCCCTTATCATTTGGTTTCAGACTACCACCACCCCCATTTAACAACCAACCCACCTAACCACCCACCGTGCCATGTTGTTGCTGTCTTTTTATCTATTTACACTTGTACACGTTTCAACATGTTTGTTATACACACATTTCATCATCATCAGCAGCAGCGGCAGTGGCATCATCTGCAACAGCAGCAACATCAAGTCACAGCAGCAATATTAAGCCACAGCAGCAACATCAGGCTGTAAAGGCCATCATAAACCACCCACCACACCGCCCCATGCATTTTCACACCCCCCCAAGACACTCCCGCCTCCTGGCATCGCAAGTTGTCTGGTTGGCGACGTTTTAAATTAAAAATTTCCATGCAATTTCATGTCTCGGTGGCCTTACAGTTGGGCATGCACTGCATTGAGTCCAATCAATTAGCATGAACGTGTCAAAGCAATAACACTCACACACACAAATATAAATATTGGCCAACAGCAGCAACAACAACAAAACCTAAACGTAAACGTAACGAATTGATACACATTTGAACTAGTTTAGATTTCTATTAGCATACATGTGTACCTGTACTCGTATTAACCCCTTGCCGCCCACTGTGCCGCGCGATAATTTTTGGTTGGTTTTTTTTTTGTCTTTAGAAGAATATCCCTGTTTTCGGTTTTCGTTTCTTATTCTGGGCTAATTTTTGCTGCCCCGAAAATTTTGTTGTGCAAAGAAAGTGTTGGATTTCCCTTTCGTATCGAAAATCATCAAACAAAGTAAAGGATAAATAAAGCTCTCGATCGCTTGCGGGCACAGTGCTAAAACCGAACTAACTAATCCAAAAATATACTCAACTGCTGTGCCTATATAACTGCGCCTCTTCCAAAAAGAAAAAAAAAGCTAAACCTTCGCCAAAACAAAAATAAACCCACAAAGCGCCAGTGTAACTTGAAATTTTCATTTTGATTGGATGTGTCGCCAAAGAACCAAACCACCACAAAAAACCACCAAAAACAATACTCGTACCACCACCACCACCACCACCAATTTACCACCCACACCATTTACCACAGCAACAGCAATCCTACACCACAACCGCCAACAACAACAACAAATGTCGAGAAAATGATATATAACAAATAATACCAAAGCAACGTCGAGCATAAAGTTCTATTAAAAAGGAGCAATTTAGGATTTGAATAGGCAGATTTAGCTAGTTCGGATGGTTCATGAATTTAATTATAAACAGTAGTTAGGGTACTTAATATAATAAAGAAATATTGAATTAAATAGGAATAATATAGACACAGCTGTGTAGGATATATATTTCCAAAATATCTCTTAAAAATTAATTTTTTAATTTTTACTCACTGAAGTAAAATGTTATATTTTTTTATATTAGGTACACGTTTGTTTTTTCGAGTGTGCCAAATAGTTTCAAAATCTATTCCTTAGAATTTATTTTCAACTGAGTAGGCTTGTTAAATACTGTAGTATTGCTGATCTGTCGCCAAGACAATCAAAATTAAAATCATTTCTTCACATTTCGTCAAAACGGTTTCTCAAAATTTTTGTGTGTGAATGTGAGTGTCTGTGATAATGTATAACAAAATAGTTAATTTTTTGTAAGTTTTTAGCGACGATTTTAAATATCCCGTAATATTTTATCAGTTATTTAAATGTTTTGTTTGCAATACCTTTCATTTTCGAACGCCGGGCGGCAATGGGTTAAGCGAACACAAAACTAATTGCATTATATACCTAGAATACCACCGAATCCGAAGCAAATCCTTGAACAAATTGCTCCTTTTTCATAATGCAAAAAGTATACAGACCTGAATCAATCAGTATCACAAATATCAGCCCAAAAACCAAAATCATCCACTAAAAATAGCCAATGTTGTAAAAGCCTCTTCATCTTGTTGTCCCTTCTTCCTGCAGTTGCGGCGGCCTGCCGAATCTCAATCTCAACAAGCCGCCCCAGCTCCACCAGCATCAGCAACATCAGCAGCAGCAGCAACATCAACAGCTTCAGCAACATCAGCAACTTCAGCAGCACCAGCAGCAACTGTCGCCGAATCTGAGTGCCCTGCACCATCATCACCACCAGCAGCATCAGCACCGGGAAGGCGGTGGATCACATAGCCCCTCGTCGCCGGGCGGAGGAGGAGGAGGCTCGCCGTACAACGGATCCCAGGCGGGCTGCAGCAGCGGCGGCATTTCGCCCATTCCTCCCCAGATGTCGGGTGTTTCGCCCAAGTACCGACGCAGCATATCCTTCCCCATCAAGGGCAATTCACCAACAGCTCTGTATGGCAATCCGCACATGGATGGCATGGGTAGTGGGCACATGAACATACCCACCCTGTCGATTGGAAACGGTGGTGGTGGCGGCGGAGGATCTGGTGGCATGATCTCGGCAGGAGCAACCGGCGGCGGAGATGCTCCGTATATGGGCAACAGCTATAACAACATGATGTCGGCCAACGGGCAGATGCATCACGGTGGCATGGATAACTCGCTGAGCGACTATATGCGCGGCATGTCGCTGGGCGGCGGAAATGGTGGTAATGGAGGTGGCGATGGTGGCAACAGCATGGCCCTAATGCAGGACAGGATGCGCGTGATGGGCGGTCCAAAGCATCTGAGCGAAGCGGATGCCATGGCCATTGCGGCCAGCGGCAATGATCCATCCGTCTACCTGAATGCCCTCAAGATGGGCTCGCCATCGCGTCTTTCTCCGCACTCGCCACACTCGCCCATCCAGGGTGGGAATGGTGGAAACGTGGGCGATGGCACGGCCCGCTTCTCCCGGAAAGTGTTCGTTGGTGGCCTGCCGCCGGACATTGATGAGGACGAGATCACCACTTCGTTCCGACGCTTCGGGCCACTGGTCGTCGATTGGCCACACAAGGCCGAGTCCAAGTCGTATTTCCCGCCCAAGGGCTATGCCTTCCTGCTGTTCCAGGATGAGAGCAGTGTGCAGCAGCTGATTGACTCGTGCATCACGGATGAGGACAAGCTTTATCTATGCGTCTCATCGCCAACGATCAAGGACAAGGCGGTGCAGATTCGTCCTTGGCGCTTGGCCGATGCGGATTATGTGCTGGATGCCACCATGTCACTGGATCCGCGCAAGACGGTGTTCGTCGGCGGAGTGCCGCGTCCGCTCAAGGCCTTCGAGCTGGCCATGATCATGGATAGGTTGTACGGTGGCGTGTGCTATGCTGGAATCGACACCGATCCGGAGCTCAAGTATCCCAAGGGCGCTGGCCGCGTGGCCTTCTCGAATCAACAGAGCTACATTGCGGCCATCTCGGCCAGATTTGTGCAGCTTCAGCATGGCGATATTGACAAGCGGGTGGAGGTGAAGCCCTACGTCCTGGACGATCAGATGTGCGACGAGTGCGAGGGCCAGCGTTGTGGTGGCAAATTCGCGCCCTTCTTCTGCGCCAATGTCACCTGTCTGCAGTACTACTGCGAACACTGCTGGGCCGTGATCCATTCGCGGCCAGGACGCGAGTACCACAAGCCGCTGGTCAAGGAGGGCGCCGACCGGCCGCGTGCTGTGCCCTTTCGCTGGTGTTAACGGCGGCGCTGGTAGGCCGCGCTGCACGACGAGAGACGCCAACAGAGGGAGCAACGACACCGGTGGTTGAACGCAGCGCTGGCAGTGCCCAGAATCATCACAGAAGCATCAGGATCGGGAGGAGGAGCAGTGGGAGCCGCCGGGCGGAAAAGCGGATCGGCGGCGGAGAATCTAGTAAATTATCATTAGAGACAACCACACGAACACACACACGGATACACTCAGAAAACAAAAGACAATTGCCGCAGGGGGGAAGGCCCAACCCAGTACCAAAAGGTACGGGGTGCAGGGTGCAAGGTGCAATACATCGGGGGCTGGATGAAGGTGTGTCCCTAAAACAGCCGCCAGAGTCTACAGTCTACAGAGGCGAGAGACATGAAACGAAAGCCCTCAGAAAGCAACATAGTTTTAGTAATTATTTATTCGGCAATCAGTTTTGATTTGCCCTATTAGGCCTTTATTTGTATAACCAAAATCTTAGTTTTGTTTTCATTTTATGCCTGCACAGTATTTTTTGTACTTTATTTTTTATAACAATTTTTTTTTGTTCGTTCGTTAAGGGGGAATTCCCAAAGTTGCCATTTAATCTCACAAAGACCACCAAAAAAAAAAAAAGAAAAGGAATGAAAACGAATCCAAGCAGGAAGATTTACTTCCTCGTAGTCAGCCAAAATCCTCGCAAAAGGCTTATGTAATTGTTCCCCCCTAGATGATAAACCAATTTTTTGACCTAGCTAACTTAGAAGCCATCTTGTATGCCAATCGAGGCTAGTCCTAAAATTATTAGTGAGCTGCTCTCCCTCTCTCGGAAGGCTTTTTGCTCGAGTTGGTAGGGCTGTCCTTAAGTTCCTAAATAGTGACAAAATCAAAAATCGGCTTTTGTATTAATCCTTTCTCTAATTAGATCAATCTATAAAATTCTTACGAAAGACTTTCAAAAAGACAATATGCAGAATGTCAGACATTTTTATGCGAGCTGTTTCTTATGCCATAATTTGGTGTCTCACTAAGAAATCAGTTAACCATATCATATCTATATACAATTTTAAATGTTGCTCAACAAACAATCCTATTGCTAATCCTTATTTTTTTTTGTTTCTATTAAACTATAGTTAATACGTGCCATTAGCTGTTGGCCTTAAAACTATTCTCCATTTTTCTATGGAGAAGAATCGAATATATTCTTTGTCCAATATATTCGATTACCTTCCCAACACATTGCTAATCCTTGCTAATTCGAAACATTTATATTACTTGATATTTCAACACTTGTTTTAGGCATGTGAAAATCGTACAAAGCTAATACAGAACTCAAAACCAAACATTGGATAAACTTATAAACCATCTTTAACTCACAAGTCTTTGTCAAGAGGTGGCTTTCACGACGATTTTCACATGCCTCAGTTTCTGTAATGCTTAAAAATGGAAACTAGTTAAAGCGATAAATCACAATAATTAATTAGTTAAAAGCCCACACTCTGCGAAAGGTTTTTCTTTCCTAATACCGACGGCTCATTTTTAATTTTAATCTAGTCGACTCTCATACACATCCAACACAAGACATATACACTGAAAGTTTGTTTGCATTTTTTGCCATTTGGCATCACAAAATAATAAAAAAAAATATATTGATAATTAAAACTAGAGAAACAGTCAATTTGCTTGTGTTCAGTATTATGATTTATTTATGATTTTCCACTGCAAACGTGTTATGTCATATTTTGCCTTATTTATTTATCAAATGTTTTCGTTATTTAATTTATGGCATGTTGCTAACTAAGGGACAGAGGGCTTATCTCCCAAAGATATAGAGGAACGTATATTAATGCAAATATATATATGTAATATAAAAAACAATTTTTATATACGACATACATCTATTACACTATGAATACTTGTATTAGACAACTTTTTATATAGAAACTTTTTGTATAAACTTTTTTTTTATTACTCTTATGATTATTCAGAAGTTAGTTTAGTCCAAATAACTGAAGACGAAAATAAAAAAACCAAAAATGCGAAGATAAATAGAAATGCTAAACATCTAAAGGAAATTTAAATATATATACAACTTATGTGCAATACTATTTCGTAAACGATTCAATACCAAATATATAAACAACTATAAAAAGATATGTATCTGTACAAACATAAAGTATACAAAATAATTGCAATCGTATAACCAAAGTAGTCAAATATTACCGATCCCCAATGATCACCAAACTTTCAACTAATTGGCATGCATTTTTTGACATGCGAACGCGGCTTAAAGTTCGCGTTTGGTTTTCTCCCCTGATTCCTAAAAAATCAAATTGAATATCTAGACTTAGGGCAATACTTATGGAAAATTATCAAAAACGAGCAAAATTATTTTGTAAATTATACGAGTTAAGGGACGTGACAAAATTTGCTACGGTGCATGCAAACAATACGATATTTTTTCTATACTACCAACAAAAGTACTAAAGATCTAATTCAAATTGAAAAACCAAAAACGTGAAAGGCCAGGTTGCTTTGGACTTCTATGGTATATTATTAAACGATAGTCAAATCTATTAGCAAATTTTTGCTCGCGCTTTCTTTACAAGACAACCAAAAAAGCTAAACGAAATTCAAGTCATGCAATGTTGTAACTCAAGTTGATCGCGTGGCACTTTCAAAGAAAAAAACAAGTTTATAGCAATTTTTCTAGAATTTTTATATTACAATGAACTAAAGAATATGTATCATATATATATATACTACATATATATTTTTTAAACTGCAAAACAAATTAATTAGAGAACTCGAAGTGTCGTTTGTTTGTTTTCGTTTTAATTTTTTATTTTTAAATACTTACCGAAATAACGTGTATTAAAAGCGAAAGAATCTACACAAAACGAAAACCAACAAGCCCAATTAAATATTATATCATATACAGCAGCCTGCTCTATGTAGTGTTAAACAATTTGTGCAAATATGTAAGCAAACGCGTTGTTCTAAAACTTTCAAAGTAATTAAATGCTAGTCTTTAAAAAGGCAAAATCTGTTACAAAGCAAACACGAAACGGAAACGGTAATCGGTAAGCGGAAAACGGCAATCGGTAAATGGCTATCGATAACTGTGCGTAATGGTGTTTTTTAATGTAGTAAAATTTAATATTTTATAGATTTTTATACTTTTATATAACATATACTTTATACTTTACCTGTTTAACAAAAACTTGATGAAATTGTTAAAAAAAAACTTTAAATGTGCTATAAAAAAGTAACTTATCAAACAAATATTTTACTATACCAAAAAAAGTTGATAGAAGATGAAAACTCTTTACAGCAAACCGCTCAATGTTTTTGCTGCTAATGGCGTAGGAATCTGGAATCTTGTGTAGCGTGCTATATAATATTTATATCATTAAGCAATCCGTTTTTTATATTCTGTTTTATTTTGTTTCCCTGACTATTCCAATAAGCAAAATCAATTAAACAAAGACATTTAATTTATCCTACTTCCGAGCTTGAATTACGGATAGAAGTCGGATCGACAATTTTAGTTTTATAGAGAATCTTGTTATAGATAAATGTTTATGTTGATTTTTATATGGATCCTGTTGTTATACCGACTATGACAATGAAAATTTGTATGCCTAATTCTTGAATATATTTTTGTATCTTTTGTAGTTGCTAGTAGTTTCCTGGTAGTTTTAAAAAAACCAACTCCGTTGAGACATTTTTATACTTTGTTTTTTATAACATTGTAAATAAATAAAACTTTTAACTTAGCTGAACCACAGAAATATAAGAAAATAATAACAAACACAAAACTGTTAGTACATACAATTAAATACTTAAACGATAAGAAAGACTCTGAAAAGGAAAGTATTGAAATTCGAACTTATTACAAACTTAAATATGTTAACTGAACATCTAAACTGCAAATTGGTCAATATGTGTTTTTATACCAACCAAAAAAATGATAAAAACAATGGATAATTATATGAAATTTATACGTAGTACAATTCAAACTTAAATAAGTGAATATTTTTGACAGACCCCAGATAAATGCTTCAAATAATTGCTAATGAAAAAATAAAATAAATAGAGAAATACACTTAAGTCAAACCCTGCGTAGTGCATTATGCAAATTGAAGTCGCATTTTGATTTTGCTAGTGAAAACTCTTCAAAAGTAAAATTGGCAACTATGGTTGAAAATACTCCTCGTTTCGGGTTGAACGGCTAACTGATAGGGTGAAGAGATAAATTTGATTATTTTTTGAGTATTTTCATAGCACAATTTTTGTACAGTGTATGGTTTTGTAGCTAGCGAAAGAAAGTAAACCAAACGCGTTTTAAATAGTAAATTTTTTAGCCTCAACCCTTTGAGCTGCAGAACGATGTGAAATCGATTTCAATTTTACGCTAATTGGATCAAAGCTTAGATCGCCGTGAAAAATAGAATAAAATCAGTAAAAGACAAGGTTATTAATGAATATTAAAAACAACATTCGGTACCTTTTAAACATAATTAATGAATTTTATAAAACATCAAATTGATACTGAGAAATTGTAGCCTGTAAAGCGAGTGTTAGGCACCCGCACTTCCATTTTAATTTGTCTTTGGTGGTGTGCGCTAAATACAGAGTGACATACGCCTATACATATACTTACGTCTATATGTACATATATATAATGTTTAGTACTTTGAATAAACTGAAATTGAGCGCCCTTACTAATGAATTCCTTTTAGCAAAATATTCAAAAAAAAAAAAAAACGAAAAAAAACCAAGCAAAGGCATATAATTTTTTAGCATTATACAAGTGAAAATATAACTGAAAACTGAAAAATAATATAAACAGTAAACCGAAAAACCAGTTGGCAGATATAAAACTATATAGTGAATCAAATAAATAAATATATATATGACACGTAATCTGTATGAAGCGTATGAAAACAAGAAACTAGCGAAATATTCCATATTTTATAGTCATTTTCAATAAACGTAATTTTTTAATTTTTACAAAATTAAAGTTGGAAAAAAAAACAAAAATCAATAAAAATATTTGTAGTTTTCTAAAGCCCGAAAAATCAATCTGAAGGGATAAACTCTGATTTAGCATAATAATTGTAAACAGTTTCGATTTCCAAGCGTGTTTTTGCTCCAGATGTTGATGCGTTTTCAAATAAATTACCAAAAAATATGTTTAAAAAATTGTTACGAAACCCGAAAACCAAAAACAGACCATAGATTAAACGTATGTACTAAAATAAATAGAAATAAAAGTCAATAACGAAATAACAAAACTAAAATATATATTAGAAACATACGCAAAAAAGTTCTCCCCTCAATAAAAAACTCAAAAAATTGAAACTGTAATAGCAAACCAAGATATCAGCAGTACTTCAATGCAATATTTCAAAGGAAACAGAACAAGGATAACGAAATAAATAACAAAAAAAAACCAAGCTCCAAATCCAGCAAATCAAATATGAAACAATTTAATACGAATATGTAATCCCGTATTGAGGGAAATATACATATAGGATTATAATATACACAAAATATATTCAAAACCAAAATCGTTTTCAAAAGCGCCCCAAGCATTACACCAAACGAAAATTCGAAAATCGGCGGTTGAATTCGATAAAACCAAATTGGACACAAAACACCCCACATACACACACACTCAGTCACTGAGGCAAAAATGCAGGTTATGAAACAAGTAAATAAAACGTAAATGGCAAAAAAAAACATATATCTTCATTCAAATAAATAAAAATACTTTTTCTGGAATAATACAAAACCAAATTGTTTTACTTTTCTTATTAAGGCTGCTTGGGTATGGAATGAACTATGTATATAATAACGCATATCATACCATATTTTTTGGCAGGGGTTTTCCAAATTTTTTACCCGAGGAGGCTGATTTGAACGCCCAAAACTCACTAGTTATCCGTCACTAACACGAATGTTATTTATTTTAGTTAAATTCCAAAGTGATGTATATATTTTTGCTGGTGCTACTATTTATTTTTGATCACGTTAACTTATATAATTATATCTTTTGGAATTGAAACTGATCAAATGTATTTTTCCAAAATAAACCTAATCTACGTAAATTTATAGTTTTTTCCATTGTTCCAATTTTCCAATGCTTAACTTTTAATGGATATTTTAAATAAAAATATGAATACAGAACTAAGTTACAAACGTTTCGAGGTTTTTCTTTCCAACATTTTGTTGTTTTTTTTTTTTTTTTTCCATTTTTCTAACTGATAATTTGTAGCATACTATTTGGGGACTTGTTTTACTTCCTCACCCTCGTTTATATAGTCAAAAAATGACGTATAAAACAATGGAATCTACCAAATGACCTAATAACTAACGAAAACAAATTCTAAATTTCAGGTCTGGCAGCATTGAAGGAGTATCACCCACCTCCAGCGGAACCAGTCTCATATCCGCACTGTCGGCGGCCAGCGCAGGAGGCGGCTCCTTGGGCGGGGCTCTCCCCGCTGGCGATAGCAGCAGTGGCGGTGGAACCTGGCGGCTGATCAAGGGCAAGGTTACCCAAACCCTCGAGGAGATTAAGTCCTCCAAGCTGCCACCAACGGCAGCCATACCAATAATAGTGGCCGATCCACCTTCAACTGGCTGGAGCATCGATCCCGATTCGGACACCGAGTGCCTCACCGTGAACACATCGATTAGCGAGGAGCTTCCACTGGATCAGGAGCATAAACAAAACTCGGATTCGGACGTGGAGGCCGAGCTGCTCCAGCACGACACCGTGAGCTTGGGCAGCGGTGACGTGGGATCAACTGGCCACTCGGAACGATCCCGTCTGCGTCGCGGCCTGGCCCACATCCGATCCAAGGTGAAGGCCAAACACCAAGCGGCCGCAGCCATGAAGAAGGATATCAGTCCCAGTGGAGTCGCAGTCCAGCCAACAACAGTGCGCACAGGCTTTCTGCGCCGACGCAACGTGGTGGAAGCGGGCAGCGAGCCCTCCACCAGCCAGCAGGCTGAGATTGCCGTCGTGAGTGGCAAGGTCAAGAAGCGGGGCATCCTGCTGGCCCGCAAGGACGTGGAGGTCGAGTCGGGTGTGGAGGTGCTCGAGGATATGATACCCGCCACAGTGGCAGAGACAGATCTTCTAAAGGAACCCGCTGAGAAACGAGCGGAGGATGAGCTCGATAAAGTAGCTGATGTCGAGTCAAGAGCGGCCCTTTCGCTTCCCGTGGCACCGGACGGTACTTCCCTACCATTTGGCAAATCATTCATTGGGAAGGAGTCGCAGGAGTCATCGCGGAGCAAGTACAGCTTTATCTCCAACCTGAGCATGCTAAGTGTTAATCAGTGGCGGGAGACGCATCAGGGCTCCTCGGCCCTCGCATTGCCCGTGCTCCTGTCCATCTTTCTGATCTTGCTGATGATTCTGCCGGTGCCCGACTTTCTTCGTGGTGTCTTCGCCACCCTTTTGTTCTTCACGGTGATGGACTCCTGTGGCGCTCATGTGAGAGTGCTGCTCGAGGACTTCCTACTGACCACGCATCCGGAGCGAGTGGCCTTCGCCATTCCCAATTACAAGGTTATGCCCATTTGCGAGATACCAGCGGTGGAGGAGCACAAAACGATCAAAACATATTCCGGTTGGATGAACGAGATAAACAGCTACGACCCCAACACGTTCTCCTTTAGCCTCACGAGGGCGGTCTATGTGCGATTGGATGGGTGCATCTTGAAAATGTCGGGCACCAATGCCAGGGTTCCTAAGCGACGTATGTGGAACGAGCCGCCCATCGATCGTAACAAGATCCTGTTCACGGATCATCGCTCCTATGATCTCAGAGACTGCCGAATAGAGCTGCTACCTTTGGGTCTGGCCAATAAGCGGTGAGATCTTTGGTTTTTTTATTAGTATTTTTTAGGATACTTATATTATCTATACCCTTGTAGTTTTTTCAATCGGAAGTATCCCATTCAGCTAATCATTAAGAGCACTAAAGATCTTCCTGAAGAGCAAAGCTCAGTTGAAAGCCAATCGGAACAAACGATCAAGACGGATGTCAAGGAAGTGAAAGGTGCCTCCTCATCCGGAACGACACCACCGGGTACAGAGGAGGAAAAGCCAGTGGACTTTGCAGCTACGGTGATGCAGGCAGATGTAAGTTGTAACAAAAAAGCATTAAAACACTTCTTTAAATTTTTTCCCTAATCCACAGTTACAAATGCTACGAAACACTGTCAATCCAGACAAGGAGCTCAATGAAATTACCATGCCCTGTGGCGATGAGGTGCGATTGTTGCTCTTCTCGAGATGTGATCGGGAAAAGGAGGACTGGTATCGGCGCTTCACAGCCGCCAGCAAGGGCCTGGTGCACGAACAAGATCTCCAGGTGCCCATGGCCCGATTCGTGGAGGATACTGATCTTCAGGCGGCAGCCGCTAGGCAAGCTTTGCACCTGGTCACCGGAATGGGTAAAGGGGTGGGCGCGGTGAAGGTAGGTAACCCTTATAAACCGAATGAATATCTGTCTAAGCTTAGTTAAAACTACTTGCAGTGGAGAACTGAAGATGAGGTGTCTACCGGGATTGTAAACGATGAACCGGAACAGCAAACGCCCGACGGACAATTCGAGAATGTGACTGAAGAGGATTTATGTGAGACACCCAGGGAGGAGAACTTCGACGGCATGATCATGAGTGCCAATGTGGCCAGGAATCCGCCGGATTATGTCCGATTCATGGCCGTTTACCAGGTAAGTAGTTAGATAGGCCTTTTTTATTTGTAGTCTTTTAGTTTCGAGTTATTATTATTTGTTATTTCTAATTGGCTTTTGGTAGAAGGCTTGCAACCAGAGCACAATTCCCGTAACCCGAAGTTCCGTCGGAACAATTCGCCCCCTTGATCAGCGGCAAAGAAAAGTATGTTTTATGGTTTTATTACGTCAATATTATTTCTCAGATCCTAGTTAAGTAAGCAGAAAAATAAAAACTTAATCTACTTGCAGTCTCGTCGTGCCAAACGCCAGGAGGATGAATTGTGGAAGGGCATTGACCAGTCGCTTTTCCTAGGTCCATCCGGCAGCATTGTGTGGGCGAATGTCCTTTTGGGTCGCTGTCTTTATAGCTGGCTACATGACTCCATGCTGCACGAGAAGCTCAAGGAGGTTTTGCAGAAGAAACTTAATTCTATTAAGGTGGGTTTTTATCAGAGGTTCTGTATGTGTAATCAACACTAATCCTATATATTTTACAGCTCCCCAGCTTCATGGAGGAGGTTATCATAACTAATATTTACTTGGGTCAGTCCCCACTGCTATGTCATCGCGTCTCCCAGCCGATGTTGGATGAGCGCGGCGTGTGGGTGGATGCTGATGTGACCTACGAGGGATTGGCTCACATAACAGTGACCACCAAGCTGAATCTGTTGCGGATACGCAGCAAGACAAAGTCACCGATGGCCCCCGAATCATCTGTGCCCACCACCTCGACGGCGCCAGAGCAAGCCCAGGATTTACGCAACCATTCCGATGCGAATTCGGAGAATGTCATCTACGACAGCGATGCTGAGAGCTCGGGTGGTTCCTCCACTGAATCCGAGAGCCCACCGCCGGGTAATGCGCAGGAAAATCCAGCCGGAACTGAGTGAGTATAGAGTGGGATACTAAAGAATTCTGTCCGTACTAACTTTTCATATTCCCTTTAGATTCTTTCAGAATTCGCCCGGCAATGCGCGGCGTATCTTCAAGATTGTCGATCGAATAGCCGCCTCCAATCTATTTCAATATGCCACCGAGCTGCCGTACGTGCAGCGAGCAATGGAGAACATGAACGCGAATATCACCTTGCGCGTTGATCTCAAGGGTTTGGTGGCCCGTGGAACCCTGAATGTGCCACCGCCGCCCTCCGATCGGGTGTGGGTCAGCTTCCGCGGACCGCCACGCCTGTGGATATCCACCAAGCCCCAAGTGGGCGACAAGTCCGTCGACTGGTCAATCGTGACCAATGTTATCGAGAGCAAACTGTGCGAGGCTGTCAACAAGTTTCTGGTCTACCCCAATATGGTGGACTTCTCCGTACCATTCCTCAGCAATCCCAACTTCGATGAGGAACCAGCGACTGCAACCAACTAAATACCAAAATCAAGAGGAATAGGCAGGGAATAAGAAAGGAGATACAATTTATATCCGATGAATTTAACACAAAGTGTGAGCGAGATTTTTTACGTTTTTAATTTAGTTTTGAGATAAACTTCAAGCTTAGCTTAGGTCTTTGATCTCTAGTTCCGAATTCCAATACTTACTTAGTGATGAGCAAAAGGGACGACCGATTCCAAATGACAAGTTACGAAACGCTTATTTTTATCACATTCTGTTCACACTCCGGAACAATCCCAATCTTAGCTACAATAATTTACACTTACATATGTATATCAGAGAATTCGAAAGGAAGGATATAGCATATTGAATATGCTGCAACAGCCGCTCTGTGAGGTCATCACGACAAGTATTCCAATAGCATAATGCAGGCATATAGCTCTACAACTTATCCACTATTCTATACGAACAACTACAGTATACACACACCTATATATATTTATATATTCCCAGTAGCTTAGTCTTAGAATGCGTGTGAATTTTAAATAAGAAGATCGAATTTTATTTGCGATATGTGGTCTACTCATCGAGCGTTTACCATAAAACTTATGTACTTAAAGCGTCTCAACTATTTAAAATACGCTACTAATATGTGAAAGAGCGGAAATGGATCCGTATATTTTGCCAAATGAGAACAAAA